CTAGGGTCGACGTGTTAGAAGCCCGGGTATACGCGTATAAGACCTTGTGGCGTACTCTGATAAGATAATGATACACTGGCGAGGTAAAGGTTAGTCTTATTCAAAACCTTCGAACGAAGCGCGACTCACATAGACTACTAATCAGTGCTTGGTGGACGGTGTCCAGCGCCCTGTACCACTATGTCAATATCATCGGATGCGCAGAGCGCGTTGGTCGCTCACCATACAACGGCAACCTATTCAAGTAGCGAAGTGTAAGTAATGAAAGGACGAGGGGGTTTCAGATGCTTTCCTACCAGAAGTTTCCATCCCAATGGATCCTTGGGGTACGTCGTATAATACCTATTGAAGAACGCGTGAGCCCCTTCACTCGGTACACGAAGGAGGCGCCGCAAAGGGCTGAAGCTCACCAGTACGTCTGGGCAGTGGTGATTCCCCATAGGCTGTTTGAATTGAATAGAATAGACGCCTTAGCACACACGTGGCGATAGCGGAAATTCCGCAGAGAACAGAGATGAGAAGGAAGGAGAAGACGACGCACCCGCCAGCGATGACCATGCCAATGAAGATAGCGCCAAAGCTGTTGTCGAGCGCGGGGATGAGACCAGAGAGCGACATCGTACGTCCACGTCTACGTTGCGGCCGAACGGGAAGGAGGAGGAATCAACCCCTCCCCGAATGGGCCCAAAGCCTACTTATGTAAAATTGGCGCAGGAGAAGTCTGCAGTGTTTGAGGTTGTAACGTCCGTTCGCGCTAGGATTTCTTCCCCGATAAGATTGTGCCGTGATGGGCGATCCTGATATCCGTGCTGACTATCTTTGATGTTGATCTGGAGACGAACAGATGATAAACCCGGTTGGGGTGGTTCAGTTCGTGGCTGATGTGCGTGAACCAGAGGCCCAGAGAGGTCGCGCGTGCGATCTGGATTCTGGGTATGGACTAGCTATGTAGCTATGTAGCACGGCTGCGCTGATCACCACCGTCCTCCGTCTCGGCGGATTCTGAGGATGAGAAGCCTCGGGGTTGTGATTCGGTTGGAACGGCTGAGAAAGCAGGAGACCTGGGAAGCATGGTGCAAGGAATAAAATGAGACCGATGACAAAGAGTCGATGACTGTCTTGAGTCGTAGATGGGTCACCCAGCTGATGAACAGAAGTGAGTGAGCGGTCTATGGCCTTTCACAGGAATTTGAACCAGCGGGCCGTCACCATGCGACTTGGACCCTCAACTTCTACAGATAACAATGGAGAAGTTTGTTTCAAAATGAAAGAACCACATACTTCGAAGTACAGAGTGTTATATAGGCGTCAATCCTCGAAACTTCGAAGTTCACGAGGTCGATATGAGCCAACCAGTGAACCAACACGATTAGATCGCTTAATCCACTCTCCGACATCGCCTGGGCTATTCTAGTCTCAATTGAAATTCCCTTCAACCTTGAAACCCAATGCTCATATCAGAGGATGATTATCGTACCTTCGTATTATTATCACTTCCAATAAAAGGAGGCCACCATGTGAATGCGGCCGTCTTGGGCATTGGATCGGGGGCCGCCGTGGTGCGCCGGCTGGAGACCGGCACTTTGAGTCACAAACCGATGTTTCACGCTGATTCCAACGGTTCAGCGCACATGCGACACATGGGAAGGAAGTTGAAGAGTGGACTGAGAACGACATCTCTTCTGCTTATGGACGAATTGATGCCGCACACGTGGAGCGGGGCGGAAGCAGAAACTCCCATTCTCCGGCCTAAAGTGCGTATGTATGGACAGATATGTGCGCACAGACGAATCGGGCACCATCGCCATCGAACATACGCGGATCTGAAACGTCATCTCAGGAGCGGTATTGGTCCGATCTGCCCTTTTCTCTTGAGCGCGAGCGCACCCTCTAACTCGGCCCAACACTCGAACTTATGATTTTCGAAATACGCGGAATATGGCTGAAAGATGCAATCACTACCTCTGGGCCCCTAACGCAAGAAGCTCTGGGGCAAACCGCCGAGTTTCGAAACTATAAAACCGCGAGCGGACGAAGGGGTGCTTCCTAGGCACGCAAACGCGCACCACCTTCTGTCATTACCAATGGCCATGTATCCCACTCGCGAGCTCGCCCAAAGTCCGCTCTTTCGCATCCGGACGGAGATGCTTCCTAAGGAAGAGCAAATCTCCCTCTCGTACGCTCGCGCAAAGGCGATCGTGAAGTCCTATGGTGCGTAATATCGTCTTACCTGAGGATAGGATGCGATGCCAACCGGTCTTGAACGTTGCAGGCTGCACCGCCAAAGACATCACGGAGCTGTCGCCCAAGTTCTGGAAGCTGCATTTGGACCCCATTTGGAGCGTCGACGGCGCAGCCGGCACCCTCTGCACCATCCAACTCAACTTGTGTGCGGGCACTCTCTGTCGTTTTGCTTCGAAGTCTGCACCATGGGTCCAGGAGACCCTCCAGAAGGTCCTCTCCTTCGAATACTGGTAGGTCCTTCAACATCTGAACTGTCGCCTTGAGTTCACCACCTCTGACAGCGGGCAATACTGCGTGACGGAGGTTGGCCACGGTCTTGATGCATTCCACATGGAGACGACAGCCACCCTTCTCGACAACGGGGAGTTTGAGTTGCATACTCCCTCTGAAGCCGGAGCCAAGTGCGTCGTTCGAGGCAATTAAACCTTCATTCTTGCTGACTTGTAGCATCCGTAGATTTATGCCTCCAACGGCGCCAATGGGTGATCCAACCATCGCCGTTGTTTTCGCGAAGACGATGGTCAATGGGGAGAGCCATGGTATCAAGCCGTTCCTCGTACCCATCAACGATGGAGTCCACATGCACAAGGGCGTCACTTGCAAGTACGTATTTCATTATACTCATACCAATGTTACGATCTTTACGTTGCCCTAGAGTGCTCCCCCACCGCGGAGGCTCCCGTCACATCAACCATAGTCTTACTTCCTTCAACAAAGTCCGGCTTCCCTACACCTCCCTTCTCTGCGAGATCGACAAGCCGCAGGACCCGCGGACCGCATTCTTCAAGGCGCTCTCTTCCGTCGCCATCGGAACCATGGCCATAGGCTCTCTCGGCGTACCCGCCCTCCAAGTTGCGTCGTACATCGCTGCTCGATACAGTCTCCGCCGCAAGGTCATCGACACCTTCACCGGCAAGGCCTCGCCGATCATCAACTTCCGCACGCAGAAGACACCTGTGCTCACCGCACTTGCGCAGTCGTTCGTCATGCAGGCGTTCCAGGAGGCCACCGCAAAGGTGTTCACGCACACAAAGGATATCCGCGTCTGCCATGCGGTCGGCGCAATCATGAAGATTGTGATGATGCAGCACGGCCAGGCAGCGAACCTCGGTCTAAGCGACCGGTGTGGTGCGCAAGGGTTGTTCTCAGTGAACCAGCTGACGACCACCTTCGTGAGTCCTGCGTTAATACGTCTAATGTTACGACCCTTATTGAACCCTGACTTTCCCAGTGCGACATGCGAGGGACCGCTATCGCCGAAGGGGATACCTTGGCCCTGTCTATCAGTACGTCATATCTCTCCCTCTATCACATCTCTGATAACCCATCCCTGGATGAAACAGAACTCGCATCTGAGCTGCTTTTGGGTCGGTACTCCCTCCCTCCGTCCTCCGATCCCACCAGCCTCCTCGCGCAGCACGAGCAAGGGCTCCTGGAGGAGTACCGCGGCCTGCTCAAGACGATCGGGCACCACCGCTCCGCCGACTTTGACCGCCTCATCCTCCCCGAGTGCCTCGCGCTCGTGCAGGCCATCGGGCATCGCATGGCGTACGATGCGGCCGTCGCCAAGGGTGTGGAAAAATATATCCTCGACCTGTACGTCGCGAGCTGCCTCAAGCTCGACCCGTCGTGGTACGTGGAGAAGTTGTCCATACCCCGCTCTCAGATCCGGGAGATGGAGGCGCTCGCCGTCGACGCGGTGTTCCCTCACCTGGAGGATCTCCTTGGCCGGCTCGGGGTGGAGCCCTATATCACCGCGCCCATTGTCTCCGACGAGAATTGGGCGGAATTCGTGAAAAGTATCCCCCCGCTCGTCGCTCCGGAGGAGAAGGTCGCCGAACCCGTTCCTGTTTCTGAAGCACCACCTGCAAAGCCTTTCATTTCCATCAAATTCAAACAGGCGATGGAGGTCCTCGTTTACGTCGGCCTGCCTGTCTTCATGTTCGCTACCATTTCGTTCGTTTAAGCTTTTGCTTGTCGCTCCCTCTATTCTGTATCTATTTCTTATCTATTGTTGCATCCATGTGTAAAGTATTCTATGTAGAGCGCTCCTTCACCCATTCCAGTATATATCGATAGCCAATCTCCAAATGCTTCGGGCAAAATATTATTTATTCTCCAAGTTCGTTTGAATGACTGGACGACTTTCCTTAACGAATTTGAGGCTCTAAAGTAAACAACGGGGTGCCAGCGTCGGGGATTGAAAGAGAGAAGGGGAGTTTCCAGACGTTGAGGCCTGGAATTTCGCGCCTGGTGAAAAGGGCAATGAGGCATGAATAAAGCATGCCGAAGGCTGCGGTTGTCAGGAACATTCATAAAAGGGAAAGTTGAAGCCTGGAATGAGACTTTAGAGCTAGGAAGGGGGTGCTTACCCTCCTCCTAGATTTTTCGTTTGAAACGAACCTTGAAGAGAACGGAGAACGAAATATTTTCCGGGGTCCTGACAGGCGACAGCGGCATCCATCGGCCTCACCCTTTGAAACGAGAATTTGCATTTAGAACGGTCTCCAAACGTTAAGGAAAGTCATCCACTGATAGCCCAAGACTTTTTCAAACATGTTCTGAGATGATATTCACAACCAGTGCGACATTCTCGAGGTGCTCGTGTTTTAGCAGGTTTTAGCGTCCATAAACTCCTGAGATGAAACAGCAGCAGAAGTCAATTTTCAGGAAATCAGACGACATGTGGGGTGGAGTGCCTATCAAACCGGTGACAACATCCCTCTTCGTCCAAGCTCAAGCTTGAGGCGACTCCCTCGTGTAAAATAAATCCTTCAATGTCGAACGCAAAACACAATCGCAATCTTTTCTCCCCCCGTTGACGCGGCATCCCGCCGATGCTGATCCCGTCAAAGCAAGCCTGATCGACAACGTGGGCAAATGCCACTTTGGGACAGGCGCGATCGAGAAGATCACTGTGTGATGGGATCTGTGATTCTCCGATGAAGATCGGGACTTGATTAGAAATAATGGATGCCGGCACCGGCAAATTGTCGACTCGACGGGGTGAGTGGTCGTCGTTGTCCTCACTTTCACCCCACTCGCAACTATGAACGTGAACGGTGCCAGTCCTCCAAAGCTCCAGAAGCTCAATTCTCAGCTTTTTCTGCTTGAACCTGGGGGACACGTCCCGGATTCTTCACCAAACCCTGCGTGAGTTCTCCCTTTATGCATGTGATGTATCACTCGTTCTTATGCTACCTGCGCAGAGTTGTACTTGTTTTCAGTTGGAGTGAGAGGATCCGGAAAGCATTCTATACGATAATCAAGCTGAATGGCCTATTCAGTGGATGCAAGTCTGAAGAATGTCCAAAAGTATAGCGACAAGCTAGCCTCTCTATTCCCAACCTCGAAGATCATCTTGAGCATGATGACGTCGGACTTCTATTGGGCGTCTCAACGTTCTAGGGTGAATTATGCCTGGAATTCCTAATTACAAGTATGTATGCTGAACCGACGTAGGAGGAATCGATACGACCCATACTCTCTGTCCTTCGTTGGGAACATGAACATGGTACTCTTCGTCGAGGAATCTTCCTCCACATGATGTCCAACGGTGCGTGAAATCCCCGTACCACAGAACCAACAGTCGCTAACATATACGTTGGACACATATCAGCCGGAGGCATCCAGCTTGCCGTTCTTCGCAAACTACTCGCTCAATCCCCCTTAACCCTGGATTACCACCCACCCGTCGCCCTCTCACTCGACTCCCTGCCAGGAGACAACGGTCTCGAGTCCGCCCTACTCTCCTTCGCACCCCAAAATCCTATCTTCCGCTTCCTATCCTTGCCATTCCTCACCACCCTCTACGGCATCTTCTACGCCTTCAGCCGTTTGCGCGGCGACCGCCCACTCTTCGCAGAGATACGCGAGGCCGTTGCGGCTGCTGACACCCTGCCATCCATCACCGAGGCTCCTGTTCCCGGCACCACGAGCTCTGTGCCGAGATTGTATGTGTACTCAGAGGCAGATAGAGTGGTGTTGGCGAAGCATGTCAAACGGGCCATCGAAGAGGCGATCGAGAAAGGCTATGATGTGCGCGTGGAGAGGTTTGAGAAGAGCGCTCACGTCGCACATGCGAGAGCAGATCCGGAGAGATACTGGAAGGCTGTGGAGGAACTTTGGGTACGGGCTACACGGGAGAGTGACGGAAAACGCGATGTGCGGTTGTAAGGGTTAAACGTTCGTTTTCCTGCTTAACTAATTCTCCGTACATTTGAGTGTGTAGGCTAATTTTAGCAAGTTTTGCCCCTTCGGTGTGTTTCTGATCCCGCCCTGAGCGGGATAATGATAGTGGCGGTTTAGCTCTCCTAGGCCGACACCCTCGAAGTGGGAGACCTGCCTAATTTCACTGCCCACCCTATGTCGTAAATTGAAGGGCGCGAACGCAAAACGGCTTGGTTCATAACGAAGAACTATGAGAAGTCCGGAGTTTATTAATGACCAAAATTCATCGAAGTTGTTAGAAACGTTCCTGCTGACTTGACACAACGACGAGAAGGCTCTGGAGGAACCTCGAATATTAACCTCTTGGAGTAAACGTAGAGAAGGAACCACCTTTCCCCGCGGCGTAAGCAGGAACAAAAGGACCTTGTTAGGAAGTTGACATTCAAGTTGTTCAGCAAATGAACTTCTCCGACGCCGTTCAGATATCCCCTCCTCCAAGGAGATGTGCCCTTGACAGCTAGGATCAATTTGATTAAGTAAATTCTACATGGGCGCTCATGAAGTTTGCATGAAGTCTGATCACGAAGTCAAAATGATTCAGAAGATGTCAATATTTCAATCATCATTCGGGTCTGGGGGGGGGAGAATTTAGAGCAACTTCTTCTGATCCTCCTCCGCCAACGTCCATTAGCATCACCGTTGACAGTTTAAAGTGCTGCGATCATAGTTTGATAACGGTTCGAGTCCCGTCGCGATGGGAGAACCGTGACCGGTCTTTCGAGCGTCTACCTTCCTCTAGGTCAACATCAAAGAATTGATGACATCACGATCCTACGATGGCTGCAGCCTGCAGTGAGAACGGGGACGGCGGATATCTGGCAGTCACAAAGTTGAATGGATTTATCCGAGACTTCTTGACTAGGTTCTCCAGTGCGTAGGCCTTGAGATCGTGGTGCAACTTGCACAGACTTGGCGAACCCCTGCTGGATCGCGGAAGACCCGGCCCGGCCATTCCGACGTCCTTCAGCAGTGAAGGGCACAAAGTCGACGCATTCGTCATTAAATACATATTTTCAAGTAATGTGGGGAATTAAAGCAGGCAGAATATACCAATTACGCGTAGAAGGTGACACGAGAGTATCAATCTTAAACTCGCTGCGAGTTCTTTCGTTTCGAGAGGATCTGTCTTGCCACCACGAGGAACAAAACACCAGCCGAGAACGACACCTGCGACGTAATCCTTCAGCAAAAGCAAATCCAGATTTCAAGCACAACATACCCCACTAAACGTTATGGCCCTATTCCAATTAAAGTGATGCCCCAGCAGTGCCCCGGTAACAGGTGTGCCGATTAGTGCACCCAGAGCACTCAAGAAAAACGCGATTCCGAATCGGATGCTGTCCATCCAAATTTCTCTTAGTAAACAATAGGATTTTCGGCCTGACGAAGAACATACCCGACCTCCGAGGGATCTCTCGAGAGCTCGGCGAAGGCAGGTGCTGTGATTGAGAAGACTGGAAGACGGTTGTCAGGCTTCCTGAGATAGGAGAGAAAAACACCAGGCTCACTCGCGCCAGAAAAGAACCCGTAGAGTATGGCAAAGACGATGATCGACGCGACGCTCTTGATACCAAACAGGGCGTAGATGAGGGCATTGGAGATGAGGATACACGGCACGGCGACGTTGAACGGGCCGATGCGGTCTGCGATGAGGTTGGGAATGATGCGCCCGGGGATACCTGAAGCATTGAGGACGGAGATCTACAGGAAAGGGAATTAAGAAAAAGCTACTGAAGAGGGGAGCGTCGATCATAGACGCACCAAGTAGAACGCGGTCGTCTGGTTGACCCCGTGCAGGAACGCGTACAGCTGCAAATAGAAGTCTGTAAAGAAAGAAGCCCGTCAGATCTTCCCCGGTGCCGAAATAATTATGCAAAAAAGAAACCTTACAAGGGAAGAAGACGCCCCAGTTGGTAACGAACACCCTAGAAAAGAAGCGCCGAGGTGAGGTGAGCTTACATAGAGACGAAAGCGAACGCCCTTCGCGAAGAAGTCGAGAAGGATGGCGCACGGCAAGGGTACTCACGCGAGGATGGTGATGAGATAAGGCGCGTCGGTCATAATGACCTTGAGGTCGGGCTTGGGCCGACCTTTCGCGTTCACGCTAGGCTTTGCGCTCATAAACAGGTTCGCGGCTAGGAGCATCGTGAGCACGATGAACCCGGAGACGCGCACGCCCCATGCGAACCCAAGCGAGCCCTTGAAGAGCTGGTTGAACATGATGGGGAAAATTATGCCGCCCACCGAGGCGCCTAACAGAACGACAACGAAGATCACCAGCGATCCACGGTTGTCAACATGTCAAAGTATAAATAAGAAGCTACTCGCCTGTGGCCACCACTCCCATGGCAAGCGCCCGCCGAGCACGCCAGTGATGCGACTGCACTGCGATACACGGAACGTACAGCAGGCCGCCACCGATGCCCATGCCCAGCCCTTGAGCCAGGTAGAGTTGGTAGTACTTGTCGGTGTTGCATATGGAGATCATGAACAATCTAAAGTAAAGCAAGACGTCATCCCCTCTGACGCGAACGTATGTAAATCCAGAACTTACGAAAAGACGTAGATCAACGACCCGACTGCCGTCGTCACTCTGAAGTGACCCATATCCAGCAACTTTCCAGCCGGCAGTCCCATCGCGAAGAGAAAAAACAGCTGCGTGGAGCCAATCCAGCTGATGGCGGACGCGGACGCGGTGTTCGAGCGCGTATACAGGTCTTGGTACACACCGAAGCTGTTCGCATAGCCAAAGGTCACTGCGCCGGTAAGGAAACTACAGCCAGCCAATGTGAAGGGAAAGTGTATATATCCTTGTTAGCGTGTTGCTCGACCACGCGGAATAACGAAACTCACCCGCCGATCATGGTCATCCAAGCGCGTCGCCCGCTGTCCATGACATCTTCGTCTAGGCTCTCGGTGTCCACAGACTCGATGGAGGCGGTCTTGAATGGGTCGTCTTTGATCAATGAGGACCTGACCGAAGCCGCCTCGATCGAGGGAGCCTTGACCGAGGGGACTTTCTTTGAGGGAACCTTTTCCGAAGGAGCCTCAACCGACTCAGCCTTGACAGACGAGGCCTTCACCGACGGGGCCTTTTCGCCAGTCGTGTTGGATGCCATCGAGGAGAAGTGCTGACAACAAGAGCGAACGTCACCGTACTCCAGACGTCACGGCCTCAAGCACGCTTTCGCCCGATCCCAGCATGCAGTTTCGTCCTTTCAAGGCTTCGATTTTCGTGCCAGCTCATCTCAGTTCAACCGCTTCGGCGTGCCTAACTGCAAATCGTTCCAGTCTCCAGGTGTTCATACTTGCATGCGCAATGGTGCGTGTTGATGGCCATTATTGGATTGCCGTTTCTTGGAGGTGAAGCATGCGTCGGGGCCTCCCATGCTGGTACATAGGCCTTCCGGGCAGGAAAAGGGGTGATTGGAAGGAAGAGCTAAGTTTCAAAAGATCACGATTGCCGCCGCTAATGCAGTCGAGATCATCAGCTGGGAATCATCTTCCAAAGTAAAGACGCCCACTAACTTTTACAACTGATACAAGGTCCGCTTTCATTGCAAAGAACGAACCATCATTTCCGATAATCAACAGATCATGCTTCGCAGGTCTCTCATCGATTCCTTGAAACAGAGAGCTCAGAGGAAATTGCAATTGAGTAGTCTTGCACATACAAGGGACTGACGGTCTAAAGGATGCCGGATTCTTGGGAGGTGTTGCTTGGACTGTGCCACGAGGCATGCGCGGATTGTTGCCGTCGCTGTCTACAACGTGGTGAAGAAGCTCGAAGCTCAGCGCAGATCGTCGCGCTTCCGGGACTTGACTTCTGCGACTCTGCACGGTTGGAGCAGCATATATTGTATAGGGGCATTGCCACTGGCCATGGGCTCCAGCGCTTCTCGACGACGATCATGGCTTGGGAGAGGAAGGGAAAGTGGGATTGTCAACACCCATTAATGCTTATCTTATCTCTATAGATCTAGGTGTGGATGGCAAACCCGACATGCCCGTTTCCTCGGGCTCAAGGCTCGGGGACTCGAACGCTATCCGGCACAGAGCTAACCGTTCACGCTCAGCAACCCTAGAATACAGCCGACCTATTGATATGAGTACCTTGAACTTCCTTCGCTTGACAGAAGATAGATATCAGGACTCAAAGTTAATATGGAAAATGTGGGGAACTCGGGCGTCTATCATTCATCAGCCTGATAATCAAAAGGAGTTTCTGCGGAACATCATGGGCAGGACCAAGTGAGTCCAAGAGATGACCGACGGCAGCTACGAGTAGCTGTCGGAGTATCTGGACTTCGGGCAGTAGCGTGTCGACCGGGAGAGGCAATAAAGATTCATCATCAAGAGTTTGTTATCTCCTCCGTCCCTCTGTGTACGTATTTGTAATTTCACAAGCTCGACCGCAGGCTTGAAGTCTGCGCCAGTCTGCATCAAGACGGTTAACCACATCAAGAAGCAAACTTGCAAACGACATCGATATCAGCGTATGATGCATGACTTGGATGACTTGGATGACTTGTGTCTTAAATATTGGGCTTCAAGGGTGCCCGTGATGATTCTATTTAGGTACCGCTAGCCAGCAGATCCAATCGCTTTTCTGATAAAGCTGAGAGCTTGTCTGATGCCGATATTTTTTAGCTCGGTCGGTAGACATCGCGGAGTTAAACAATTGGAGGAGGCTGAATGATCTCTGGTCATGATATCAGCACTGACTGCTCAGCACTGTGACTAAGTACTGAGTTTTCATGGAAGATTGGGATTTTGGATGGGAGGACCAATTACAAAACACTATGATCCCCTTTTTCAGCGGAGATCTAGCTATGGGATATTCTAGTATAAGTCCTTTCTGGAAAGCCTGAAGCCATCGTCAATTCCCAAAAGTGCAGAACACAACTGTCGTATCTTATCGGGTCATCGGAGAGATCCGAACGCCAGACCATGGGCGTCAATCAGTTAGGCGCTTACTGATGTGTCATAGTTTACCAGCTCTAAAAGACCTCATAGGTCGTGATCTCCTTACTATAATTTGTGACCCTCTTCAACTGATTCAATTGACCCAAATCCTTGACATCGTCCGTCTGGTATAATAAGACCTATTTTTAGCCGCAGTCGCATTCCTCTCTGAAGGTGCTGGTTTACTATACTGTCATGTAGGGAGGACTTTGTTGAAGACTGAGAGCAGAAGCATGGCTTCGATAATGAATGTTCCGAGTATCAGTAAATTAATACTGCCTCTGACGAAGGAGCTGGTGAGTCTCAATATAAGGCTGAGTACTTCTGCATGAGAGCGTTTGTTGTCGTGAGCGCTGTCTCTGCCTCGTGCACAATCGAGTGGTGAGAGGCAGACCTTCGAACGTGCATGGTTAGAACAAGGGATGTCAACTTCATGGCTGATTCGCCTTGTTGGTCGGCAATTTTGAAAATAATGAACGCACGATTCAATAGGATATGTAGCCGCGCACTATCGCTCCTCCTCTGAGACAAGGGCTGTTCTGTCGAAGCATGCTATGCTGGCAGGAGCGAAGCAGAGTGGCAGCTTATGGGACGAGATAGCTGGCACCTGGACGAAGGGAGGTTTCAAAGGACAACCACGCCGTTTCCATGCTGCATATACACGAAGAGACATCCAGTTAGACCTTGAGCACAGAAAGCACCAACCGCTACAAGAAGCCAAATATCGCGTCACTCTGGGCATAAGCCGCGTACAGAGAAGTGGCAAGGTACGGGATGCTCTCCGGAAAGAACGCTAGCAGTACTTCAATGACTCAGCGTGGAGGCGCGGAGGTCGAGTCCGACTGGATTTGTTCATCCCCAACTGAAACAAGTTGAATATGCAACAATGAAATGGATTGTTCTCTCCTACCCAGAACCTACGAGGAGATGGAGTAGCCGAGAGCAGAACCCGGGTGGTAACGATACAGCGATGAAAGACTTCTACTAGATCCCAGCAACACAAATGCGAATGCATCCTTTACTTGAACTGGTAGATAAAAAAAAGAGTCAGAGAACAGACATAGAGGCAGGTGAAACAACAAGACTTACGTTTTTGCCATCAACCCACTTCTTGCCGTTGATCTCGAGGTCCCAGGCGAGGGCTGCCTCGAAGAAGGCCTTGTCCTCTTCGTTGCCCTTCACATCTAGCTTTTTGTAGTCGTAAGACTCCCAATCGGGGGCAACATCAACGACTGGTTTCACGTCCTGGCCACGGAGGATGAGGGCACCAGAAATGACCGAGTCTCCGGAAGTGCCGAGAACGCCGACGGAGCCGAAGAGGTATTTGCGCGACGCCTCGAGACGGTTGAAGAAGCCGCCGATTTGGTTGGAGGACATGAAGGTTTGCGTGAGCTCTTCGTTGTATTTGAAGTCCACGCGCCACACGGAGAAGCCCTCGAGGTCGACGCTGAACGAAGATTAGGAATCAATACAATCACTAATCGTTTATAATGACTCACTTCTTGTAGAACCACTCAAGCGAGCCTCCAGCACCACGGGTATCCTTGTTAGAGTAGGCGCGTTTCCAGTCTTCGAGGTTGAACGTTGACTTGGGGAGGTCGTCGAGGGGGTTCTTCACCTTAGGCTCTTCAGGGACAAGAGGCTCCTCCTCCTCTTCATCGGCGGCTTTAGCTTTGGGCTTCTTCTCCGCCTTAGGGGCGGCAGGAGCAGCAGGCTTGGGCTCCTTCTTCTCTTTAGCTGGAGGAACGAACTGGATACCCTTCTCGATGTAGGTAGTCTCACCGAAGACCTCCTTCAACTTAGGTTGGTTGACGATAGTCTCGAAATGGCGGATGAGGTTGGGGATTGTGGCGCGAACAGCAGCGTCGATAGTATTGGCGACGCCATGCTGGACGACAGCGGCGACCCAGAGGTCAGCAAGAGTGATGCGTTCGCCAACGAAGAACGTCCGCGAGGAGATGTGAGCTTCGAGGGTCTTCAAGGCCCGGGCTTGGCGCTCGAGTAGGCCGGTGTGAGTCTACTGGAGTCAGCGAGGATCTAGAGAAAGTGTAACGTGACATACCGGCTTGTTATAGGGGAATAGGCCCAAGCACAGACCGCGAACTTGGTTGGTGTTGCTGAAGACTTCAGTTTCGGCGAGATGAGCCCACTGATCAACAAGAGCGGCATCTTCTGTCGAAGAACCAAGGAGGCCAGAGTTCGGTGCGAGGCTAGCAACTGTGCAGATGTAACACGATCAGGACTCCGAAATTCATCATCCAAAAAGCACGTATCGAAATCAGATTTTCAAAGTCTCGACATGAATGTTAAGACAGGGATAACTGAAAATAAATAAACCCTCATCCTCCACAGCAGCGCTCGCCCTCTCAAGTGCGATCGATTAGATGATTGATAAGGACTCACCGTAACGAGCGATCGCGGCACCCTCGAAGAGCTTGAAGCCGTCAGCACCTTCCCAAGCAGGGATCTTGCCATGAGGGAACTTGACGAGAAATTCGGGCTTCTTATTGTCGACGAAGTGCTCATAAGCCTCTGGCTGAGCGATTTCGACGCCACCAAAGGCGGCAGCGGACTTGATCTGGTTTCCTCAATGATCAGCGTCGAGCTTTCGCGCGATGAACGAGGGTACGCACCGCCTTTCCAAAAGCTTGGTACGGGGTTGTCCACAAAGTTCCTGCAGGGGCCATTTTTGAAGGAGATGAAAAGAGGATGAGAGAAAGATAACCTCAAAATTTCTGACTACGAAATCCATCACCGATGATATCACGTGCGATCTAGGGCAGGCTTAAAAAGGCGGATCAAAGTTGTTTCATCCTCGTGGAACTCGGAACGGAATGATTGTGCGATTATGACCCGAAAAGGCGACAACTATATAAGAGTGCACAAGATACGAAGCAGTCAGAGGAGCATCGGAAAACAAATCACTCTAGAAGGACCGATCGAACGACATCTTGGAGGGCGTATTCATCATCCTGAAATGTCTGTTAGATACACTCTGAGGAGATATGAAAGCAGCGCTCACTTGGTCGAGAGACCACGTAAAACATCCAGCCATCCCATTTTGCTTTGCAAATTGGACTTTCGCTGCAAGCGATCGGGTGTCTACATAGACGTCAGAAGTGGCAACAAATGGAAAGAGACAAAACACATACTGTCGAAAGTGACCAAAGTGTGCTGGTTGACATCGAACAAAAACTGGAACGGAATCAGGGTTCAGCGGCACGGTCAGATGTTCAATTATGAGAAGCTTACGGGCGTAGAGCTACCTTCGTCCCATCCAAGAGTGTAGCCATCCCCCTGTGTATAATTTCCGTCGAACATTTTCTTGAGCGCTCCCGTCTGAACGATATCCTTGAACGCGATCCGGGTTCCCCACCAGTCCGCCATAGAGACTTCAGGGAAAGCACCGCCCTCTACTGTCTTCTTCGCCTTCGCCCTGGCGTCGCTGTCCTTGCTTGGAGTCTTCGGCCCGACTTCTATGTGGGCACCTCTGAACACCGAACGACTGTAGTTCACGTTTGGTGCCTCTTCGCCGTCTGTGGAAGCTTGGAGAGCAGATGGCGTAAAACCCGTCTTGTTGCTCTTGAATACATAACCGAAAAGCGGGAGGCCGAGAAGCATCTATGAACTCGAATGAGCTCAAGGAAAAACTTGATGGACGTGGAGATAACACGAACCTGCGAGGGCGGAAAACCCGCGACCTTCCACTGCGTGAAAGCACCTCCAGCAGTTGTTTGGGGTTTGTTCGGCTTCAGGATGATATTTCCTGGAGAAGGGTATTAATGACAGCCTCATCTCGCGGAGAGAACGTACCAAGTGGTGCATTAGGACCGGGCGCAGAAGTCTCATAGACGCTGTAGTTCCTGAGGAAAGGATGTTAGCTACATACATTCACGGCTGGCCTCCAGCACACGAGAAACGCACATGATGTTGATGAAGGAGAGCTCATCTGCGAACGCCGACATGTCCCTCATCGGAAGGCCGTCCTCGTCTAACCAAGGTGAGTGTCCAACGGCGGCCGAGATGATCATGGCGGGACCAAGGGCAGCACGGAGGGCTTGGAAGAGCAGCAAGAGGTTCTTCGCGTCCTGAGGAGAATACGGGTTGCCAACCCCTTTGAAGTTAGGAAACTCCCAATCGATATCGATGCCTAGAAGAAATTAATAAATCTGTTAACGAAGAAAGAATAACGCCAGGATAAGGGTATACTGACCATGTAGGCCATATTCGTTGACTGCAGTTACGATGGCGTCAACCAAGGCCATGCGAGTAATTGCAGTCGAGCATGCGTGGCTGAACCACTGGCTGCCCTCCCAACCCCCAACGGAGAGGACGATCTTCGTACCAGCACCGCTACCTACAGCAGATCTGACCAAGCGTTTCAAGGTTGCCTGGGTGTTCGCGCCCCAGTCAAGAGAGGAAGTTGAGTTCGGGGTGACAAACCCTACCAAGGGATGAGTAAAGACGAAGAGAAGTCGAAATGAGATGTATACAGACCGAAAAACAGGATGTCGAACCTCTTGTAGTCCAACTTCTCAGGCGGCATGCTTGCAGTACTCCACTCAGGATAATACGCGGCTAGGATATTCTTCCACCCACTCATCACCTGCTTCGACACGAACACACTGTCTAACCCCACTTGTTTCGCCGTGTCGCCGTTGCGGTATTTCAGCAGCGTTGAAGGCAGGACATCCTCCACGCTAATACCACGACGCATATCGGAAGTCGAGCCTCGTTTGAGAAAAGCGAGGAACAGAGGGTGCTTGCGGTACTCTGCCGACCAGAGGAGTGAGGAGAGGTATCGCGCAAGCCCGAGCTTGCGTTCCGCAATGAGGTCGTCGTCGACCCAGGCACTCGGAAGGAGGGTTGTTGAGAGGTACCTCTTGGGTGGGAGTATGAACTCGTCGCGCAGGGCTTCGTGGAGAATCAGGAACTGAAGACAAGAGATAGGTAAGTGTGAAGGGGGTAGAAAGACGTAAGGCGTACCTCAGAAAACCGACGCTCAATGACAGTCTGCTTCCCCTTGACATTGATCTCGACAACATAGAGGATATGTGGATACGGTTTTGAGGCCGTAGTATGCTTCGTGATGGACACAGTCGCTGCCATTCGCGTTCAAAACCTCAAGAGAACGGAGGTGGAGACGTTGAAAGCGACTCATCAGGGGCAGCTTAGTATAAATGACAAGGCACCCGCTTCGCCCATGTCAAATTGTCCTAGATGGACGGAAATGGGGAGTGGAGGAGATCTTCTTTGTGTCTCATTTCGCCGTCGTTGTTGAACTGAAGACGTCTGAGAAGAACCCTGTACAATTAGGACAAGGGCAAAAGACCGCGTCCGGACATCTGCCGTTGCAACAGCATAAACCTCCAGTGCTCTGAGAGCCGCGCCCTGTGCTCTGGAATTGAGACATTTGTCTGGTACGAGGCTTGAGGCCGTTGACTACGACAAGTTCAAAAGCCACTCGTTTGTCGGAGAATTTGACATGCCCCATCTCCCATGCACGGGCTTTTACAAGACTCCACCGTAGTACCAGGACGGTATTCTTGCTACATTGACGTTGCGAGGTCAGAAGAACGGAGGGGATGGAGAACAAGCATATTCATGCATCATGTTTGAGCACAAACATCAACGGTCCGGCCGGTCAATGACCGGCCGCTTCCTTTCCATCGTCACTGTACCAACTGTCACCTCGCCGCATTTGCCCTCATATTCTTGCAACCGGTTCCCCTGCCTCATCGAAGCTCATCGAGTCCTATGGAACAAGCCTTAAGACTCAGAATAATCCATTCTCGGCTTTGCGACCTGTCGACCCATTCCTACTGCGCAGACAACATTGTGGGTGTGGCAGAAGCACGACTTGTGGGTTCCGACGTGAGATCGAGATGCTCCTCGTTTTACCAACAAGGACCTACGCGCTTTCGGCATATTGACTCGAATGCCTTATTACGAGCCAACCCGTTGAGAACATACACCATCAGAAGTAGCACAGCGGATCAGTTACAGTGGTCATTTATGCACTACATTCTCTACCAGCTGACAACACCGTCTAGAACTCTTCCTGAATGACTTCTGAGCTGACAGAACCGCGAGAAGGCAAGGGTGTTGAGGAGGACGTTATTCTGACCACCCCCTCGATAGTCGACGGCGAAGAATCTCATCAAATCACACAGGACTTCGACTGAACGCGTACATGGAGCGTCGGTGGGTTGAAGCTCCATGTTTTTATCAGGGTGGCACGATTTGTACGTCCATATCCGCTTCCTCCTGTTAGCATCTGACTGAATCCAGAAATTTCTTTTCCCCAGGGTTGTTGTCGACATATCACCGTCTCATTGTTGCCAATCGCCCTCTGGCGGAACTTCTCCTCGATTCAGGTTTCCCAAGGCAATATCAACTAAAGCTTTGCGTCCACACTTTGTCTACTCGTAACGGCGCGCACCCAAAGATCGTATACAGCCGCCCAATACCTTTCCGGGTCCGTGCGTGCATGTGCGACGTGGGGGCTATTCTCGAACTTCTCGGCACGAACGTCGAAACCAAGAGCTCTCGCTTCATTCGCGTGCCGTTCGACATGCCTCGCCAGCGTTATCTGGTCTTCGTTTGAATAGATATACAAGCGCGGGGCCGCCTTCGCTTCCGCCCTTGCAGATACACTGGATAGTGGAAGAACTTGGGGATCCATCACCACAGTCCTGAGGTCTGTGAAGATGGGCGGTTTCCCGGCTACCCACCGCAGGAAGTGATTGATCCCGTATAAAAGAGCGACGACTGGGATGGCGAAGAGTCGCAAGAAGGGGTTATTGGGCGTGTTCCCATTAATGGCGGATTCGAGGCCATAGTTGCCTGGGGTCGAGTCCATGAGGAGTGCGACGGGGGGTTGATGCGAGGCGTTCAAAGGCGATTTAATGAGCATCTTTTGGAGGGCGGACAACTGAAAGCCTCCACCTGCGATGGATGGGGTATGTCAACCTTCGAGCAGTATTCGGATGCCCGAAAGAACTGACCGTTGGACATTAGGTATACTAGGACGCCTTTCGCGAGGTTTCCATTCTCTTTTTCGTGTCGAAGGATGGTCATCAATGGCGTGAGGAGCCCTTCCTGGCAATGCCACGTCAAATTCTGGTGCCATTAGAATGCAAATATCTCGAGCTGTTTCGAACCTTTGTGCTATCGCCGGCCCAATAAACGTCCTTGCTGACCGTAGTGACGACGATGGTCGAAGTCGGGAAGAGACCCCGTAGAGTGTCGCTGTACTTGCGGATATGAACCGTCTGTGCGTTCACTGGTACGTTGTCATCATCCCTCTTCAAAATACGAGGCTTCGTAGATTTACTCACTCCACGTAAACAGGAGAACGAGCCTGGCATTTTTTCAATCAGTGTGAAAGCATCCTCGGAAGCGGCACCTCCAGCATGAAAATGAGAACGAGACCTACCCTGGTGACCCGACACTGGAATAATTCGATCCGTCTACGCGCTCTTGGCCAGTGACGTCTGCTTGAAGCGATGGTTCCGAGAGGAACACTCGCGAGTTCAGCCTCTGGAGAGGGGATGGGACGGAAGGAGGTATCATGTTGACTGAGAAAGGTGAGCCTCGGGGGCCTTTTTCTAGAGACAAATATCTTAGACATCTCTAAGCGTATTTCCGCCTGTGTGCATCCTCTATCCGAAGACCCGAAAATGGGAATCGCCCACATGCCGTGCCGTAGGCAACATCTTCGAGTCATTCCATCTCCAAGGTATTGGAAGGACTCGCCGAAGTCACCAGGGCTTGAGACGGAGCGGGAAAAGAACCGGCTTGTGGGTCCCACCTCTAGTGACGGTGGGTCAAACGAGGCGCTGTACATACTGACCAAATAGGCGCGAAAGGGGATAAAGAAGCGCTGCAACGAAGTCTATCAAACGCGCCTACTTTGCTATCTGGATAGTCTCCACATGCGCTTGACTTCTCTCATCTTACCGCAGCGCTTTTGTGTGTCGTTCGCAGACCCACAATCCACAATGACCGGTTCGGACGAACCAACTTGAACGTTCGTGATGAATGCGTGTTGGACTCTTGGCTCATTTCTAGTTACAATGCGTATAGGGCGTTCGTTGGTCGTATGCATACAATTCAGATTCAGAGGTCTTAGACTATTATCTGACGCCGTGCTACGACTGAACTTCAAGCTTCAAGGCCTAGTTCCTACGGCGAATTATCACGGGTAGTTGCAGTGCTAACAAATATCTCGAGTCTCTTCGGGGCTGCGTCTGTCCCTTGCTGTCTCTGCAGAAGTCGATCATGAGCGAGAAAATACGAGAGTTTGAGGAAGGAGCTTGAATTTTACCTTCGTCTCGCTCGTGGTAACATCCACAGCCTGCGGTTCGTAGCTGGCGTCAAATGTGGCGAGGTTCATTTCCACGTAGGACGTCTTCTGCCGTGCAAGAGACTTTCGTGCGTTCAAGGAGGCCAACATCGTGTTAAGGTACCTAGGAGAGATAAATTTCATCGGTCGGAAGTTGGAGTCGAGGCTGGCGAGACTTACAGGCGCCCAGCGCAGAAATAGAAGACACCATAAACGAAGGCATCGGGCAGCGCAATTGCGGTTGCGACGTTCAGTACGGAGAATATCGAGGTAACGGCCCCGGTGTTTATCGTGTAAATCTGTTCAAAAAGACATTTCAGCCATTAATGATACCACTGTTGTTCAAGCGCCTAAGAGGAGTAGGCCACACACCATGATTTTCGTAATCTTGTTGTCCGATTGCCTGATGCCAGACCTGGAACGATGAAGGAGGTACAAGATGGTCCCGGCCAGCAGGATGTTGGCGATAGCAGCGGCCCCATTGGCAATTTCAGAGAGGAGGTTGTATTGCTTCTGCGAGACGGTAATCCTGTCCGTCTGGCTCGCCTTGATCGCCCATGCTAAACAATATTGATGTCCATGGATGTACGAGCACGAAAGGTAAATTGACCCGCACCAACGCCAACACCTACAGAGAGAAAAAGTCTTTAATATTTAGCCGGAAGATTATTGGAACCCTACCCACCGAACTTGGCCGCAATGAAGAGGGCCTGGAAGAACTTTACACCTGCCGGATATATAAACAACTAAGTGAACTTACTGGCGGGATAACGAGATAGAGCCGCTTGTTTCCGACTGCCAGGAAATAATAGGGTCAGATAGGCGAGGGTTAGATAGGATCGTAAATCGCTCACGCAACCAGATCCTCATTAAGAAGAAGCACTGGACGAGGAGATCTCCAATATCCTTTAGACATCAGGGAAAGGCAAATCAAGAAATAACGGTTGACGATAGCAAGATACTCACCTGAAAAAGAGCTTGCATCTATTATGGAAAGACAATCCAATCTTAGTTCTAGCCAGACCGGAACACGATGGTCTTACTCCAAAGCCCCATATCATGATGTCCAGTTGACGCGGATTGAAGTAATTCTAGATGGGAGTCATGTAGATCATTGTGCAGCGCCTAAGTGGCTAGACACCGACCTGTATCACATAGAAATATACTTTGAAAGAGGTGAGTAAATCGCCTATAGTCTGAGAGTATTCATGAAAACAGTACTGATATGTGTTATGAGCGCTTGGTGCACCGTGTTCATCAACCTGAGCAGGACGGGAGTGTCCTACCTCTTCAGAGCAGGTTGCTGAGAAAGGCATTAAGTAAACACTCGCCAGACGAAAGTAACCTAGAACATTGATAACATGTCAGTGGCAATGATACAAGGAGTCGTTAACTTCCACGCACCAAAATCCGCCAGAAGAGAGGATCCTTGGCGTAATTAACATGGTACCTGAGAAGCTCAGTGAGTCTTGAGAGAAACTACCAGCTAATTATTTCGGCCTCACGAGTACGTTTGAGCAGTACCGATGCCCCATAGTCTAAGAATATCTTGAGAAACAACCCGGAAAAGAGGACCCAGACAATTTTTACCCTGCAGATAAAATTACGCCGATATAGGCCGCTCCGAAGGTACTGTCAAGGGATGGAACGCTCATGTTGTCTATGAGGCGGTGATTGGTGACAGGATACGCAGAATTATTCCTCGAGCCTCTTTAAAGCGCTCCGGTCGACGCTTCGAGTCAGCATCCATTCCCTTCTTGGGAAAGTGGAGATTTCAGCAGCGCCTACATATGATTCTCAAGTCCTTATAGGACGCCGCCCCAAGGGAGACAAACAAGTATCCGATAATGAGTTGAAACGATTTCCTGATGTGATGAAAGTAGTGGATCCGGCGCTTTATGGGGGTCTAGCAGAAAATGGAGCTGGTTCAATATGCCATGTTGGCTACGCGAGACGTACATTCAATGCATACCTTGTGCTCTGCTGTGAATACACGTATGCACACTTCGTCGTATGCTAGTCGTCGAACTGATGCTCGTGCTTTACTTCAGATATTTCGGGCCCGTAGAAACCAGGTCTCTGGAACATTTGAACGATGAGGGAGTTGGATTAAGTTAAACTTAGCCTCAACGTTAAACGTCGACCTCGAGAGGCAAAAGTTAAAATTAAAGCATTGAACTTTTTGCTTCGGACAATGCCGCGAGGTGGCACGTGACTGATTCCACGATCGCCCTTTCCTCGCTCCTCAAATTTGACTGTTTATTAAAATTGCTCACAGGGGAGTACCTCCTGACTCTGACTCTATTGCTGAACTCAGTAGCACATGGTGCGAGTTGTTGGGGGACTCAGGGCGACCACATCCGCCAGTGGTGAAATCTCGTCTCCCAACGGAGTGGGCTTTGCTCGCAGAAATACTCTCTATTGGGTGCTGACCTAGCGCTAATTATCAACTATTTATGACTGTCTTCTTCTCTTGATTTCTACTCACCATCGGAACATTCTTAACACCCAGGGGTGACATGGCCGTGGAGGAGGTCCACAAAGACCACGCGGTCGGACACTCGATAAAAGTAGCAGCCAAAAGGCGCCGTGCATCCCTCGCCTCCAATTGCCCGAACTGGTTCGAGCGGCCATAAGATTGTTGTAACGCACACATTAGTTATGGATCCTGTTGAGCAGTCTGCTCGATGTCGGCAAGCAGGTTTTTCTGGAAGATAACACTCATTTATGTAATGCGGAACCCGACACGGAGTCCCTTCGCTTGAATTCAGTTCGCAGTGGTCCCAAGAAATTCAAACCTGATGGGCGTCGTGACGTCGTGTAGTCTTCGGGACCCACAAATGCCTCTTTGATGGCCGTTCGCACCGGCTAGCACCTGCTCGGGGCTACGGGTGCAATGGAAGTACATTGTAGTGATTACATTCCTTGTACTGATTGCGAAGTGGATGTTGGGTGTTTAGAAGAGCATTGGGTGTTCAACTATTTTGATTCCGTGACGCGGGAATGATGCGGGGCGGCGCATCTCCTGGCTAACGAAATCATAATACTTTCTTCCATGTGCCCTGCCTCGAAGTTAAATCGGCAGAAGCTCTGCCTTGCACTACGGAAGCTGACTAAATACAGAATACACGACTGGAGTACTGTAAGACAGAAGTTACGGCCTTTCTCCTCTCTTCATTCTCCTCAAAAATAAAAATGATCATTATGTTCCGGATTTCTTAACACATGCATCGATACGGAAAGTCTGGATTTTGCAATTGACATTCAGCTGAGCCCTCGCTGAGCTTGACCCAAATTCTTCAAGGCGCTCTCTACAAGACGGACCCTTTCAACGTCTCTTGGCATCATTCGACACTTGAACGGTGCGATTTTGCTGGCAGAAAATGGTCGGCCCCATTATTCGAAGGCTGGTACTGACACGACTCACCGAGTGTGCGTATCGATGAAGTCCATAGGCGGAATGTACTCTCGGCCATTCTCGTCGAGAGGTGGCAAAATATTGAAGACGGACAGGAGGTGAGAAGTCATGACGAAAACGACGCTCAACGCGAAGTGCGAGCCGGGACAAAACCTAAAGTCCAATCAGGATACAACTTGCGAGTGAGAAGTATCGGGCCGACCTTCTTCCAAGACCAATAGCAAAAGATATGGTACTTGGATCCAATTCAGGTTTAGGCCCGGCAAACCTATCCGGATTGAAGGTCTCTGGATCTTTGTAGATGGAAGGATCGTTCAAGATTGCCCTGGACACGAGTGAACACGAAAGTCATATTCCGAAGATTTTCTTACCATATATTCACCATGACACAACTCCCCTTTGGAATACGATGCCCTTCGTAGAAATCATCCTCATCAAGACTGTGGGGTACAAGAGGCACGGTAGAGCTATGTCGGAGTGTTTCCTTGATTATGCATCCGAGGTAAGGCAAGGCGGTGCGATCCTCTATGGTTGCGAGCCGTTGGGAGCCAATGATGGTGTCTACTTCATGCTGAGCTCGCCGTTGAATCTCGGGATACGTGATCATAGCCAGCAAGAATAGGCGAATAGTAGACACGACCTAGAGCAAGGTCAGTGTGATAATTCCATCTCGAGAGCTGGCCGTACCGTTTCAATTCCGCCTTGGAGGGGCATGGTTAGCTAGGTGCCCCAAAAGCTGATCGAGAAAGGCGACACACCCGCGTACAAGCTACCAGCTGCGCATGCGAGGGCGTGCTGCTCAGCGGCTCCTTGAAGGTTGTTCCAGTCCTCAGCCAGTTGCTCCGCGACAAAGCATGGGGCTGGTGAACCTTTAAGCTAGAAATACGACACCACTTAAATTCTAACGGTTCGTCAATTTTTGGGATCTTACCACTTGGTCTTTTACGCGTTCAAAAGGAAGGCGTATTTGCTCAAAGACCTCGCGACGGGACTTCTTCGCCCAACGAATGAAGCCTGCTCCGGGAAAGAATGGCGGCACGTATTTGACTGTGATAGCATTAGGGCTGGAACGATCTATAGAGACCTTGAAGGAATCGACTCACGAATCGGGAACGAGTCGACCAACCACCGGCCCGGTTTGCTTGCAATGGCAGTGATTTCAATGGTGCGGTCTGCCATCGCAATCCAAGGGTCGTCGCGTGGTTTACAGTCTATGCCATAGGTGATTCTGAGAATAATAGAACCCACGCTCCTATCATCGTGGTAAATAACAGCATGTTGTATAGAGGGCGAACGAAACCTTACGCTTTGATATTCTCAGCGAAATGATCAGGTTCATCGAGGAGCGCCTTTAGAGTTCTGCATGATGCTTCGTACTGCAAGGGAGTATATCCCTCTAGGTTCCTGGCACTGAGCCATCGATGGAGGAGTTGACGCCCGTGCTTCCACTTTGGACCATATTTCATGAATAGAATAGAAGTATCGTCACGGCCGACCAGCTCGCCACCCACGATCTGGATTTATGGTGTGAAAGCCAGGTCTTCGACATCACGAAAATGAGTTACTGACATATCTGGGACGCGTGCTGTACTTTGAGGAGCGTTTCTCGATGAGGTCGGTGATGCATTTGTATGAGTTCAAGATGATGAACCTTCGCCCAAAGACGTGGAAGGAGATTACAGGGCCTGAAAAATTGGAATTAGCTAGTATCCCAAAAAAAAGTTCTGCAACACAGCTTGCCGTAGATGTTGGACCAGTCCCGATAGACTTTATATGGCTGCCGACGAGGAATCTGGTGGAGATTCCCAGTAAATAGGCGAGGTTTGGGGCCTGGTCACCATGCCAGTCTCAGTGAATTTCAGGATTAAGAGTTGATATATACCCTACCGGGAGGCAATGATGTGTCCTCGGACAAAACATATAGGAGGAACAATCCCGCGACCAGGACTGTCGCGCTAAGAATGAAGAGTGGGCTTTGGCACATTGTGGACGGAATCATGGTTGATCAAGGTTTAGCGTGCGGGTATAATCAGCTTTACATATAAGAGAGTGGCATGCTGATACAGTCGTCTTCGTGGAGGAACAACACCGGCCCCTCGTCGCGCCGACAACAATCGGGGTTACCGTGATCGGAGATCGGAATCCATACTTAGTATATGGAATTCCCTATTTGGTCCTATGTCGTCGCATCCAGTACCCACTCGTTGAAAATGGAAGGGAGGTATTCTGGCATTCCCTATCAGTTCACCTTGGTTCACTGTCGTGAATCAAATCCATCGCCCTATGTGCCGTTCAGGGGTCTGTTCCCGTGGAATTCCCGTCTGCCTTTGGTCTGCCTGTACGGAAGAGAGAGATGTTGATGTCCCAACATACCGTAGTCAGGCGCCCACGATCCAAAGCGCATGATACACCCTTACAAGCTCAAGTGAACTATTGGTACATTGTGTGGATTGCGATCAAATGAGTCTCCAGCCCCATAGCCTTTGGGAGTCTATCCGAGCCAAATATATCAGCGCATCACAAGCTGCGTTCAGATGGCCACTACTACTTGTGGGTTTTAATGGACCCACTTGCGCTCGGAAAACATTCCGGTACTCTGGAATTTAGGGGCTCACCTCCGCGGTTCGCGGTTGTGCAGCCTGCGCAGACGATTTAACTTTAACACACAGACGCAAATAGTGGGCGTCTAGTGGGTCCACCACTTTTCTGACGAAATTCCCCTTCATAACGGACGAAGTTCAGGCGAGAGCTACTGAGTTATTTTCAGGTCTTGCCTAACTATGTTGACGCACACCTGTACTAGAAGGCAGCTCTCGCGCCGATTATGCCACTCGTTCTTCGAGAGAGGGGAGCTACAAAGTTGTAGGGCGGAATCCTTACCCGATGTCCAATGGTCAGTGTCTTGGGGCCTATTTTAGACAAACGGTCGCTTATCATCCTACCACACAGTATATTCGACTGCTACTTGCTTTCATGGCTCTGATAGTCGCGAACCGTCGCGTCCCCATAGGTAAGCCAGCAGTTCTACCATATGCTGTTGACAACAAGTGTCCTCCGAGTCGGACGTCGAAACACGTACAGATATGTACATGCGGAGGAGGCGACTTCGATGTCAAGGTGGAGAAGTTTGATATCAGCCCACACATTGCCCACAGACGGACGACCCACATTGATATTGGGCGGCAGCGCTTCATTTGTGGACTCGAGCCGGAAAGAGTAAATTGTAGATTCATCACAAGTCGAGGGCTATTCCGCTGATTTCTAACAGAAAAGGATTGCATTCGAGAGGACGATAGAGACAGCGGCGATAGTCATAGTCCATAGTGATCAGATCAGCTCTGTGCTCCTGCGTTTCACAAGCATCTGCCTCGTCACAAGTAGGAGAACCACCCCCGCTGCGGTCGAGGTCTAGAAATGGGAAGGATATGAGCAAAACTCAGCTGGGCGAAAACGATCCTAGCCGTACTGCACTGAAAATGATGGGCTTATTCCAGTCAAAGTGAGGCCCCAGTAGGGCACCAGTCACTGGAGTGCCAATAAGGGCCCCAAAAGCCGTTAAGGAAAACGCGATACCAAATCGAACTCTGAGCAACGCGAGGTGTAAGTGTCTGGAGTTCCCGAAACAATGGCAAGGTAATTACCCTACTTCCGAAGGATGTCTCGATAGCGTCGCAAAGGCCGGTGCTGCAAGTGATAAGACTGAAGATCGTTGTTAATGCCCTGACGTCTCGGACAAATGAAAAAAAGCACCCACTTGCTCCAGATAAAAAGCCATACAAGATGCCAAACCCAATGACGCCGCCGACCGTTTTTATAGCGAGCATGGCATAGATGAGCACGGCGCAGAACAGGACGCACGGAATGGCGACGTTGTATGGGCCAACGTGGTCTGCGAGCATGTTTGGGAAAATGCGTCCAGGAAGAGCAGCAGCGTTCAGTATGGCGATCTAGGAGGAACGTCAGATGTAGATAGTAGAATAGGGTAGAGGGCAATTACCGAGTAGAAGGCGGTTTTTGAATCGACTCCATGAACGACGGCGAAGAGCTGAAGGTAGAAATCTATCGCAAGTTCGGACAATGACGAGCCATCACTTCTGAAGGAGGGACCTACATGGGAAGAAAACACCCCAGTCCATGACGAAGACACTGGAAATATCGTCAGCATTTGCATTCAAACCGCTCGAAAGAAAACCTACGCGAAGATAGAGATCAAGTACGGAATGTCCGTCATAATGCCTTTAAGGTCCGGCTGTACTTTCTTGGCATTGAAGTTTGCCTTCGCGCTCATCAAAGCATTCGCAGCAAGTAACATTGCAAGAACGACAAAGGCGGAGACTCGAACCCCCCACGCGAATCCCATAGAACCCTTGAAGAGTTCATTAAGCATAATCGGGAAGATGATGCCGCCAATTGATGTCCCTATTATCCAAGGAGATGAAAATGTCGACGACGAACGGTAGTGCAGACAAACCTGTGGCAGCGATGCCCATTGCGAGACCTCGACGAGCACGCCAATGGTGCGACTGGACAGCGAGACAGGGGATATAAAGGAGACCGGAACCGATTCCCACCCCGAGTCCTTGTGCGAGGTAGAGTTGATAGTATTTTTGAGGGTCACATATCGAGACCATGAATAACCTTGCATCGGAAGTCTCAGCATCGAAAAGACAAGGAATAAAGGGCGTACGAAAACACATAAACGAACGTGCCGACCATCGTCGTGAGCCTGAAGTATCCCATATCGAGTAGCTTGCCAGCAGGTAACGCCATGGCTAGTAAGCAAAATAGCTGGGTAGAGCCGATCCAGCTTATGGCGGAGGCAGAGGCCGTATGAGAGCGCGTGTAAAAGTCCTGGTACACGCCAAAGCTATTCGCATATCCGAAGGTCGTGGCGACTGTGATGCACCTTTGGGTACTACTGTCAGATAACTGGGAGAAGGGTCGACATCTGGCTTACCCGCCCATGGCTGTGCTCCAGGCATGAAAACCGCCATCCATGACCCCATCGGTGGCTTCAGGCGTCGGGGAGGGTGGGGAAGGGGCGACGTTCTCCTCCGCAATACTCTTCTCCAGCCGCGCTGGCACGACAAGAGATACCATTACTGCAGAGTTCGAGGTGGGCAATGATTTTCGTAAAGGCACTAGGCGTATATGACCACTGACCGGCACGGTTCGTTGCATCGTGAGTTACCACCCCAAGGGTTCCAATGATCCACGCTGGTTCGTCGGCAGTCCATGCCGACCGCGAAACCGTTTATTGCGCTTCTTCGCAGCCTGTGGGCAGTGTTTGTGGATGGCGCCCACGCGCCCTTCCATCTGGATGCCAGGAGTTTCGATGCAGCCAGACGTCAGACGACAGCCCACGATAGTGCACACCAAACGCCTGGTGTTCATCATTGCGGCTGATCGTCTGACTTGTAGGAACGTGGAGAAGCCAGGGCCGACAAACAAGATCCACAACCTGTGACCTTAGGTGGCATTCTTCCCAGATTCCCAAGGGTGACTGCAAAAAAGAACAGAAAATATAGCAGTTAAGACTCGTATCGCTCCCCTGATGTACGCAAACATCAAGAGGATTCCATGGGACGTTGCTCATCAGCAGTGTTGGCCACGTCATAATGACCTGCCTGCTAGGAACACCTCTAGGAATGCTTCGGACTGTCCTGTTGCTCAAGCCCATCCTAACCCGCTTTCAGGACGGAAGAACTTACCTTCAGGCTCCTCTCCTTCTCCACACCTGGCAGTCGCTGACCGAGGGCTAAGCTTTTGGATTGAACTTCGGCAGCTGCTCATCGCTTCCAGGGGAGCCACGAAGTTCAAATAACAGGTGCATCGAGCATCCTCTTCGTGATGTTCGAGAATCGACGCTCGGTGTCGTTTTGAAAGAGATGGGGCGATGTCACAGGCGCCCGCAGATGCGGATAAGCGGATGCCGAGCCAATCAGAAATGCACAGCCACCCCCTGGTTGAGGTTTACGGGCAGGCTAGGTACAAAGTTCCTGAAGTGCTCTACCACGAAGAATGGAATGCTGTACGGACGCAGATACTGAGACAATTAGAGTAAGGGTATTATACAACGACCGAGGCGAACGATGCCCCGGGCACTAATTTGTCTTTAACCTTGCTGCTAATTTTTGACCAACTGCTCTAATTGAAATGGCCGATGCGATAAATAGCTGAGGCGATAATGACTATGGGTACCATCTTACATTTTAAGGAAATATGGTTTTAAAACTAAGCTGACTGACTGAAGACACTAGCACAATTCGTGTGCTAAAGAAAAGCAAACGACTAGGAACCTCGTGACTTATAAACCATATCTCCTATGTAGATTCCATATCTACATCCCGGTCCCTGATCTTTCCCATTGATGGAAGCGGGATATCCGTGGTTTCTTTCGTTCCTAGCATGAGTGGCCCGCTAAAGAACGGGCTACCACTGTTCGCTCCAGTAGCCTTACCAATGGAGCGCACCATGTCGCGAGTGTTCAATGACACGAGGAGTGAGTTTAAGTACACTTCGGTTCCATCAGCCAGTGCGAGCTTCCCTGAAGAAAAAGCAGAACATACACTTGCTCAGCGGGATATAGATTGCGAAGAATACCAGGTTGTCCGGCCATATGGCATACTGCAACGCTGTTAGTTGAAATGCGTTTGACAAATGCGTCTGACTTACTATGGCTACGCAAGCGAAAGCGCAAAAACTGCAAGGGCTTGAGACTAGGGATAATACAAAACTGAAGTTCATGATACCTTGTGAGAAGTCCTAGGTAAAGATAGTAAATAGGCCTGCAGGAAACTGGATTTTGGCCCGAGGAACACACCTGTATTGATCGCGAGTGCCACCAGAAACGATATCATGGAATCCGTTCTACGAATCGAAGGATGGAATAAGTTGAACGAACAGTACAAAATCACTGAAGCATTACCGACGGAATCCCGTTCGGCTCCTAATCAACAGTATCGACAGGATAATTGCAATAAATAGGTCGGCCACTGCAGTACATATGAAGGCCGAGTAGATCGCCCACTATGGGACGAATCCCGCCTTGTCAATATCCTTTCGATTTGGGGGGCAGACAAGAAGGAACACTCACAGCTCTTCTTTCGAATTCGAGGTACGTTTCCAAACCGAACCTATACAGCAGTCGAGTCAGGCACAGAGATTGCCAGAATAGCTTTCCGCATACCCTGTCGATGCCAGCACTTCATGCGACATAGAACGATGAACAATGTCGCGTTGTGAAAAATAGAAAATGAAGCTCACCAATACCGAAGCCTATCATGGATTTGCTCTTCAGAAGTAGTGGAACGATGAGCTTTAGTCAACTTACTGACTGATATCACGGACAAAAGATTCTTGAAAATGGCAGGTTAGCGGCCTTCCGTGAAGTCCAGCTACAGATTATATGCACTCACAATAAATATGACCAAGACAGTGGCGAGGATCTTCTTTTCTCTGAGCACTGACATGGTTGTTTACACACAGAAAAGAATGTGCTGGTAGAATCGGTTGCTCACATAGGTAGATTCTCCTTGAGAAGATACTTTGATGAAAGGGCGTTTTTCTTAATTCTCAGGAAGGTCAAGAGTATCGGGGGTAACTCACAGTCGGACGACGAGATCGCTGGTGGTCTAATTTTCAGCTAGGCGGTTAGTTGAGCACTATCACTCAAACTGTCGGTCGATTACCGTGATATATATCGGGACGAGGATAGACCTGAATACGCAGCAAATAATAAGTATGTCTTGAGACAATCTGCAATGAAAGGAAGCCGAACCATATAGGCTTTTGGAGAGCCCTCAAGTCTCCGAAACTTATCACAAGATAGTGGTACATGGAATGAGCGTTGAACGCGGTGTGAAGACTGTCGGTGACCCTTCATATAATGTAGCCAGTTAAAAGTCGGAGGGGAGGTAGTCGACGGGGAATGGCCTCACCAAAGAGCCATAATCTGGGTCAAACAGGGACGGTTAGTCTGAGCTGCTCGAGGAAAGGACCAAAGCTGCAAGTACCGTTCGTTTGAGCCAGCGGCCATCACTGTCGCCCTTGCGACGAAGGAATATCAGAGTTTGCAAAGAGTTCAGCCCATATAAACTGTGGAGAGTGTGCCTAAGTACGGATGGTCCCAGGAGTAGTAAGAATGGAGCATACTAACATCGCAGCGGCCAGCAAACCCAGGAACGGCGCGCCTAAATTCCTGTGCAAAAATACAGTCGGGACACGGTCCATCTCGCAAGTGATTAGGGCCTTAGTTTCGGGGAGGAAGAAATCAACGTCAACCTGAGCCCCACTAAGATCCCTGCCAGGGATTTAAACCACCCAGCTTCGAGGTTCCTGATGATCATGGACACCTCCTACACGGCCAAGAGACTCAGGACAATATTTATAGATATGCTCTAGTTCCGTCCACTGATGGACGGCGTCAGGAATACGGCAACGGAGGAACTCTCAACGGAGGAACTCTTTGCTGGATGCTATCAGTCTAGGTTGTTTGGTTGTTACATACGAGTTAGAATTCACCGAACACGAAGTGTTATCACCTTCCTATCAGCTGGATTGCTTATCTTTGCTGTTTGGGCGGCCGGATGCCAACTCCGGAAGGTCGATCTCGGCCTGTTGAGCGCCAAGACAGTGCCAAGACTTTAACGCCGGATTCGGCGATTTCCGTTTCCACAAGCGCCCACCGATGGAAAGCCACAAGCCGAGGAACCTGCAGCAGACGCCACCCTAGAAACGTCGAATGGGAGCTAGAAGTAATAATAATCTCCAGCGTACATGATCTCCATTTGAGCTCGAGGACTCAACAGTCTCTTGCATAGAGCAAGATAGCCCGCGATGACAGCTCTTCTTCGCGCGGCTTGATCGCTTGAGAGCTTCGCTGTAAAGAACTCAATTGCGTCATGGAATTAAATTAGTTTCTCCGGCCCAGATGCGCGAGTTAAATGATGTGCAGGATGCAGACCTCACACGCCTGTCTACGACGTACGTTTGAAACTGGAGCGTTGAAAACGCTTGGGACATTCCGCTCTACCAAGTGGGGGATATTCACGCACTTGAGGAAGACGAGCTTGATGAGCCGATACCGCACGGTTTGTTATCGCATGGCTTGCCTCTTATTTGGGCGTGTCGCTCAGACATGCTTCTCCCGTTTCTTCTTGTACATACGGACCGTGATGGTCACCGTTCACGCCCGTAGGGTGAGTTTGATATGATAAACGCACACTGTAGAGAGATTTATTTTAACGGGCCGTTCAGTCAAATTATCCGCTCACCCGGTTGATCCCTTGTCGTATGGCAGAAGCCGCGAGTAAGCAATGTCGATTGTCCTAACGAAAGGGTAGAGACGGCAGAAATATTAATTTTTCATATATCTCTACAAGGAGGAACGTACACGCTTAGGTACCCAGGTCCTCGCCCGGGTCACATTAACCCTGGCCCTGGCTCAAGGAAAAGCGAGTCGCGGACATTTAACACAACTTCAGTTATGGAGTATCATGGAGTGTCGTCTGTGTTACAAGGACCTCAAGCCTCTTAGGAGACTGGGGTTCGTCCTGCGTTTAGACTGTCACAGTAAGGTCAATCAGCAGAGTATCAATGACTTCAAACAACAGATCCCACCGAATTCGTGTTCATGGTTTCCCCGAAGTTCGGAATGTTCGTCTCGGCGTACATCGACTTCTCGCGGGACAGCGCTTTCCGTGTGTTCAGCGACGCCAACACCGTGTTTAGGTACCTTCTACGAGGCAGGTTGTCAGCCTTGGCGTGCACCAGGGTGTGCTGAGATGTACAGGCGGCCAGCGCAGAAGTAGAACAGTCCAAAGATGAACGTGTCTGGCAGCGAGATGGCGGTTGCGACAGTCAGGAAAGAACATATTGAAGTGATGGCACCGTACCATAATCTTCGTGAGTATAGTGTCGAACGCCAGTGCGTGAAGAATACAGTAGGCACACCGTGGTCCCGGCCAGCAGGATTTTGTGATGGCTGCGGCGCCGTTGGCTAGTTCAGAGTAGACGTTGTAACGGTCTTGTGCTTCTGAAATCTTATCTGTTTACATTGTCTTGATGACCCATGCTGTCCAAGATCTGTCAGAGCGTCTCGAGAATTACCAGAAAGGTGTTGCATCTAGCCCCATGCCTGGAAGCGAGGAGATTCTGTTAGGATATCAGCGGCTGGTTTGCGAGGGACTCGAACCTTACCGGCGCAATGACGAGAACCCACCGTATGAAGAAATTCATGTCAACGCCACTAGCCGAGGGAGGGAACGATACAATTGGACTCACGCCACCATATCCGCATCAAGAAGCTTCTTCGCACGAGTATCGTTTCAATATCCTGGAGAGAGGGGACAGAAGGGCTCAAGAGAGCCTTGATTACTCACCTGAAGAACTGCCCGGCTCTACCGTGGCGTAACCCATGATACATATGGTACGGGAAATTAGCGTAAATTATGGCCTCCACTTTCAAATAACACTAACCAGAAAGCTCCATATCTTGTAGTTCGGGTGCTTCATGCTAGAAAAGTTCGGAGGAAAGTTCGTGATACCTATAGTCCAGATTTACATCCAAGAATGACCTGCCGTTGTCGTATAGAAGTAAGATAAGAAGGAAAGATGAGATGCTGCAAGCGATCGAATTCTTCAGGCTCATACCAACGTGCATTATCATCGCTTGGTTAAGCACGTTAAATAACTGCCCTTAAAGTTCGAGGCTGCTCCATGAGTTTTTCGAGTTGCGCACCATATGAAATTAACCTGAGAAATTTATTAGAGGGGAAGAAAGCTCATGGACGGATTTGACGAACCAAAAACCGCCAAAGAGGAGGGTCTTTCGTATAATTAATATTATACCTGTAAATCACACATGAGAGCGAGAAAGGCGATCAAGCAGTAGCGATCTTACCAATGAGTTTGTGCAGTCCCAATCCCTAACGATCTATTTGATGCTCGCTAAGAATTTCAGATGAGGGAACACAGAGCCTCGCTTACATTCCAGCGATGGCCACCCCAACGAAGATCGCCCCGTACGCAGAGTCAAGATTTGGATCCGGAGTACTTGTCGGGTCCTGAGGCGACGCTGCATCGGTAAGAAACTCAAATCTTGCGATGACAGTGAGATCTCAACCAACTCAGGATTAACTCTCTGTAGAGCCCCGTAAGGGCGTCCAAAATTACAGCACCATCGGCGCCTTGCGCGGGTGACACCTCACGCAGAGAATGCACAAAACGATGTTTCTGGCGCAGCGCGAAGTACATAGCCCGGTTGTGGGTGCTCAGGATGATATTTTGATCGGGCATTGGGATCCAGCGAGGCGCTGGGGATTCAGAGGTAGGCTAGAACATCCTCCATGGGTGATGGCGCCGATTGAGAAGGGAGGCTGTAGTACCTCGGGCCTCAAGTTGGAGAACCTCGCGGGTTATCTGATGATCTATCTGAGGTCGGATAGCGAGTTAACTGTGATATCATGATATGAAAAGTTGAGAAGAGAACTAGGCGAGTGAAATAAAGTTCCATCTAGATAATCTAGTGGAAAGAAAAAGCGAGTCAGCCTTGGTCTTAGTTCCGACTTGCAAGGGAATCATGCGTTCTTTTTTTCTTACTTTCAGATTCTGGACTCCACCGGTGATAGCAGAGCGAATTACAGGCGCTGATATTCCAGCACCCGATGAGAAGAAACTAGATGGAGGGGTGACTCCGGAAACCGCGAATACATCGCTAGGAATATCCTAATAATGAAAACGAACATCAGCGTGAACAACCTTTTTCGAATCGATCCTGTCTCCAACTCACCATTCCGAGTGACAAAACAAGGTCCTCCCAGGCGCTTGTATCTAAATATAAAGGCGCGCTGAAAATGAAGTCCGTGCCAAGCACTTGCAGGGCCTTCCGACTCCGCCGACTGCGGGGACAACGGCGAAGGGGTGGATCGAGGGTTTGGCAATAGACGCCCTCGTCCATGAATCATAAGAGAAATACGCGGTCATGATGTCCCAATCATTCTCGAAAGCTTCGCTGACGCTCATCATCGCCCATCTTACGAGGTTCTAGGCGAAATATGGTCACTGCTCCAGTCCGCGCTGGAGCATCCTCCATAGCCGAGTTTACGATAGTACGGATCCAGAAAGTATCATCCAAAGGCATCAAAGAAAGCCACATTTTCGTTTCCAAAGGTAATCGTGCAGAAAGATTTGCCGCTAGAGCGGGAAGACGCTGCTGTGATGAGTCACTTCCCCGAGATGAGAGCCTTGAGCCAGTGCAACAAGATTCTTGTGGTTATGCCCAAGACGCCTTGCTACCCGGATTTCGAGAAGAATGCAAGATGATGTCGTACGTTTTTCGCGCTGCTCGGCTTAGACGAACGGGAGAACCCCAGCTCGCCAGACTGACGGTCTTGGGCGGGTCATGGGTAGTATGCTCTCATCCGAGTCGGACGTAGCAACCTGCCATCGGTATTGGCTTTCAAAGATTGGGATGTCAAATAACCCGATATCCATGAAATCATGACATCGTGATAGGACGTGAAGGAGGAGGAGCACTTGGAGGAGAGTCGGAGAGGTGGCAATTGCTTGGTGGCAACACTATAGTAGTCGGCTCGTGCCGACGGCACTCACGTGGTATGCCGCAGCGGCGAATCTGGATGTTCACACGCCCTGCGTCTCTATTACGTTCTTGCTCACTGCAGATTCTACATCTCATATTACATTCTGTTGTGAGTAGGCTGAGATGAACGCCAACATTCGGGAAGAACTTGGAGAATCCTCGCATTCACAGCCATAGAACGCGTAACCGAAACCTTTCCTCGAAATTGTAAGTGTCCGAGTCGAAACTATGTCTCCCTTGTTGCCACTCGCGACCAAAGCTCACGCACAGCCGTCCAGTAGCGTTCTGGGTCCGTGCGCGCGTGGGCAACATGAGGGCTCTTCTCAAACCTCTCAACCGTCACGTCGTACCCCTTTCCAGCTGCCTCGTCGATATGCCTTTTGACGTTCTTCGCCAACGTGATTCTGTCTGTCTCTGAGTAGATGTAAAGCCTCGGGGCGGGCTTTACGTCGCTACTCTTGGACTCGCTCAAGTTCGGAAGGCCAGCTGGTTCGTGGACTGCGATTCGAAGGCTAGTGAAGATCGGAAGGTTGCCGGCGAGCATGTTGATGAGGTGGAATACACCGTATATGAGGATGACGATTGGGGTAGAAATGATTCGTAGGATGGGTTGATCGGGTCGGCTTCCGTTCATGGCTGACTCGAAACCGTCGTCGCCAGGGAGAGAGTCGAGAAGCATGGCAATTGGAGGCTGCTGAGGCGCGTTGAGTGGATGGCGAGCTGGAAGCCACCACCTGTGCGTAGTAAGCGGTCTAGTCCCCTCGTCGTCATTTTGCACTTACCATTCGACATCACATAAAGCAGGATTCCTTTGTTAAGGTTCCCATTCTCCTTTTCTCGATTGAGGGTTGTCAATACGGGCGCTAATGTGGACTCCTTGGAGGGTACGTCAGCTGGCAAAATGCATTGAATTGTTTCTGATTTTCGAACCTTCGTTTTTTCGCTCAACCAGTAGAAGTTAGAATCCACCATTACGACCGCGATGGTCGATGTTGAGTAAATACCACGGAGGATGTCGGCATATTTTTGGACGTGCGCTAACTTTGCGTTCACTACGCTCCATCAGAAGGTACCTCAAAGCCACGCAAGGTGCAAGACGTACTCCAACCGAAGAGAATGATGAGCCTAGCCAGCAACCTTGAGCTCGACAATGCCTTGCATAATTTCAACCAAGGACTTACCCAGGCGCGCTAACACCTTCCGACCCATCTGCAGACGCGCTGGCATCTTCCCCTGTTGGCTCAGACAGGTACACTTGGGCGTTCAGCTTCTTGAGGTTGGATGGCGCAGAAGGAATGGACGTTGACATGGTGGTGGTTGCAGGTGAGCAGCAAGCTACGGCGTCAGTCTGTTTTGTGACCGATGATGTAAATTTAGCTCATGGTTGTGGGCTTGGTTCGGGTTCGGTCGTCGGTCTGGCTGCTACGGTTCAACTGAAGCTCAACATGAGTCGACTGATTGATCGCTGCGTAGCACTGAATGTGATCGCCCTGTTACGACAGGTTACGACTCTTCCATTGCAAACCTTCCACAGAGAACATTTAGCACGATGCTTCGTGCCAAGACTTGTCTGACCGCCTCATTTCAGCTCATTTTCTCAAGCAAGTCAAGCAGGTCGCCCACAGATGGAGGGGTTGATGGAGGTGCTATAGACCGTGATCTCAGGATGAACCACGCACACTCGGCCAAAATCTACCGAACAGGAGGGCATGCTGTCGGCTTATTATAGTCCCCCTATCGTCGGCACTGCGCTCTGACGTGATAGGATGTGATGCATGTGCGGCATGCCCACATTTTTATGATTTAAGGTGGTCGCTGAACGTCTGCAACCACCAGAAAGCCCGAGCCAGCGCGCTCTTTATCCATCATGTCGACCTCAGAGGCCAGTGCCCAGACCAACGTCACCCGCATCAACTCCCACGTTTTCGTAAGTGAGCCACCAAAGGCGCCTATTGCCCGCGAGGCTGCGTATGCCCACCCACCCTCGTATGTATCTGTTCTCTTGTTGTCTAGTGCGGGACGCTAAGAAGAGCATTTTAGCTTGATCATTCTCTTTGGTTGGAGTGCGTACCCGTCGCCTTTGATAGAACCCAATTATTGACGAAACCCGGCGCTCTCATGATCAGTGGACGCACAGACGCCGCATCTGATCAAGTACGTTGTGTCGTTGCGCAGCCTGTACCCGTCATGCAGAATAGTTTTCGTCCGGTCCACGTCCGCATTCTTCTTCACACCGCAGAACAAAATGGTGCGTGTGTCGAATGATGCACATCATCGTTAACCTGAGGCTGACTTCGCCACACATCATTAGGAGAAGCTATTGACCCCCGTCGCAGAGATCCTGGAATACGAGATCTCACTCCCTAGCTTCTCGGGCGTATTGCTCCATGTCATCTCTAATGGTATGCGTCTAGAATATTGTTGATCAGGAGAAGCACATAATTGAAACTGATGATGCTGATTAGGTGGTGGGTTCAACCTAGTCTCGCTGAACAAGGTTCTCTCCAAGTTGGCTGCAAAACGGCCTCACGCTTCCCGCGCTTCGCCGCCTTTCGCTCCCGTTGCCCTCATCCTCGACTCGACCCCAGGCAAGGATGAGCTGAAGACGGCGCAGACGGACCTGCTGTCGCCCAATCCCGTCTTGTACTCGCTGACCGCGCCTGTGCTCGCGGTGATGTTCCGCGTGTACACGGTCGTCAACACCGTGCTCGGAAACCTGCCGATGCTGCAAGAGCTGCGCGCGTCGCTGAACGACCCGAATATACTCCCTGTCCTCACCGAGGGCAACGTCAAGCACTACGCGCATGGGCTACCGCGGTTGTATATATATTCTGCGAATGATCGCAATACGCTTCCGCATAATGTGGAAGCACACATTTCGGAGGCGACGGGAAAGGGCTTCGATACTTCTGTGGAGAAGTACCTTGATTCCCCACACGTGTCCCATGCGCGCTTCAATCCTGAGCGATACTGGCGGGCTGTGAAGGACCTGTGGGATCGGGCTGTGGAACGTTCGGAAGAGTATCAGGTCCCCTTCGCTCGTTTGTAGATCCACGCTTCTTAGAAGTTAGAAGACTCACTAAACAAAGAACATCGCACTAATACAATTGCATTCTCTTTTTGAATACACTGGCTTCTGCGCTTTACCTGGCAACCCCAACATTGATTCCTCTGGACTGCATATTGAATTAGACCGAAGAACAAGTGATAGATGTTATAACTTATAAATGCCAGTTGATTGCTACACAATTCAAAAATCTACAATGTACAAACGCTTTGGGATGACTTTATTTACTTAAATAAATACAAAGAATTGCAAGGAGGAAAATGCTGGGTTCTCAGAATGATAGGTCTAACGATATGGCTCGACGCTAGAAAGGAAGGCCTTCCACTTCTTCTCCGACGAAATGGGCGCGGTGATGTAAGGCTCTACGTTTAACTCGTCCAGGAGCTCGTCAATACGGGGGAACATACAGTCGACTGCGCGCACCTCCATCTCGCGCATAGCCGAGCGAGACATGGACATCTTCTCAATGTACCAGGACGGGTCGAGCTTGATGCAGCTCGCGACGTACATGTCGATGATGGTCTTGTCAAGCTTCTGGCGGACGGCGGCGTCGTACGCCATTCTCTGCCCGATGGCCTGGACGAGCGGCAGGCACTCGGGGAGGATGTAGCGGTCAAAATCGGAGGACCTGTGTTTGCCGATGGTCTTGAGCATAGCGGAGTGTTCCTCGAACAGACCTTTCTCATGCTTTGCGAGGATGCTGTCGGGATCGTCGGCAGGAGGAAGTTGGTAGCGCCTCAAGAGAAGCTCGGACGCGAGCCCTGGAAAGTTTCTCGGTTAGTTGCAACTCGGGTAGTTGAAGAGGTGCCTTACTGATAGAAAGGGCCAAAATATCCCCTTCGGCAATGGCGATACCTCGAATGTCATACTGCAGAAATATTAGTTGTGGGTCCACTGCAAGGGTCGAGCGTGCCTGGACTTACGAAAACGGCAGTGATCTGATTCGACTCGAAAAGGCCTTGCGCGCCACACCGATCGGCAAGGGTAAGATTGGCGGCTAGGGCGTGCTGCATCATCACCGTCTTTACAATCGTCCCGATGCCATGGGAGACGCGGGGGTCCTTGGTGGTCAGGAAGGCGGGAACAGCGGTCTCGTGGAGCGCCTTCATGACGAAGGCCTGCGCCAGCGCGGTTAAGACGGGGATCTTCTGCGTGCGGAAGCCGATGATGGGCGTGAGTTTGCCGGTCGCGGCGTCGGTATACATACGACGCAAGCTGTATTTTCCACAGATGTAGGAGGCGACCTGGAGAGCCGGCACGCCCAGGGAACCGATGGCGAGTGTGCCGACGCCGACCGCAGAAATATGCTGCAAGAACGCCTCCCGAGGATTCTCGGGCTTCTCGATCCCGCAAAGTAGGGAAGAGTAAGGGAGTTTAACTTCGTTGAAGGAGGTGATGGAGTGGTTGATGGGACGAGAGCCTCCTCGATGGGGCAGGCACCTTGATAGATGATAGATCCTTTAGTGTTTTGATGTCTAGAAGTTTAAAATGTACCTACTTGCAGGTTACTCCCGGGTGCATGGTATAGCCGTCATTGAGAGGAACGAGGAAAGGCTTGATTCCATGATCTTCATCCTTAACAATTGTGCGGGCAAAGACGATCGCGACAGCAGGGTCACCCATGGGCTTTGTCGGGGCCATGTATCTGCGGATTCGGAAACCCTTAGAGGATGATGTTATTGTAGGGGAATACGACGAACTTGGCAGCTTTCTCCGTCGGACTGTGGAGCTCAAAAGTTCCGTCTTCGAGCAGGGTGGCCGTGGTCTCCAGATGGATGGCATCGAGACCATGCCCAACTTCTGTCAAGCAGAACTGTCCACTTGGAGAGTGTCAGGCGTGTAGAACGGTCCCAAAATAGCGAACTCACCAATATTCGAAAGTCAAAACCTTGTTGAGGGTATCGATGACTTCTGGGGTAGGATGCTGGATGGAAACGCGGGCCAAAGTTCCCGCGCACAGGTTCAATTGGATTGTGCACAGGGTAGCAGCCGCCCCATCCATAGTGGATATCGGGTCTGTGTGGAGCTGCCAGAACTTGGGCGAGAACTTGAGAAGGTCTTTCGCGGTAATTCCTGAACCAATGGTGCAATCAGCACCGATCACGTATCCTTCAAGACGACATTCTCACCATAGGCCTGGACAATAGCTTTAGCGCGCGAATACGACAGAGCTATTTGTTGCTCCTTTGGAAGCGTCTCATGGCGAATCTGAAAGAGTGCAGACTTGGCTAGTTCGCGAGTAGGATGCATCGCAATTGCGAGTTGGAATGCTGATGTTGGGGGGTTCTAAGTGGGGCTTTATATATCCCTGTACATGCTGTAAATACGAACCAAGACGAGCACGAAAGTTATCAGTTCTGATGCCTAATTTCATCTGGGTAGCACGTATACCGTGTTTATCGCCTTACTCTGTCGGGCACTGGAGGACGAGCTTGGTTGGGCACATAGAACCACGCTCTTAGCATCAAAAGACAATGTCATTGCGGGTTTCGACTGGCCGTATCATCGCAGCTGTCAATGATGTGGATGTTTTCAAGGGCTCCTGAAACATATCAGCGGCGATTTTTGCTACTCATTTGCGACGAACATTCAGCTCGGCGTCAGCGCTAACAGACAGCTAGGACCCCGGACTCACCGATTCCTTTCGGAGAATTACTTGTGTGCATCCCAAAATTAGAGAAGATAGGGGCTTGGCACGTCGTCTCTGTGATCTCCCAACGGCCGTTGGGCACAAGGGCACAGGATCATTACCCCGAGTAGCGATACTTCCCCCTACAGGCGGGTCGGTCAATTACAGGGTCAAGATTATTACCGACTAAGAATAGATTGTTAGCATGGTGGCGATCCGTCGGAGAAACTGTCATGCCATCGATGCAAGTCAGAGAACGAGACGCACCTCTGCTTAGAGCCATCAATTGTTGTTCTGATATATGTTGCGCACAGGCGGCAGGAAAGGCTGACCAGTAGCCGTTATCGGGGAAGCCACTTCAGGGCCTTGCTCGGGTTTGGCGCTCTCGGAGAGAAGCAGTTTCTGCGACGCGCAGTACGCTTGCCGGGATCCCGTATGACAGTCAAGAGAAAATTAAACTGCGTGGAAGTTCATTCCAAAACACGAGGAGAGGGATAAAGCATGTACAGATGTAATTGTGCTGTGACTAATATTAAGTATTTTGAAACTGCCGTCTCGCTTAAGTCACGACGACGAACCGCCTCAGGCTCTGAGCTTTCTTGAGCAGGCGGGGCTCGTTCATCTTCCCGGTTTATGGCGGATGAGTGCAAGTGCATCATGATTGAGAATGTATAGCTACTATTATTGTACATGAGAAAGCGGTGGAATGGTCACTCATACTAGCTGGGTTCCCTTTCGTTTTACCAAAACCTGTCGCACGATCATGAGGAAAATGAGGGCCACAGTACACGACACCTAGACACAGAAATGTCAGATTAACGTGAATGAAACAAAAGTATGTAGCACGTACACCGCTGAATATGATAGGTTTGTTCCATCTGAAATGGTCTCCGAGGAGGGCACCGGTCACCGGAGTGCCAATAAGCGCCCCGAAGGCAGTGAGGGAGAAGGCGAGTCCGAACCGGACTCTGGAGGACGTTGAGCGTTCAATATTCAGAAGATAACGACATTATTTCGCTTACCCTACTTCTGATGGGTGCCTCGAGAGAACTGCGAACGCGGGTGCTGCCAGAGTGAGGGCTGGGAAGCTCATGTAAGATCTCATAGAAGACGAAGCGAGGTGGAACATGAACTCACTTGCGCCGGAAAAGAATCCATACAAGACAGCGAACACGACGACGCCGCCGAGGTTTCCTATGCTCATCATCGCGTAGATAAGGACGGTGCAGCTCAGGAGCGACGGCGTGAGCACGTTGTATGGTCCAAAGTGGTCCGCCATCATGCTAGGCAAGATTCGTCCGGGCACGGCGGAAGCGTTCATGATGGCGATCTGGAAATTTGGTTAGTCTTGAGTCCATACATTTCTTCAAGGACCTTGGGCGTACCAAGTAGAACGCTGTTGTGTGATTGACCCCGTGGAGAATGGCAAACAGCTGAAGATAGAAGTCTGCGAGAGTTTAGAATTGTGCGTTCGTGATATGGACCAATATGCGGGAGAAGGACTTACAAGGGAAGAAAATCCCCCAATTCGCAAAGAACATACTACAGTTGCGGTCAGCCTCTGCCGCACATCGTTCACTGAAATCAGCAGACACATACGCTAAAATAGAGATCAAGTACGGAACATCGGTCATGATGCCTTTGAGGTCGAGGTCAGGCCGATCCTGCGCGTTGCTATTGAATTTCTTCTTGGGTGTCATTAGAAGGTTCGCAGCCCCCAACATTGCTAGACCCATGAACGCAGAGATGCGCACACCCCAATGAAACCCTAGCGAGGTCTTGAAGAGTTCATTCAGGACAATTGGGAACATGATACCACCAAGCGAGGATCCTGTGTTTAAATGTAAGCATCACCTAACCGGAGGGCAAGAATCGAGGAAATCTGACCTGTTGCTACAATACCCATCGCGTAAGCTCGACGCGCGCGCCAATGGTGGGATTGGACTGCAAGACAGGGGACGTATAGCAGACCGGAACCGATCCCGACGCCCAGACCTTGCGCCAGGTACAGTTGATAGAACTTTTGAGGGTCGCAAATCGACACCATGAACAGCCTGCCAAAGCGATGTCAAAGAGGTAAATCTTCAGGTCCCAGCAAAAAGTAAAGTCAGGGACGCACGAAAAGACGAGGATCAGGCTGCCAATGAATGTGGTGTGCCGAAAGTAGCCCATATCCAACAACTTTCCTCCCGGTAGCGCCATTGCGAGCAGGAAAAAAAGCTGTGTTGACCCAATCCAGCTAATGGCAGAGGCAGAGGCGGTATGAGACCGCGTATAGAAGTCTTGATACACGCCGAAGCTGTTTGCATAGCCAAAGGTCACAGCGACTACGAGGAAACTACGTTCAAAGTGTAAGGAATACTTGAGAACGTTAAAGGGGCAAGAACCCAAAATGAGACTCACCCTCCGGCCACGGTGCACCATGCCTCACGACCTCCATCCATAACATCTTCCACTGCGGGCGAGGGAGTTGACGCCAACGAAACTGTTACCTCATCCTTCAGGCCCTTCTCTGACGAGTCTTGGATATTGGAGGCCATGGTCGAAGACTCGAAGAAACGTGTGTTCCGCTGTGCGCTTCGCGCTGGAAGGGGAGATCTGCTATATGTATTCGACGTTCGACCATCAGGTATATTCTAAGGCTTCTGAAGGTGGTTTGGCCGTCACCGAGTCGCCGCTGTGTGCAGTCCGACTCAGTTCAGATCCCCATCTCACAAGCAACCTGCGTCCCATCATACTTCTCCCGAAGGCCAGATGTGACTTGCCCAAATTGAAATCCCACGTTGCCAATCGTTGGGAAGGTATTCAGCGTCACCTGTGGGTCCATCGTTCTATCCTATTGGTATCAGTGATTATAGCATCTAGCAACGAGAGATATCGACCTACATATGTATCTTCAACGAAATGTAAAGAGGTACAGGCGTAAAAAGGATGTGTTGAGGACGTGTGTATGCTGCCAAGCATTGCGGTGCCAAGCCAATGCACCATATGGTAATGCCAACCTTCGGCGAAATCACACCCTCTCCGGGCAAGGCGGAGCGGGGAGGTCAAATTTAGAATCACCCGGCCCGGGAATCCCACAAGCGCCGCCGGCGCCAAACTGATCTAACCGAAATACGTTCTGTTCCGATCGCTTCTAGAGACTTCCCTGGAGCGCTCTAAAATGGCCCTGACCGGGCTAGGATGATGGACGTTTTTCTGTTCCGTTGGGCGCTCATAGCTCGATATTAATTATCGTACACTGGCGACCTGGCCATTTGGCATTCGCACCAAATCGTACAGCTTTCATTCGAGAACGCATAAATAAATAAATAAAGGTCCCTCGAGGCATCGAATTATGGTACTTCATCAATGCCTTCACCGCGGTTGACAAGATGACCAGAGCTCAACATAACTAAGGAAGGGCATTGAATTCCCTCATTTTGTCGGAGAACTGCGACGCCTAGGATAATCCGTGGCATGAGCACAGACAGAGGGAGAATATCGGGCCAAATTGACGACTTACCTGTTTCGTGGCGTCCGACTGAATGTGGCTTGGCAGCTCGAGCTTGCCCCCTCTTCCATCCGAACCCGAACCCGTCAGAGACATCTCGAGATACGTAGACGGTCCCTTGAGCGCGGCTCGTGCATTCAGGGAGGCAAGGAAGGTGTTAACGTATCTGCGCTGGTCGTCAGATGGCCGTTGAGGTAATTGATATGAAAATACACGTACAATCGGCCAATGCAGAAGTAGAACGCGCCGTAGATCATCGTCCTCGGGTAGACGACGCTGAAGATAAGGGTGATAATCGACCACACGGAAACGAGGACTCCAGTATTGATTGTGTAAGTCTGTGCGGGGGGAGCGCTTGAGCTGGTGACGCTCCCCTCAGGAGAGGACGGTGGACGAAGTTACTGACCATTAACCGTGTGATTAAATTGTCTGACTGTCGTATCCCCGTCCGTGAGGCATGGAGGAGGTAAACCATGGTCCCGGCGAGAAGAATGTCGGCACCAGCAGCGGCTCCGTTGATCAACTCGGAAATCGTACTATACCGAAAGTTGGCGTCCTGAACGCTGGTGGCAGACGCGCACTTGATGACCCAAACTAATAGTCCATGGTTGGTCAGGAGAAGTCCTTTAACCTCCTAGACATATTAAAACCGTACCGAGATTCAAGGCTACGTATTACGTCAGTTAACACCATCGATGTGTTCAAGGGAGCAATATCGCTCACCGAGCTTGGCGAAAATGAAGAACACCTATTCGAATATCACATTTAAAATCTATCAGGAGGTATATGAAGTGACTTACGGGCAAGACAAGAAGGTACCACTTTCCCTTGCTCACTGCATGGCAAGACGTTCAGATACGCCAGGTGCCAGAAAATCCACCTACGTCTCCAGATTCGCATAGCGAAGAACAATTGAACCATCATTGCGGGGAGCATCTTCGAGAAACGAATGAGAAGCGCTCCTCATCTTCACGATCTAGTCGAGTAAAAGTTACCTCGAATAAGCATTGGATCTAGTTGGGAGTCATCGGTGTTAGGAAATGAGGCTTGGCAAGTAAAGAAACATACGTAGAATGTCCAGATTGGTACGTCTAGATTCATAGGATTGAAGTAATTCTGTAGGTTTGGAGGGTCTGAGCGCCGCGGAGCACCGTTATGCGGTCGCCTACTAACCGAGATCAGGTAGTGGTACACTGAGAAAGAAGATTCGCGATGTTAGATTAGGATCTTCAGTATCGCGCTAGGGCAGACTCACGTAGCTGGGAAATCATGGCCTGGTGAATGGTATCGAAGCACCTGGACGTATGTTAGGTCTTGTGCACAACATAGCAGGCGCACGACTTGCCATATCACAGCAACCTACGGGTCAGAGCATGAGCGACTCCTCAACCTATATTCCAAGAAGGTTCTCCTACCAAAGTCTTCCAAAATCGCGGGTCCTTAGGATAGGTGATCGCATACCTGTTGCAGATGAGCATCAGCAGAGCAGGAGACTTATTCTTCTTACCAGTACGCTTGAGCCGTGCCGATGCCCCACAGCCTGTATTATCTGTGAGTTCTCTTCCAGATCGGGGAATACGTAGGCGCTCACCCTCCAGCGACCACCACACCGATGTAAAGCACCCCGAAAGTGTTATCGAGAGCGGGGATCCCAAGCAGCTGGCTGAGCGACATTGTGATGGAGTCGGACTAGAACGAGAGTGACTGCGAAAATCCGACCACGTTCCCCGTCCAGGCCTCTTTTAATGTCGTTTTTAATGCGGAAGATCGCATCGGATGGATTTTTGGCCAAGCTTCCAAACTGGTTCGCGGAAACCCGCGGTCTGCGTGACATGTGTCGTAATTGTATGATACTGTAATTGCATGCTGATGGCGATCGAAGGATACGGACGCTTATCAATCCACTTGTCGTTAATCGCTCTGCATCGTCAAAAGTAGATTTCACACTCCAGAATTTCTTTAGAGGCTAACTACTGATCGCAAGATTGGTTGTCGGTGATGGATGTGCAAGAGCATGGGTCGACGGTCGTTGATTGTGTCCATGTGCTTCTGCCTTTGATTGTAGGGCGCCGTTCGTGAGCTTGGAAAACGCCATCAGCGAGCCGCGACACCGAACGGAGCTCCATGACATTTGGCAGGGGGTGGGGCGATACGCCTTCTAGATCAGTCGTGTCGGGCGTAATTGGGGTTGAGTTTGAAGAACCCAGGTCTTTTATTAGGTGTCCCTTGGGACAAAAGAAAAGATGGACGAGTAGCGCACTATCAGCATCGGGAGACTGATGCCAAACGTTAAACATTTTCGTGAACGGCGAATTATGGTGCTCCGATTAATCAAAGTATACTCTGTCAGACCTGTTCTCATCCGTAATCACGAGCTATGCTTGAAAAGAGGCTCTGACGCAGTTAGAACTTGCAGCGTTCAGGAATCAGAAGTGGTCTGAAATGGTTGTATAGTATGCATAATATGCACGCACCTACTGGCCGGACCGCCCGGTTCCCGCCTAAAGTCTGGGCCTCTTGGCAAAGGCTGAAGACGTCTCGAGGATCGACGCAGAAATTGGACGCGCGTATATTCATAGGCTGGCGTTTCTCCGCCCATCGGTGCGCCACTGCATCAGAGAATACAGAGGTGACTCAATGTAGTGCCTCTTCACATGACGCTGATCCTTGTCTCGAAGCCAGTATCAGACATACTTCAAGCTTCTCGTAATTTCACGGTCTCGGGGTCCACCATGCGAGCACCATTTCGGTCAGAAGAGAAATATAGATTTTGATATTGCATCAGACTGTACAATCTGCTCTTTGATTAGATCAGATTAGATCGTGGGACATTTCAGGGTCGTCCGATGTGACCGCTCCTTGTGCTCCGCTAGAGCGGCATGAAACCTAGTGCCCTTCAAACGCGCGAGCCTCCCGAGGACTTGATCTGTGCCATTCGTAAAATTAGAAATAAATCTAATCGCGACGTTGAGCCTTACTAGCTGGGACAATGTGGAGAAAATGTAGACCAAGAATCTTCCGAGGAGTCGTCCCGGGAAGGCTAACCGCTTACGGAATGTGGGGAAGTGTGGCGTACGCGTGACCTGATTTCTAATCTCTTCGCACGATGTCTTAAAAGGCTCGCGTGCGTGAGAAAGTGCTGCTAATCCCCGAATGCCGACTTTTGCCGATCATTCTCTTGAGTCGTCGTTCTCTCATCGCGAAGCCTTGACTAGGGTCACGTATTAACGTCGCTACTGCACGCTAGATTCATGTGAAGATTCAATGACGGAATCTTTCAAGTTCGCTCAAGACTTCAGTCAAACCAAAGTCAAACAAAATGCGATGCCCTTGAACTTCGAATCAACGCTGTCTCACTTTTGGCGTCTTGGGACGGCTTTTGAAGTAAATTGAAGGCAGAACACCGTAGTCGGCGGTTTGTGTGGTGTAGAGGTACAGATGACCTCTCTCTGGGTGGCGGTGAGCCAACTCTTCTTTTCGAAGGTCAACATTCACTCATCAGAGCAGTTCAAAAACTGATTCCAGTGTCGGCGCGATTTTCTCTAGACAGTGCGGAGGACAGAAGGCAGAGTCATGCATCATGCACATGCCTGACCCACGGTCAGCCCGAAACCCCGGCGGCAGCCAAAATTGCGCCTTTAAGCTCGGAATCTAAGGTGGACAATGACCAGCCCACAATGTTCGGCATCGCCCCCTCGGTTTAGGCAGCAACATCCACGGCAACGGCTTGAATCCCTCTGAGTTTACGTGGCAATTGAAACGGAGTGTGTCGTGCTTCGAACCTTCTGGTCAATCGACTACGGCTGCTCTATCTCTCTGAGCCCCGCCATCTGGAGCACAAGCATTGCTTCCCGCTAATATCGGTGTGTTTCCGGGTCATTTTCCAACTGCACACGTCGCTCTGACACCTGATTTACAGCTCAGAAACCGTGCTGCCAGTAGCGGGGACTGACGACCGTTGTGTGCTTTCTTTCGCTATACATGATTCTGATGTACGTGTACACGATCCCGAACTGCGATCCTCAATACAGGCTTTCCTAGGCTTTCTCCCTAAGATTTTATGTACATATGGCCACCGCATCTGATTCTCAGATTGATACGAGAAGGCACGGAGGTCACGCGTAACTAGATGATGCGCCCACGAAGAAGTGGGAAAGTTTTGCCGCAAACGCCCACAGTCCGTATCATGACATTATAATGGCTCCCTCTCAATTAGACCGTGCACATCCACCACCATGCCGCTTCCCCCAGGCCCCGTCTACCTTCTGAGTCGCATTCCCCGATTTGCCATCCCGTCGGCCATCGTCTACCTCTCCATCCGCGTGGCACACCAGCAGACTAGCCTCAAGTTACCCTCATGGGTCGTATTTGTCGCCTCGCTTCTCGCTCGGCCCGTCATCTTCTACGTTCACGGGCTATACGCCGATATCATCAACAAGCGGGAGGCGGCTAAACATGGAGCGACGCTACCTCCACTCGTGCAGGAGTCGGGACTGAAGGTTATTCAGACGATGGTTGAGAACTTGAAGCACGGGTACCCAGGTGTGTTTTTTGTCCCTTCGATGGCGCAGGCCATAACTCCTGGCCATTAGCGGAGCCTTTCAGGCGCTGGGCGGAGGGCTATGGACATACGTATCGGATCCATTTGTTGACAGAAACCGCGGTACGTTGATCTTCGATGCTCGTACGCCGATCCTAATCCTCAAACAGCTGTTCACTGACGACCCCGACGCAATCAAAGTGAGCTCTGCCTGCAGCAGGCCGGCCCGACCAGAGTCTGATATGTACTATAGGCCATGCTCGCAACCCAGTTTGAAGCCTTCGAGAAAGGTATGCATCGAATCTTCAATTTCTGTAACTCTAGTCTCATGCAACTATTCCAAATCAGGGCCAATATTCCAAGACCAAATTGACGCCCTCCTTGGAACGGGTGTGTTCAACAGCGACGGTGAGTTCTAAGTTACCCTGTCGTTCTTTCTCATTGAGTTTACTCCCGCTAATGTAGGCGAGATGTGGAAGTACGTCGAGGACCTCGTTTAATGGGTTGAATATCAAAGTAAAGGTCTCCTTAGATTCCATCGCGGCATCACGCGCCCGTTCTTTACTCGAGAGCGTATCAGCGACTTCGATATCTACGCGAGGAACGCAGACCGCTCGCTCAAGCAGGCAAAGAAACGGCTGGCGGAAGGCTACTCCATTGACTTCCAGGTACGTCTTTCGTTGCTCAATTTCCTTCGATTCGAAAAACGTGGTAATGAACGCTGTTTTTCTTTCAGGACCTCGTCTCACGCTTCACTCTCGATTCCGCGACCGAGTTCCTCTTCGGCCACAACGTATCCTCGCTTTCAGCCGGCCTCCCATACCCGCCATCCGCCGCCCACCTCACACCGGCATCCTACCACACCCATCCAGCAACAGTATTCACGAAAGCCTTTAGCGAGGGTCAGCTTCTGGCATCCTTGCGAACTGGACAAGGGACCGAGTGGCGACTTTTTGAGTTCTGGAAGGATAAGGTCACGCCTTTGAGGAAGGTCATGGATGCATTCACGGAGCCCGTTATCAAGGAGGCGCTAGAGAAGGAGGAGAGGGAGAAGGAGGTTAAAGACGAAGAGGAGGGTACGTTATTGGAGTACCTGGTAAAGCAGACCCAAGGTCAGGAGCTGTGCTCATCACTAATATTCTTACGAGTACTGACCTTATTGCTTGCCTGTCGTAGATCCCAAGATTTTGAAGGACGAGGTAAGTTGGTGTTAGACTCCTATATTCAATAGCATACCCAACTTCCCGTCTCAATAGCTCGTCAACCTTCTTGTCGCTGGTAGAGATACGGTACGTGCTACCTACCTTCCGGCTCGCAGACACCATCTCACAGCTTGTAGACAATGGGCCTCATCACGTATTCGGTGTACATGCTCATACAGAACCCCCACATCGAACCGAGGCTCCGTCAAGAGATATTCGACACTGTGGGTCCAACGGCACGACCAACGTACGACCACATGAGGAAGATGAGGTTTGTAAGGGCGTTCCTAAATGGTACGATTCCATGCTCCACCTACCAATACGGAGCCTCAACTTATGGTTTTATAGAGGTCCTACGGTTGTACCCTTCTGTCCCAGTGAACGTGAGGTTCGTTCTTTGATTTCGCGTCCTTAAATCATGTAAGTTGCTGACTGCAAGTGGCGCGCGATTAGGAAGAGTAACAGGGCAGTATTGTTGCCCAATTCGGAGCCTGGACAGAAACCCTTCTACATCCCAGCGGACACGACGTGCGTTGCCTCCTCCCTTCTATAAATCTCCACTGGCGCTGACCGATACTCTCTGACTAGGTGTATATATGGCGTCCTCAACACGCATCGTAGAGCCGATCTGTGGGGTCCCGACGCCCAGATGTTCGACCCGGATCGGTTCCTCGACGAACGAGTGCACAAGTACCTCACTCCGAACCCGTTCATCTTCTGCCCGTTCAACGCTGGACCGAGGATTTGTCTTGGTCAGCAGGTAATGTTCCTGCTTCACCTACGACCGGAAAACATTCTGAGAGTTCATTTTCTGATGATAGTTTGCGTATCACGAGGCCACGTTCTACCTCGTCAAGCTTCTGCAGCACTTTACTGGCTTCACACTGGATGAAGAGACGAATCAACCTCCACTACCGGAATGGGCTTCGGCAACGGATAGGAAGAAGGGCGAGGAGGTGCATCCGATAACGCATCTGACGCTTTCTGTTGTGGTGCGTGCATTTTGTGACCTTCGCGTCGCCTGCGGCCTGAATGTGTTCTCTGTTTAGGGAGGATTTTGGATAAGGATGAAACAGCTGAATCCTGGAGCTTTGGATTGAATTCCTACGCTTCCGCTCTCTTTTGACCTCAAGATCAATTCAGTATCTCTAGCTGGATGTGTGCTGTACGCCATCGAACATATGTATGGTACCCGTATTCTATTCACTGAATTTAAGTTGCTTCGAGACAACTGAGCAAGAGTGTTTGCTGCACATGCAATTCATTCAACAAATCCATGTAGCGTTCGACAACTAACACCAAGGCTCACTAGCACTGCTCAAGCGCCCAGGACTCAGTCTCTACCGACCAGTGAGTGCCAGCAGCAAGACAAGACAAGCTAGATCTCAACTTGAAAGGACGCCAACACAAACCATCTCCAGCGCTGACCCCGTCGGTATGCGATATTCGTCCTGTATACCGTGTTATCTTAGGCTCTCCTAAATCATAGGTTGGCCGCATGCTCTTCTGCTCTTATGCATTGGTTGAAACTATCTCAGCCTTTCTGGTGCCTTGGAACGGCACTGCCTCGCCACGCGATCGACTAATTCTCTCGCGTCGTACGAGCCCACAGACACGTCGTTCTGTTTCCTGGTCGCAAACGTTACACTTGGCTCCTCCTAGGGTGACTGTGCCTTGCTCAGCGCTTTTACTCATGGCATACTTAAAACGTCAACAACAGTTATTCCTTCTACTAAATTCGTAATTTCCAGGAAATACACCAACTTCTGCGGAGCGACATTGTGACACTTAGGAATCGTATCGATCTTTTCTTGGCGCAACACGGGCCACCCAGACAAATGCGAGTTACCCGCACGTTCGACAGGTATAAAAAGGCGCGTCGCCATGTCATGGTCGACTCATCCTCTATCTCACATTCCTTTCTTTCAAAGCCGCAGGTAGCTCTCAATAAAATTCGTAATGATTGCCTCTTCCCTCGTCGGCGCTGCTCTAGCGCTCTTGACACTCCCGCTCAACGTTCACGCAACGCCGTCGACAGGTCTTGCACCGGCCACTCGAGATCCTGTTTGCCTGTGGATTTCCCACTTAATTTCGCCTGCAAGCAATGTTTATTATCCCGGTCCGTCAATACCTAGTATATCCTGGACATATTTGATTTATATATTTTTTCCCAGGGGAAGAGCTCTACGACAAGGGCGTCCAACATGGGCCACTTCTGCCTCCGAGGTCTCGAAGTGTGTTATTGAACCAGGAACTCCTGCCGATGTTGGAGCTGTGGTAAGCCAGGCCCCCATCGAGCTCTGCTCACAAGTTACCCTAGTTACGCATCGTCGGACTCACGCGCACTCCTGTCTCCGTCCATCTCTTCGTCCATTCCATTTCACATGTGTTGTTGCAGGTGAAAGGATCAGGTCACTCGCCCAACCCCAAGTTTTCGTCAACAACTGGCGTGCAATGCATATTTCTACGTATCGCTTCAACGACGTCAAATACGACGCCACCACGGAGACGGTCGAAGTCGGCGCAGGCCTGGTTTGGGATGATGTTTACAGAGCATTGGAGCCACACGGGGTGAACGTCGTCGGCGCGCGTGTCCCAGATGTTGGTGTTGCTGGACTTACCTTGGGAGGAGGCAAGTGTTCTCCTGAAGCTTCCTAGAGATGCTGGGTCTGATACATGCCCAAAGGACTTTCCTGGAAGACGAACCGATTCGGGTGGACGGTCGACACTGTCGTCTCCTTTGAACTTGTCAAGCCGAATGGGAGCATGGTGAAGGTGACTCACAAATCGGATCCTAAGCTTTTCATGGGCTTGAAGATATGTCTCCCTACAAATCTACGGAAACAACATCGGCATCCTGACAAGTTCCTGGCCTCTAGGGAGGGCTTAACAACTTCGTTAGCATCCGTTCTTTCGTTCTGCGACTGTGCCATAACCACGCCTCACACCAATAGGGTGTTGTCACCAAATTCACTTTGCAGACCCATGAGCAAACCGAAGTTTGGGTAGGACCCTTGAACCATATCCACAGATTTAGATGCCGTTCTCTAACCTGTACCACGGTGGACCTACACAAATCGCGGCGGAGCACCTCGACGCAGTCATCGCCGCTACAATAGAGTTCACAAATACGGTGACGGACCCCAAGGCTCAGATGATGGCGACCTATCCCAACAGTCAGGGACGAGTAAGTGGACCCTCTAGCTTCAAGGCACGAGCTGAACGTTGAACGCTCATCCCTTTATCAAGGTCGAATGTGCGCTAGTTTTGTTCTACGACGGACCTACCGCGCCTGTCGGCATGTTCGATGCCTTCCTAGCATTCCCCAGTATTCGAAGCGATATTAAGACCCGCTCGTTCTTAGACCTCATCGGGGCAACTCCTACGGGACCTTCGTACGGCTTCCGGTGAGTTCAAGCTTGTGTTTAGCCGAAATTCCTGCTAACGACCTTTAAGAGGTATCTTCAGCGGGTTCAACGTGCTCGACAGTACGCCTAGCCTGCTCAACTTCATCGTCAAAGAGGCTGAGGTCGGTTCAACTCCCTTCTGCGTGACCAGGCGCTAACAACCACCCTTCGTTCTTTAGACCCGCGGCAAGGAGCTTGCAGAAAAGAGCGGCATCGTGGCTTACGCTGTCACTCCGTTCCATTCCACCATCTACTCGCACAACACCCAGACCACCGCCTTCCCACCGGATCGCAGTGTTCCTTAAGTCCCGTTCAACATGTATTACGCCTGGCTTAACTCGACTTACGACAAGGATATATACGACACCGCTCGCGCGAGTGCGAAGACGATCACGGACGTGACTGTCGCGGAGGGACAGGCCGTTGCTCCTGACACGGCGGTATACCCGAACAACACCATGTTTGATACGCCGCTGGAGAGGATCTACGGAGACAATCTTTCAGCGCTTCGCGCGTTGAAGCGCAGGGTTGACCCTCTGAACGCAATGGGTCTTGCTGGCAGTTCCAAATTCTAACTACACGCTCCCAAATAAATTCCTCGCTCGTTTCCCGCTTATGTCGTAAATATTGAACGGCGGATGTCTTCTCCAGTAACTAGTAATTAATCTTGAACCTCAATCCTGGCAATGTACAATCTGCGTAGTAGGCTTAGGGTGTGGAAGATCTCGACCCTACGAAAGAGTACTTCCGTTCGTATCTCGTATTCTTGCTCGGGGCGGAGGTGTTGCCACCAGGAGGGAGGAGGAACTGAGATAGTTCGGCCAGTGACAACAGTCTAAACGGAAGATCCAGTCCCCTAATTTTGTCTGGCTTACCAGCTCCTCAACACTCCTCTTCATCTCTTTCGCTTGGCATCGACCTGTTGTCCGGACTGATGGGAGCACTAGGTGAATCACGCTGAATCGCCACATTCTGTCAGTATAAATTAGATGAAGCTGACCTTGGGGTGCACAATTCAGTGTACTTATGTTCCTTAACAATTATTCGATTACGAAGCCAGGTCTAAGGTTGCAAGTGGAAAAGATAGCGACGGAAGCCATGTCACGCATTATCGGGTATTCGTGCCTGGCCAACAGTGTACTACCGCAATTTGGCTCAATCGTCTTTAAATTCGAGCGGGAAAGCCGAAATCTCTCGGTGAGGTAGACAAATCTCGATCGTCCGCGACCGCGGTGTCACTGGCCCGGAAACTCACGGGCGCTAAATTACCAAGCAGAAGGCCAGGCGTTAGCATCGACAGTATAAGTCTAACGATGAAGTAGAAGGCTTGAAGAAATTAAAATTGTGATGGGGATTCAGCGACCAAGGAGCTTCCTGTCCTACTCCGGTTTGCCTCTAGGAAGATCTACCTCCTTTGTTTCCTCTTCCTCGTGGAAGATCTTCATCGGTAGGCTTGAATCTGAGGTGACCTCGATGGCTTCATTTGTGAAGATCTGGAGGGGCCTAAGGAAAAGCCGAGCCCTAGAAGACGTCCTTGGCCATCCAATCGATTCAACGAAGTCACGGGTATTCAAGGATGCTAGAAGAGCATTGAAATATACTGTGGAACCAGTTAATTCATCCTCTATCTCACAAGTAAGGGTTGATGGCACAAACACTTGCTTAGCGGCATGTATACAGCCATGGCTACGAGCTCCTGAGGCCAGACGGCATACTATTACCATCATCAGCCTTGGAGCATCGCCAGACTTGTAGAGCTCACTGAGACTAAAACTCCAAAGGCGCAAAGGCTGAATGCGCCCGTTATTAAAGGTGTCGATGTGACACTAACAAGAAAACCACCTTGTGAGCAGTCCTATGTGAATCAGTGAGTATTTCTGCCTAAACAACAATGGCAGGTGCTGAGTTACCTGTATTAATAGCCAAAGTTACTAGGAATGTAATCATCGAGTCCGTCCTGTGGGCCGGTCAGGCAAGTAGTGAAAGCAAATTGTACGATGCTGACCGTCGAAATCCGGTTCGATTACGGATAAGAGAGACAGCTAGTATGACGGCTATCAAGAGGTCTGATGCACACGCGCAACCAATGCCCGCGAAGAGGGCCCACTGCGAAGAAGGCACTTTGCACACATATACTTATTGGAATTGTTGGAGAAGAGTTGCTCACGGATATTTTCTCAAATTCCAGGTAGGTGTCAAGAGTAAACCTGCGTCATCATGAGGGAAGGAGATGAACGCTGAAATTATCGTACATACCCCATGGATGCAAACGCTGAAGGCATCAAGGTCGGTCAAATCATGGCAGATTACAAGAGAATTAAATGGAGGAATGCACTGAACGCAAACGCTGGGATGGTCGCGAATTATGCGGACAAAAAGGGATGCTTGTGGAGTAACCTACCTGCGGTGCCGACCGAAAGGATGTTCTTTGAAATGCAGAATTAAACCAACACTTAACAGAAATCGAATAGAACTGACTATCAGTGCTAGTAATGACCATGCCAAAACCATTCTTTCAGAATGGACTAGAGCAATTAAATCGGTTATTCTATTCGAGTCAGAAAAGCAACCGAAGACTCACGAAGAAAGATCCTCCTCGAAAAAACCCTTCCGCCCAATTATATAGTCGCTATAAACCTCAAGGTGAAGGGATACTTATACTCACAGTCTGACGACAACATCACTGGATGCCTATGACTCTTGAGGTCAGCAATGGCAAGTACCCCATTCGGCGCTATCTTACTGTGATATATATTTGTACGATGGTCGACCTTGATTTATCATAGGGCATTTTATTTATGGCGCAAATGATGGAACTCACCAGGTAGGGTGTGAAAGAGCGAGAACATTGCCCCAGCTGCCCACAAGGTAGTGGTACCACGCATGAGTATTGAGCGCCATATGGATGGTATCGGCAACCCTTCAGAAGGCCCAGAACTTGTAACGAGAGCGATGTGGCACCAACAGCCAACGCTCACCATAGAATGGCGATCTAAGTGAGTAGTCAGCCGTGGAGAGGGACTAGACAAGCTGTCGACATACTGTTGCCTTCAGATAGCTTCCATAGCTACGACGGCTACCAAAAAATATGAACGTTTGCAGAGATGTTATCCCATAGAGCCTGAGGTCAAGCGTGGAATATGAGCTGCGCAGTAGGAACACAGGGTAAGACCTACATTGAGGTGATGATTATTGCGATGAACGGTGCGCCGAGGTTTCTCGAGAGCCAGCTTCCAGGAGCAAGCCCCATTGTGTGTGGGCCCGGAGAAGGGAGGTATCATTGGAAGAGTGGTAAGACGATGGTAAATGGAAGAGAGCAAGGCTTTGCGATCTGCAACCAACCTCGCACTGGAGGTTTTGAACGAAAACGAGATGCCGAGCTCTGAGCTAATCTTGACAATCATGATCCCCTTTGCCAGTACCTTTCTCTCATGCTTTCTGTGGGTCAGAATCTGACCGAATGTTTTTCGTGATCACCTCTCAACCAGAAATCACATAATCACTGACTTTGACGCTAGCGTTCTGAGCTTCCTCGTGGTTGATTAGACAGAGGAATTTAGATCGTAGAAGTGAAATACTCATGAGAGGGATCAATGATCACTGACACAAGACGCTTGGATCAGCGCCGACACCCATTCCTGACGAGGGCTTCTGTAGTGCGGCATGGAAGGAATGAATCGGAAGATTATTCAACTTTACAGCTGTGTGAGGGAGATAGGAACTTTGATTGCTTATGGAATACGGGCCTTTGCGGTCGAAATAGGGGCCTTCTGGCCTTCGGTTCCAGTCAAGGACAAGAGATACGTAAAGTAGCAAAGACTCAAATCCTCTCTGTTTTTCATGTCGATGTGCCATCAGTGAGCCTTTTCCTCCATTCCCCTCTCCGAATATGTGATGCTTTTCATCGGAAAAGACAATTTGAAGGACGTTTCCGGCAGTTGGCTCCCGAAGAACTGAACGGGGCGATGGGAGAAGTTGTCCTTGGTCGGCGTCGCGGAACTGATAGATTGAGCAACGCTGCGAGTGTTCAAGGACACGAGGAGCGTGTTGAAGTACACTGGAATATTTGACAGTCGGATTGACGAGTCTTGGCAATGGATTTGGACAGGACGCACGTTTGCTTAATGGCATGTACACCGCAAGCAGGATGAGGTCGTTTGGCCAAACTGCATACTGCGAGTCACATCGTGAGCGAGAGAAATGGAAGAACAATTCAGAGGGTGGCTTACCACAATCAAGCAGCCTAGAGCACAGAAACTAAAGAGTCCTGTAAATTATTTGGTCAACGAACACAAGAACCATCTACCTTGTAAGTAGTCCTGTAGGGGAGAGAACGTTCTGGGCATTAAGTTCAGTGTTGTAATGCACGAATCGAGGAACAATCACCCGTGTGTATGGCTATTGCCACTAGGAACGATATCATCGAGTCCGTCCTGCCGGCGGATGGAGTAAGTCAAGCCGAAAACCCATCAAGGCAAGGGGAATCACCTTCGGAATCCCGTGCATCTTCGAATGAGAGCAGCAGACAGGCAAATGGCAATCAGTAAGTCGGATGCTGTGGCACAACCGAACCCGCTATACAGCGTCCACTGGTAACAAATACTATGGCGTTATCAACTAATAGGGAGCTCTTCGAGGCGTACGCACCGAAATCCTCTTGAACTCGATGGTGGTTGCCAGACTGACTCTGCGTCATGACGAATTAGCTTTGCATCATGGAAATTCTGGGGACTTGAAGATACCCTGCAGAGGCGAACCCTAGATGAACCGGAATTAGCTATGAACGAGAATCGAGTTGCATGATAATATTTACCAAAAGCAGCCACTGTCACATTTTTGAGCTCCATTAGTTCAGAGAATAGATAGGTGGTCAAAAGGCTTGCTTAATGAGCCTAGCGAGAGAATATTCTTCAACACCTCAGAGGCAACGACTACGCGATTCCAAGATAGCACTCATGATCACGAAAAGCAGGACACCGGTGACAGCTTTCCTTTCGTGAAGAACTGCGATCATGACCGAGTTAGCGCCAACATTCGGGTTGGAGACATCATGATCACTCACGAATATAAATCCTCCTCGAGAAGACCCTGCGCAGAAACGATGAGGGGTCATACCAGTGATGTAGCCCGGGCGCTTACAATCGGACCACGAAGTCGCTGGAAGCCTATCAAGCCTGATGGAGGCATAAGGAACAACTTGTGGTAAGATAGTGTCAAGGAGCAGACTCACCGAGATATAGATTTGTGCGAGGGACGACCTATTGCGAGGAAAGCACCCGTTTTAATCAGGACGTCGATATAGTAGGCTATAAACTTGCCATGTCGGACGCAAGAGTGCGATTGTATTTCCGTAGTGCTCGACAAGATAGTAATACCAGGCATGGCTGTTAATTGCCATATGGGTGCAGTCACCGAGCCTTTAGGACCAAAAATGTCAGAAAAAAGGTTGGTAGAGAGGGTTAGCAAGACTCGCCATAGAATAACAATCTGAAGGTGTATCATGGGCATGAACACGAAACGAGGTATATCGTGGAAAGTACCGTGGCTTTGAGACATCGTCCGCCATCGCGGCGACCAGTCAAAAAGATGAAGGTCTGCAAGGACATGACGCCATAGAGCCTGCAGGTTGAGATGGTTAATCGAAAAGTGAAGCCTGGACCATAAATGAGCGTGAGGCTTACATAGCAGTGATCAGTAACCCGATGTAAGGAGCGCCAAGGTTTCTGGACAGAAAGCTCCTTGCGTCGAAGTCCATTTCTAAATGCAACCTCGAGGAACAAGAGAATTGGCAGCACCAGGAAGTATTCGCACTGAGTATGACTTGGCAGAGCAGGGACGTTATAAGGGCGAATGGAAAAAGAACCCACGAGCGTGACCCAGTGAATGGTGTATTATGCTGTCAGAATTTGACGAACAGTCTTCCCTCAGCAGCCAGTGTTCTTGTGCAGAGATACATATGCATAGAAGAGCGCCAGCAGGGGGTTATGTGGAGAGAATTAATCCACATTTCCGCCCCGACTCGGATGGAATCGTCGATCGCATTCAAGACCAGTGGGCGTACCTGGGCGTATCCACCACGCTGCAACAAAGCGATACCTACATCTATCAGATCAGTGTTCTTAGACAACAACTCGAAGCGGGAAGAACTTGCCCCTTGTGCAGACATGATGGTGATAGTTGCAAGCAAGTAGAACAATCTGTTCAGGGGCATGGCCGTTGCCGAACGGTCCGCATTATTCTCAATTTCAATTCCGAGTCTCTCCTGAGCTCCTCGTTCAACTACCTACGTTAACATGGAATGTGTACCAAGTCTTGTGCACCCGTACACATACAGCCATTCTATTTTCTTTCTTTCTCTGTTCTGAATGAGTAACTGATGTCCCGGAGCCGTGCTCAAAAGGTCATATTTGTTTACTTACAACGTTGAGCAGTGAGAGGGCCCATAGTGACTCCTGGTGCTGCACCTTACGTCCTTCATGTGACGTGTCCTAGGCAAAGTCAGTTCTTTGTCAGTATCAGCCTCACCTATTGTTCATTCGTTGATCAGTGTCGTCACCTGTCTTGGCCGGCGCTCCTTCCCAAATAACCGAGATCTGGGCGAATCTGATGCACTCCAGATGGGATTACTACGGACTGCCTTGTCCCCTCTTATCCCCTGGATCCACAGCATCTGTGTATGACGCTCCACGTGCATCGTCTTGGCAAGTTTTTGGACGGAGTCTGATAATAGATTTCTTAAACATCCTTCACCACATGGGAGAAGTAGGTTGTTGTCTGCTACAATGCTCACCAGGTGTGTATGATCTTAGATGACTTCACTCAAATGATGCCCAATAACACCTGATACAGATGCGAGTACTTATATGTACGACTTAGGTTTTTTGCACCCCCCAGCTAAACCGCCGACCATACGGCATGGATTCCCCTCAACCCCCATCTCAGTGGGAGAAGAGCGTTAAAGCCCAGTCTGAGAACAGCATCAAAGAGGTCATAATAACTCCTCTGGTACCTGTGCCAGTGGTAGAGGATGTTATGGATGGTGGCCGGCTCGCTTGGTGCACCGTCATTGGTGGGTAGGTGCAGTGTCAGTATGGCTTCGTTGCGTATTCTGAGCCGTCTCTTTCCTTTGCTTCAGGTTCCTCACCATTGCAAGCACGTTCGGATACGCAAACAGCTTCGGCGTGTATCAGGACTTCTACACCCGTTCTCGTACGGCCTCTGCGTCTGCCATCAGCTGGGTTGGCTCGATGCAGATTTTCTTCATCTTCGCTATGTCGCTTCCTGCTGGGAAGCTCCTGGACATGGGCTACTTCCGTATCACCACAATGGTCAGAACGTTTATCTACGTCTTCTCGTATGTTCATCGTCTGCTTACTTGCAGCAACCTTGCCATTGACCGAGCCATGCAGACTGTTCATGGTGTCTATATGCGAATCCAACAAATACTACCAGATCTACCTCGCTCAAGGACTCGGAATGGGGATCGGTGCTGGCCTTCTCTATCTCCCGTCCATCACTGTTCAATCTCATCACTGGCGCGATAGACAGGCTTTCGCAATGGGCATCGTTGCAGCTGGTACACTCTCCTTTATCGCAATGTTAAGTTAATTAAGATAATACCCACAGGAACATCGTTTGGCAGTATCATGTTCCCGATCGTGCTCAATGAGCTCATCAAGAGCTCCTTGGGCTTCCGGTGGGGTGTTCGGGTTTCTGCCTTCATGGTCCTCGTGATGATGCTGGCAGCAAACGTGCTCATGACATCGAAGAAGAAACTGGGCAGCAAGAATACTACAGAAGAAACCCCAAAATTCAATATCAAAGGAATCATGCATGATCTGCCATTCATTACATCCATTATTTGGTAGGATTCCCCCTTTCTCTCAGTGGATTTTCAAGGCTGACCGTGTCGTAGCCTGTTCTTTGGGAACTGGGGGATCTTTTTCCCATGTAACAGCTCTTATCCTTGATCCGTCCACCCAACAAACTCACTAGCTGGCAGACTTCTACATTCAATTGTTCGCTATTGTCCATGGACTTAATAGGACGACCGTGTTCTATCTGGTAAGTGTCTCTACTATCCAACCTCTTGTTTGTGATGTCAATGCTAACTCTGACAGATTGCTATACTCAACGCCTCTGCTATTCTGGGACGCATCCTTCCAAACATGCTCGCGGACCGGCTTGGGCCAAACACGGTCATTGTGCCTACTGTCACTTCTTGTGCTGTGCTTGTCTATGGCCTTCTTGGTATCTCAACCATTCTTGGCATGATCATATTCGTGATACTCTACGGTTTCATGTCTGGTGCAGGTATGCGATATTGTAAGTCGCACAATTTGATAGTTCTAATAGCTATTTATAGCTCTCTCCTTGTCCCCGCCCTGCTTTGCTGCTCTTGCGAGACATCCATCCGAAGTGGGGTGCGCGAATCTCTACTCTGGGAGTTTCAAAGATAAGGCTTGCTAACAACGACACAGGGTACGATTTGGCATCGCATTCTCTCTGGCGGCGTTCGGTGCTCTGATCGGTAACCCGATAACTGGAGAGCTTCTGGGACCCAACTTCACGTGGAACAAACCAATCATCGTCAGCGCCGTAAGTCCTTAATAAAAATTGCGTCCCACCGTTTATGCAAGGTATATTTTTTTTACTAGGTGGCATTCACCGCCTCCTCGATTTTTATCATCATCTCGAGGCAAATTCTCGTTAAACGCAAGGGTACCCAATGGGTGTAGCGCCTCTTTGCGGACCCACCTGTATGCTTGATCTCGTGTGACTGGCTAGTCGTACTATTGCATTCACTCTTAGTTTGATTCACATGTATAATGTATGTACAAGTTTCTCGAAAACGTCGGACAGCGTGTAAGGATAATATAGACGCCCACATTTCCGTTTTGAGACGCGTCTCCGGCTTCCGGCCCGCAAATGTCAGCGACCAGACGCCAAGCCAGCAGTATTTGTTCCTTCCAGTGCATGTTCTTCGCGTCTTCTCCCACGTCTTCACAAAGCGAATTAAGACAATTCATCTGCGACCCACTGTTCCAGGGTATCACATGGGCCAAGCACCCATGGGCGCTGAAAATAGCAGACTGAGTACTGATTTGGTGGGGTATCACAAGACGGCATGGGAGATCAAAAATCCCCTTGGCAAACAATCCAGGATCGCTTCCATGGCTGCTCATGATGGCCTTCTCAGGAACAGCCAAAGAATATGTGTCAGGGTCCCATGAACCTTGTAGGTCTAAATTGGACACTCAGAAGCCATGCCCCAAGGTGACTATCTACCATGTAGAGCTGATACCCATTCGATTCTCTCTCATGAAGGAGTAGGTATGAGTGAGCCCAAAGCCTTCTAAGCTTCTTCACGGGGGGAGTAGGCAACAAAATCACTTCACCTCCATTGTTATCAAATTTCTGATATATGAAAAATGCGTTTCAACGGCCCATATTCTCGGAAACGGAGTTTTTGGGGTGCTGTTCGGAGTGATGAATCGATGACGTGACAGTGGGGAAACAATGTCGACTAGATGCTCTCACATCTGTGTTGTTTCGTGTGTATGGCGCATGGGAGATGCAACAGAAGTTGTTTCTGTAGGTAAAACCAGAGAGTCGATCAGCTTCGAAAGATGGGGGCGCCTACAACGGAATCATGGCCCCATTTTTCAGCGGTTCTTGTTCTGTACAGAACACTGGCAGATGGCGCCGGAATAACTTCGGATACGGTAGTGTGCCTATGCTGCCATATCATTGTTACCTTCTCTTCGCCAAGTGATTTATCCATTTCCGAGGATAAAATGAGGGGTACATACGGTGCATTAACCACTGAGTCATTCGGAAACACACCAGAAGTTCAGAAACCCGACAGATTCTACTTTTATTCATATTTACATCATTCTTCAATAGAGAGATAATTCATCTTACATCTACCCTTATTTTTCTCATAAGAAACGGAATTTGAGGGTGGCGAGAGAGGGAAATTTCCAGCTATCTAGAAGCTGTGAGCTACTCCATGGGTAGTAACCCCATAACAAAAATAGCACAAGGCAGTACTAGAAGCTCATGCTGTGCTTCTTCTCAAGAGAGGCCCAAAAAGAGTGCCAGCGAGCGTTTCCCTCCATGATTGCGAGTGAAGCGAGCAAATCATCCACTAAAGGGCTGGAGGGCCCGGACAAAGAAGGCCAAACTCTTGCTGCAGAAACTGGTCCTCTGGGTCGATGTCGGTGAGTCGTATTCCGTGGGATGGAGGACGTATCCTCCTCTGTAAAGTTGCATGTAGACTATCCATGTGCCATAGAATAAGATTCTCCAAGAAATTCTACCTTTGGGGACCTTGTATCGGTGTTCTGGCAACCTGAAGGATGTCCTCTCATGCCAATATATCATGAAGACCGGGGTTTCTCTGACAGCCCTCATCTTGTTACTTAGGCTCAGGCCAAAAAATATAAGACAATTACTGCAGCGCAAAAATTCTAATTTGACAGGAACTCGCGGACTAGGATGGCGCAGCGAGCCCTCCGCTTCTAGCGGTTACTTAATAATCATTGGCGGGAAAACGTGTAAATAGATACAGTATATGGCCGACACGTGTTTGGGGTCAATACCTTAGCAGCCCGATTCATGCCTCCAGACAGGGTACTTTGTTTGGTTCCCGCGAAGACGTAAACGTTAAACACTGGACTTGGCGTGTATATGCCTATAACTGCTCAGGCTGATTCGGATTTGTGCAAGATTTGTGACTCCCCGGCGCGCTTTCTTAGGCAATGTTTTGTGTACACCCACCCCTCAGAGTCAGGTGGCCATAGCGCCTGATCCAGCTACTATCCCTCACGGCGTTAAATGACTCACTCCGTGGGTCAAGCTCACTGATATCTCCCATGGTGTTCCGGTCTGGACGCCTCCGGGCACAGCCACCCGCCAAATTGCCGACAAAGCGCGCTTGGAATAGGACCCATATCTTCTCGGGATTAATTGTTCGCAACTCCTTTGGGAGAGCGCCCGTGGAGAATGTTTTGGAACTTGGGAAGATGATGTTCCATCTCCCTGGTTCCCGGCATCCCACTCGCTCCAATGCTAGCATACCCACATCACTTATCTCTATTGCACTATTGGCTCTCAGGAATTCTGGGCGTGATGGATGAGTGCACATGATGCACCAGTGGCTATTTTTTGGTAGTAGGATAAGCAGACTCTACGGTTCTTGGCTGATTGTTTCCTTTGTAGTTCTGTTGGGTTCTCCCGATAGTGTGTCGTCATCATTTGACGATCAAGGCTGTCGGATGATCAGTGGTTGATAAGATAACACGCAGTGCACTGCTGTCCAAGTCATCTTCTGATCTGTTTCCAACAATCTGTGGGCAACACGTCCCAAGCTCGCGCTGGTCGTCTTGATTTCAGCGTTTCGCGATACAGGAATGAATCGACCCTGCACAATTCTGGATCAAATCCCTCAAGCAGGCGATGCAATCGTATCTTTTGTATGTCTCCAGTTGATGCATCAGTCGCGCCGGATGAAGAAAATGTATTTTTTTCTCCGAATATCACTGACGCGCATGTTCTTCTACGGATTTACTTATAGGTGAATTAAAACGCTCTCTACTTAAGGTCGACTAGAAACTCCCGAGTTTGAGGTTCGGCCAGCACTCGATGGCAGAAATTTTCTTCGAAGAACAGCTCATTCAACGTGCTCTTTTCCCTGCCTTGGATAACACATTTGGTGTGCTGTACCTCGGTGTAACTGCTGCTGCACTGTACGTTTATAAATCCTGCCTCTCCGTAGACATAATTCACATTCCTTTCAGTCTATGGGGAGTTGGAACCTCGCAAACATATTGGTGAGAACTTTATTTGGTACATCCACTTGGAACATTTCTTAAGATTGGGCACAGGTATCTCTCCCGGTACCCCATGGATCCCCCTCTCTGGCGGGTATCGGTTGGTTTTATTACCTGCCCTTGCTTTCCATTGCCCTGGCTCGGCCTGAAATTTGATAGGTTGTCGTGTTGTGGTCAGTATCCACCGCTACTTCACAGAACTATCTTCACCTTTGTTGTTACTCAGGATATTGAACACCACCCACCAGGTGATGATAACTCATATTGGTGAGTTACACGCTTCTCGAAGAATTTCTACGTTTGATGCTCTGGTATAGTTTATCACTATCTGGTCACGGTACAGCTTCTTCAAACCGTATAAAATAGTGATTCAAACCCTTCTACAGAACTATTTCAACCCTGCACAGCTACTAGTCAGGATATGGAGTCTTCCGGTCAGTTATTTCGTCGTTTTTGTCCCATGTGCATTGCCTCAGGCCTCGTCTTTTATCACACAACAGCTTCAAGCAGTACTTCAGGTGGGGTTGTTGAAATATTGGACTGCACTGGCACCAATAACTCTCTCCTTGCCCTTTCCCCCTTAAGCATACCGCTGCTCTCATCTCCCAGTTCTTTTTCCTCGTGCAAATTTGGCGTTGTAAGTGATATCCCATTTTATGCCGAATATAACTGAAATTTCCTGCTTTCCAGTGAGTAAGGGTAGATGGTACCTGGTTATTGCTCCAGTAAGTCGAATCTACCAGGATGATACTGCCGGTCTAAGAGGATATTCCTTCCAGATCCTTTTCATGTTCAGCACGGTAGGTGAGTATATTTATCTGAGAATCCCAATCTGACCTTTCTAACTTTCCTTCGAGGGGTTGGGATGGGTAAGGAACGTTTCGAACGTGCTCATCAGTGTCCTCACGTGATCTCCTCAGTTTGGGTGGCAAAAGTAATGTCAACCAAGCAGATCCAGGTCGCCCTCAGAGAATACGGCGTTTTTTCCGAAGTGGCTAGCGCGGGTTTAGCACTTGCAAATATCTCTCTGGCAGCAACCATCGTATACCTCCTCCATACTGCCCGCACTGGAGCAAGGAAGTCGGACGGTGTGCTCACCCGAATCATGGTGCGTCGCTGGGAGCTCAATCACGGTAAACTCGACCAGCTTACCATCTTCATCTCTAGATTTATACCATAAATACGGGTGCCGTAACCTCCATCTGCTCTATCTTGTCCGTGGCAACCGCTATTGCCCTTCCGAATGCGTTCTTTTTGGGGCATTTTATTTCCTCGCCGGTCGACTGTGAGCTAAAATCCGTTACCGAACCCTCGAGTGCTGCTGACACCCTCCGCTCCTTGCCTCTTATAGGTATCTCAACACCATGCTGGCGTCCTTGAACTCCAGACAGCCTGCTCTACGAGAGAAGACCCCATTCGTAGAAATGAATATTGGTAACTTTGAAGGAGCTTCTGGGGCACACACCTTGGACATGATAACAGCTTCAACAAAGTCGAAGGTACGGAAATTATAAATCTGAGTGTTGCTTTAATTCATATTGAACGATTTCGCCCTTCTAGGAGACCGACAGCGCGAATGATGATCCCTCTCCAGCGAGAAAGCTAGAGGTCTTCGTGACCCATACAACTCGGAACGATTCCGTCTAGTAATATTCGGCATCAGTGACTACCTTCGGAATGAGAACCAGTTGGAAATACGGGTCGATTACTGTAGAGTAGTATTCCAGAAACGGACGCCTTTTTATTTAAATAATTACATGCTCAATATATATGCTGTTCAGATCGTTCACGGCTGAAGAATGGCGGACATGGGAGGAGTTGGCTATCGGTCCGGGCCGTGGGAGCCAACCCCCCGCGACAACCCGCGAGGTTCAACCTGACGTCGAACATTGAGGTTGAACGTTGAACGTCAACGTTCAACGAGTATACGCCGTCTAGTGACCCATTCCTACCCTCCAGATGCCTCTCCATGCAGTGTTGCTATTTCTTTTCACCTTAATGGGCCAGTCGTTTCTACATTGAAGTCTTGATTCCAGACAGTGGCAGGATGCCAAAGGCGCATCCTACACCAACAGAGGCCTGGCTAACCTGCAAGTCGGCATATGTATTTATGAGTTCAAGTGCTTCGCTTCCTTTTGCTACAGCATACACTGATAAGCTAGCACTCCTACAGAAGCTTAGTCCAAGCATGTTGTTTGCACCGGTCCACTGCTTCAGTGGCCAAATTATCTCCAGTCCTGTCACGAGATATCCTAGAGTCCCTTCCCTGCGGCTCGTATCCACAAGTCATTGACGGCTTTCCAGTATCTTTCATGATCGGTGCGTGCATGTGCGACATGAGGGCTATTTTCGAACCTCTCCTCGCTGACATCGAGCCCACAGCCAATCGCCTGTTTGGCATGCAGCCTCACGCCCTTCGCCGATGTAACCTTGTCCGCCTCGGAATAAATGTAGAGGCGAGGGGCTGTCCGACCAGGACTCCCATCTTCGACCGCGAAAGGGAGGACTGCGGGCTCGAGGGCCACGACCCGAACGTCGCCAAACATCGGTGGCTTCCCCATCATTTGCCTGAACGCGTAATGTGAACCATAAAGCAGGGCGATAATGGGGGCCACCACCAGCCGAAGAAAGGGATTATTGGGCGTGTTCATGGCGACGGCTGTCGGCAATCCCTTGTGGCCCGGGGAGGAATCAAGGCAGAGGGCAATTGGAGGTTGGATTGGTATAATCAGCGGCGCTCTGAGTAACATTTTATGCAAGACGGAGAGCTGAAATCCACCGCCTGTACGCATAAAGTGAGTAATAAAGACTTCATCGAGAACGACGAAGCTGACCATTTGACATCGCATGTATCAGGATCCCTTTCTGCAAATTACCGCTCTCTTTCTCCCGAACGAGTGTGGCCATGACTGGCTCAAGTGCCGCCTCCTGACATGCTGAATGGTTAGTTGCCTGTTGAGTGACATGCCCCGAATCTTACCTTTCTTCCCCGGGTAATCCAGCAAAAGCTCGACGTTACCATAACCACGAGCATGGTCGAGCTAGGGAAAAGCGCCCGCAGGGCGTTCGAATATTTCTGAACGTGAACGAGCTGTGCATCCACTGTAGTCGTATGCATGACTTAAATGCAATTCCGTAGACGAAGCAAGCGATGCTCACTCCATGCGAACAGGATAATGACTCTATTCGAAGGTTAGACGGGATGGAAGCGATCTCGTCTACTGGGCGTACCCTGGTGGGTCAATGGTCGCCGTTCCTCGACCATCTGCTGCGAAATGTGAACCCGATGGCTCAGATAGAAAGACCCTTGAATTCAATTTCTTCAAATTGGACTCAGGAGAGGGGCCCATGGCTGGTGAGTGTTCTCGTAGCTGTTCGGTTAAGGACGTTCTGACTGATACGTCGATAGGTTTCGTACAAACACGTCCATACCTTCATTCGCACACAAATTGCTGCAGAAGATGCCTGGGCGGTGGTGGCATAGCAGCGCTCCTGTCCCCACCTTGATCATCGAGATCGAGATTTATCTCGGCTTCCGCACTTCGGGAGAGGATGATCTACGCGCGCCCATGAAGCGCTTCTCCCGATGGGTGTATCCTCGGGTATCTCATGCCGTCGTTCCATATGGAACGACCATTGGACGCTAGATTCCTCTGTTCAAGAGGTCTCCAAGAACCCTCGGCGTCCTGGGGAGCTGTGCATCTCCCGACGGGGCTATACATAACGCATCCTTCCCACACAGGCATGCATTTCTTGTCCTATCCACTTTTGCGATAGGAGAAACTGTTCATGCGTAAACATCGACAGATTCAGCGCTGTGGGTGGAGACAGCTCGAACCTACAGGAGCCCACAACAGCGCCGGCGCCGTGAAAGTTTGGCAAGTGTGCGGCGCGCAGTATAGCTATGCCAGTGCTCACGAGATAGTTGGGCAGATAATGTTTTAGGTGCTCTACGCCATGAGTCACCTTTCTCCGTGCAGCTTTTCTGTCCGGTCCCATTGCATCTACGCGCGCGCTGAGGATACTATGTTGAGCATTCGCTCTTGATTATTGCATTTATAGATGTATGACGGGATGTTTGGACTCGATTGTCCTGATGCCTGAAGAGACCTGGGGGAGACAGCGATTGAGTGCTCCTGCTCACCAATGGCCCTGACAGAGCTCGAGATATGTAATTTGAGCCGATCGCTTCAAGTTGAACTTGGTATCTAGGATTTTCTCGCTGCAGTCCACACCCCCCACGGCCCTTTTCTCTGCTTCTACCATCAGCATAGGTGTCACTGCCTCGTTTTTTTCCCCGAACAGTTCACGACGATTCAAGCAGGACTGCAGCAACTGGAATGGACGCTATGACTCCAGTCGCAATAATCGATGTGCTCACCTCGAGAGTCGAGGCAACGTGTACGAGCGGTAATGAGCCGGTGTGTGACTTTAATTTTTGATTCCTGTCCTCTTCTTTTCGTTCTTGAATCCATCTGTCTCGAAGCCTCGTGCATCTATGAGTATTTTGGTTGATGACGGAGAGCAGCTTGGCTCATGAACTTAGCTTATGTAATGCGGGATAAGCGCCAGGATGATCTTATCTTATCTCAGGAGCGGCTCGGCGTCTGGTTGAATGCAGCACTACCCGAGCTGCGACCAGTATATAATCCGATTGCATAAATTATGCCTTCGGCAAGGAAGTGCTAGGAAGTCAAATTCATTTCGGTCTCGAGAGATCCACAGTCAACTAACAGTCCATATATTCTGAATCCTGAAGAATAACATACACAGTGCCAACCTGCAGCCGAAGACAATATCAGCTCATGTCCTCGTATTTGTCTCTAAAGCTTTGAGGCGGGCCAACAGAGAATTATCTCGTCTCTTGAAACGAGCAGCTTACGGCCCTGAGTCGATCTGCATTGCAATGATCCATGCACCATTTGCTTCTCGACACGTTAGAGCACGTTTCTTTGGGATGGAAATTTCTGAATTATTCTCCGCCATGCGAATGCTCACAGAAATTTCTACTACTTTGTGTGAGACTTTACCATCAGCCTATATGACCTATTTGAGGGTAAGGAGCATTTGTCAAAGAAATCCAGACTCTCAAGCTTCCAAGCTCGTTTGACAGAATGGAGCCTCTTCAGAAAGTCGAAAGCAAACAAGGAATGTATCAACGCGTACTCCCAGTTAGGATTGTCAACAACTTGCTTCAGAAATGCAAATTCAGTTGCCCGAGAGCAAGTGGTTTTGTTTCGGAAGAGTGACCATAGCAATTATATTGTTACAGAGTAAAAAAAAAAGATCATAAATCCTCTGTTCCAGCTACTCTTTAGGATTCATAAGCGAGCGGGGGGTCGCCGGGTGGTTGAACCATTTGTGTTTGTATCCGCCGCCATACATGGACGATTTCGCAGAGAAACAGATGCCGAACCGGAGTGGTGATCGTGGGGGGAAAAATGTCACAGGGGCCGCCTCCGGTACCACGTTCTCGAGGCCCTCAGCCCGCTGAACGCGGGGCCTCTTCACCCGTCTGGGAGCATCAGAGGGTGCGAGCTCCTCTTCGTTCCATAGGCGCCTATAATTGTTGCAAGAGGGCGTTTCGGAGCGCTCGGCGCATTTCAGTGCCCCTGCGCCCGGAGATAGCAACATGGAAGGCGCTAGAATGTACGTGAGTCAGCATGTGTTGCAGGCGTGGTGAGGACGATAGACTGTCCACTTACGGAGCATAACTCCTCGAGGTACCTCTTGCTCTGCGGGGGCGGATGAAGTGCCACTAGTAGCAGTGGGAGGCCGCAGCTCTGGCCCTTCGAGGCTGTGCCCCCTGCCTACGATTGTGAACGGCGAAGTGAGGGGCATGAGTAACACAAGCAACCGCTCTACGACTGTGTTAGAGGCGACGAAGCCATTCGACTCTACTGGGTTATCTTGCAATTTACTGTCTACACGGCGCTGATTGTTCTGAAGCATTCTAAGGAGTTCGAGATAGATCACCTTGTGCGGCGCCAACTTCTCTGGACACGTCGCCCAAGGATAAGGAAGAACTTTGGCTGCTTCAAGAGTCTTTCGAGCGGACTGAAGACTTACTTAGCGCTTTAGGGCGAGGAGGAGGAGCAACGTAGGGTTACCTCGATGATGTTGAGAATCTAGAAGGTTCGTTAGTTGGCGCCCAGTCGGTTTCGGGAGAAATGGCTTTACCTGTGACCAAAGTTATAAAAGAGAGATGTGGATGTGGAGACTAGTTGGAGGAGCTCTTGTACGGATGGTAGAAAGGTCGAGAGATATCCAACGCGATAAGTGATGAAAGACAATTGTGCTTGGAAAGCATAACTCTGCGCATCCGAAAGCTCAGGATATGGTCCACCTTTCTCCTCAGACAAAGGAGAAAGGTGATCTACCGGTGATGGCATAGATTAATGTGGCGTGAGCGGGTTTTCCAACCGCTCAGGACTTGGAGATGAAGGTTAGGAAGAAGACCCGGTTTGCGATGCCAAATCGGTGGTTATATAGTTCGGAAATATCCGAGCGCACGATTATAGACGGCTGTTGGGTAGAAAACTCGTTGCAAATCAATTCTGTGAACTTTAGCGTTTCCGTGTTATGACTGTGTATTTCTCACTGAAGATTTTCTCGTAAGACCGTCATGTATACCCGATTTTCCTTCGTTTTCTGTGTCTCTTACATCTGATCGGAGCCGCAAATTGCTTCCGTGGGAAACGTGGTTGCGACTCCGCTACGTAATCAGCATCCTCTACTGCCCTGGCCGGACGCCAACGTACGATTAACTATAACCAATCCCCTACCTCTACCGCGAGATGGAAGCCAATATCTCCAATCTGAAGTACTGAAATTTGAAGAGCTCTGCAAAGCCTACTTAGTCAGTTGTCAGATCAAGCTCCGGATTTCACCTCATTCATCCTCCGACCTCAGGTTTGTTCGCGAACAGTGTCGACGAACACATCGCTCCCTCATATTCCTCATTTACGGACTACTGGCAACCATCGAAACACGCCGCAGTTTCAAAAATTTGGCCTACGAGAAGCCCTGAAGCCCTTTGGAACCCTCTTCGATGTCTTTATCTCTTCAAACTTGGTTGAACCGCGGGTCTTGCTGTCGCTCGACGCGTTACTCTTTCCAACTATCATCATCAACCCGGTCAGGCCGAAGGATGCTGCACATCTCATTGCCTGTGAGGTACTCATTCTACCTGGCCTTGTGACTGCCGTATTAACCCGGATCATAGCGCAAGTATCCCAAAGCCAACCGCGATGTCCATACTCTCGACCCCAAAGCCTACACCATCCGTCGGCAGAAGCAGATAACTCTGACCGGCAGCAATCCAACAATCCATGTCCATCTTGCAGCGGACCACCAACCCGTACAGCTTACCTACGAGCTCTCAGCTCAAGGACGAATACCGTGGCCAAATAATTCTCGCGGATTTTTGTACTACTTCTCTCCGCCAGACAGACCTCGGATCGCAGGCGAGCTCCGGTTTCGCCTCACCGAGTCCGACGACCCGTCAACCTTCGGCTCCGGGAAGGACATCCGTGTGTCGTCGACGAACGAGCCATGGCGCCGCCCGCTCTATTCGCTCGCGCAGAATCCGCACGCCCAAACGCGGCCCTTGTACGACCAACTCGTCGAGCAGGAGCTCGTACCGTCAGCCCTAGCTGCGGCGCTGGACAAGCTGCCTAAGCTGTCGCTCATGTACACGAGATGCCGGATTCTGCACACGCTGGACGACCCCTTCCCTCTCGACCTGGCGGCGAACTGGCAGAGCATGGTAGCGATTTCGGAGGAGGGGGTTGGGCAGATTAGTCTTCTCAAGCAGTTTCGAGACCATCGAACGATGAGCGCACCGTATGAAGGCACGTCTCTCTGTTATTCTTTTACTCTGTTAGCCTGATCGTAAGATATCTTGTAGGTGTGATGCTCGCCCGCTTTGAACGGTCCCAATCTCAGCCACGCAGCGTCGTCTTACGCTTCTTGGAAGAGATCAACCCCGTTGTATGCGTGGTTCCAAAGTACGACGAATACATCGACAAGCCTCACGCAGGCGGCCTATATACGAAACACTACCACGGTACTCGAAGGCCTTGGTACCTGGACATCGATGATCCACGCAAAGGGAAACTCATGGCGGAGGGTTTACGCTTGCTATGGGACTCGACTGAAGCCACTGCAACTGGTGTAGAATGTTAGGATCCAAATCTGCGTTCGGCCGCCCACCAGGATACCCGCACGCAGTAGCGTACTGCATGCGGGTATCAGTAGCGCTATTCTCCCATCAGGCTCTTCGACCCGACTCCATCGAGCTCATGCTCGTATCCGTGCAGGCATTGTGCATGGTGTTGAGGGATGGCAGGGCATGATGAGGAAATACAAGATGCTTAGTCTACTTCTAATACCGTTCCACGCTGTACGCTGCCCCATCCTACCGACACGATTAACGAAACGATCCACAAGCCCAGAATAATCCCACTCACCGACAAGCCGCCAATGCTTCTCAATACGACGCGACAGTGCGACCTTCTCGCCAACTTCCGTGCATGCCGGAGATGTGAGTTGGATCTTTGCAAGGTCAGCTTTGACGCTAAGGACGCGGCCACCAGTAGAGGTTGAACCAATGTTGATGAGGAGCAGCTCGTTCTTGACTAGCTTCGTGACCTTGGTCTGCTTCTTGTCCTCGGTCTTGACACCGAGCAGACGGCGAAGAAGGAACAGACTGATTTCAAGTTCTGCCAAATCATTCAGCATCTATCCAACCAAGAGAGAAACACGACATACCTGTGTAGATGCTGGGCAGCTTGCCAACAGCACCCAGCACCTGCCCCACCAAGCGATCAGCTCTGCAAAGCGTCGGGTCGATGCGGGTTCCAACACCGATAAGACCTCCAGGGACGGCAAAGTCGAGCAGGTTGTTCTCAGCGTGGAGGGATAGAATCCGGCTGAAGATGGGTTTGCACTTGTTGCGGCCAGCACTGTCCTTTGTGACGATGCCCGGTCGTATCTCGACCTCTTGTCCGATCCGTAGGACCCCAGTGAGGATGGACCCGCCAGCAACGCCTCCCTTGAGCTCGTCCACCTCCGCTCCGGGCTTGTTGACGTCGAATGAACGGATGACGATCAGCCGTGGGTCTGATAGGAAGTCCCGCACGGGGATCGGGATCCGCTTGACGATGTATTCGTTCACGGCGTCGATGTTGTACCGCAGTTGGGCAGAAATGGGAACGATGGGTGATGATTCAGCCACGGTTCCTGTACACCGTCAATAGAAGAAACGAAAATGAAAGCGATAGTCACCTTTTACGAAGGCAGATATGCTCTTCTGGTGTTCGAGCGCTTGGGCCTCCTTGATAAGATCGACCTTGTTCTGCAAGATGATGATGTTCTCGAGCTTCATGATTTCGACGGCGGCAAGATGCTCGGACGTTTGTGGTTGCGGGCATGTTTCGTTTCCGGCGATAAGAAGTAGGGCAGCGTCCATGACGGCGGCTCCGTTCAACATCGTAGCCATCAGAATGTCGTGTCCTGGGCAGTCGACGAACGAGACATGGCGTATAAGCTTCATCCGGTGCCCACATCCAGGGCGCTCGCATGGTGGGCTCTCCTCCTTGTCCGAACGATATGATCGATAGCAGCCCGGTCGCGGGCAGGCTTCGTTTTCGCATTTGTAGATCTATCGCTGAGATTAGACATCTTCCGGGTAGATAAATGACGGCGCACCTTCGCGTTCGCGTACCCCAGCTTAATGGTAATGTTTCTGACGAGCTCGTTCTTGAATCTGACCGTCATTACTCCAGAAATCGCCTTGACCACTGTCGACTTTCCGTGTGCGACATGGCCGATGGTACCTGTGATCGCGCTTTAGATGGCCTCCATCGGGTCAGAAAAACCTCGCCAACCAAGATTTATCGTCGCCTATGTCGTACCCATAAGTTTCGTGATGATTCACTAAGATTCAGCAGACGCACTTGTTTTGAGATAACTTCCGGCGACAAGGGTGTCAATTTTGTAGGATCGATCTCTACAACTGGTATGTTCTCGATCTCGTCCTCCTCCTCTTCCTCAGACTCTGAGTCTTGATCGTGCTTCTGGAGTGTTTCGTCGCCGGGCATTTTGTGGAGATAGGTGACGAACAAGTTCTATAGATTGGTAATGGACAGGTCTTTGGGACTGAACAAGCACTGACTCGAAAATTTCGGGCGGAGATTAAATAAGAACTACCGACTCGGCAGCCAGACTCAGACTCTCCTTTCATCCTCATGCCAAACTGATGTCGTCTTGACATACGCGGTGGCCGCAACGAGCCGTGGTTCGTATTGCTCAGACCTCGAGTCTACCTTCGAAACTGCTATGTTTTCAGGCCGTGATTTATCCCCTCTTTTCGCGCCGCTTCTTGCGACAGAGTCATCCTGGCTATGTTTAACTCGATCAACAATGACACATAAACTGCGTCACTAGGCCTACTATGTAGAGTAGTTCTTAAACAGCCGGCTGGGGAAGGGATCTCAAATTCGACCTACTAGTTTTCATCCCACCATTTGCTGTAGGAGATATGACTGAAGCAGAAAGTGAGCTTTCGCTAGCTACCAACTTTGACATCGACTCACGTAATCTAATCCAGTGGACGCCAAGTTTCCAGGACAAGTCTGTGTCGGATACCCTCCTTCTCCGACCATCGAAAACCCAGGACGGGCATGTTTCCGTGCTCTCCGTTTCAATAACCAATCCTCATTTCGGTCTTCTAGGTTTTCCCAAAGACCGACCCGAACAAAGGTGAGCAGGCTCACTCCGAGTCGTTGTTGGCAAATGTAATCCTCCTATTAACGCCGTTGTATTCCAGCGCCTGTCGCCTCGCCAAAGCGAAATACCCCCGACAAGTTCGTCGGCAACCCCTTCCTCATGAACAGCGCTCTCGACAAGGTGGACCACTCGTTGGGAGAAGTCATCTCCATTCTGGAGCAGGAGGAAAGATCGCAAGACCGTCAGGGCGGAGACAATGCGCTCTTGCGCAAGTTCAGGTCCTGGAGAAACGAGTTGGAGAATATCCGAATGGGCGAGGAGGAAATTCCGGTCCCTAACCGTGCGCCAGAGATAACGTCCGAGGCAGGGGGCATGTTCGCGGATTAATCACTGAACGCCTACGTCGTCGTGTCTTTGTTGCCATTCCATAGGGAACGGGTAGCAAACTCATTTTTTGAGCTTACAACTGACCTACCATCATGGGGTACGAAACATCCTATGCACTGTGACATGGCCTGCAGAAAACTCGTGCGTTGTTGAATCGACTGGTGAACTATCTAGGCACCATTCATGTCCCAAGTTGGATTCCTTGAAGACAACGTCCATTCCTTGCGATTTTGTCTATTGTCTCGAACTTGACACCTCGGATGAAGAACACTATCTATCGATAAAAAGCTTGGATGCCGCGAATCCAGCGCCTTGCAGGAACCATGAGTGCCACCAGCTCATATCCTGGTTCGCAAAAACACTCCAACTGAGTCGCCTCTTCCTTTTTTTGAAAGACAAAAGCCCACGAAGGGTGAATTTACTCGGGTATCGATTCACCAATGACTACACCCAAACAAGAAGGGAAAATCGGACCCGAATATATCGTCGTTTCAATGCGGCGCATACAAGCGAGAGCAAATGAAGACGGTTACGTACCTCGCGGACCCATACTCGGGTGAAAAAAGCACCGTTTTCTCCGATATGAGGCTTGCCAAGTATCCTCCCTGTCTCCTTCCGAATACCCGAGTTCCCATATTGGAGGCAGCCGTGTGCAGGCACCACCATGCAAGAAGGGCATCAACGTGATATCTTCCGACCCAGGGTTCATTTAGCTGCTGGCCATAATTTGGCGTGCGGCATAGTCTGTGAGCCATCTATATAATTTACGGCCTGGATGCAAACCACCACGGAACGCCCTTCTCCCGATCCCCCTTTTTGAAATACCCTCCCCTCAGGATGTCCGAACAGCAGTACACTCTTCCCGACCTCCTTCAAAATTGGCCATGGAACCGTCATCTCAGCCCTTATTACGAAGAGGCGAAGAGGGAGTCGAGTGCATGGGTCGAATCATTCAAGCCATTTGATCAGGATGGGCAGAGGGCCTTCGACGCTTGTGACTTAAGTCGGCCATTTCCTGGCTGTCTTCTCGCAATTTTGCTGATACAAGTGACTACAGATCTCCTCGCCAGCCTGACCTATTCACATGGGAGCAGGGGTACAAACAAGTTTTATGCTCATGACGTCGCTTTCTAATCTACAACCAGAATTTGTGCGTCTCGGATGCGATCTCATGAACTTCTACTTCGTCTACGATGAATACACCGACGTTTCCGACTCCGCGGTGGCGGACAGGCTGGCCAACATTGTGATCGATGCCATGAGAAACCCCGAAAATTCATCTCAAAGTGGAGATCACCTCCTAGGGAAGATGACTAAACAGTGAGTGTTTGACTTGCAGGTGCTTGGCGAAGGCTGACTGGAGTTCAATCCCTTCGCCAGTTTCTGGACTCGAGCGCTAGCGATGGCACCGGCAGGATCACCCTGTTTCGAGCATTTCATCACCACATCGGAGACATACCTACGCGCAGTAACCCAAGAAGCGGAAGACAGAGCGAACAAGCGCGTGCGTAAGGTGGACGACTACCTCCGACTTCGCCGGGATACGTGTGGCGCACGTCCGACGCTCGCACTGATCGAGTTTGGGCTCAATTTGCCTAATGAGGTAGTTCGCCATCCTTCTTTGGTAGCCCTTACGGAAGCGGCTGTGGATTTGATCATCCTCGTTAACGTGAGTATCGGCAGCATCATTGATTGGAGACTGTTCATGATAAATCTGTTTTCGTAGGATATGCACTCGTACGTGCGGGAATTGTCTTGTGGACACGAAAACCACAACCTCATCACTGCTATTATGCTTGAGCATCGTCTCAATCGGCAAGACGCCTTCCATTGGCTGGGATCACACTGCAGCAGGGTTGTGGATCAATTTCTCTCTGACTTGGACGAGCTACCGTCCTGGGGAGAGCCTACCGATTCTGGAGTGAGGGATTACATCAACGGCCTGGGACAATGGGTTCGTGGAAACGACGATTGGAGTACCGAGAGCAAAAGATATTACGGAGAAGATGGGGAAACAATACGACAGGAGCGCTTGGTCACAACTCGCTCCGGGGAGTCGAATTACATCAAATTCGGGCAAGTTGGCGTACAAGACTCGGTGCGCATCCAACCAATCGAAGCCAACTGAACTCGGCTCAGCAGCCTGGAACAAGTGGAACAGAGACGAATTGTGTCTATATATAAAATAGATTTTGCTCCTGGGGCACGACGAGGACCGCCGGGATTTCATGTCCAGTCACGGGTCTTGTCCATGTCAGCATGTAGTACTGGCCAAACAAGAGGAGAATGAAGAACGCGAAACCGTGTGGCTTGACAGTGGTTGAATCGGAGGTCCTGGGCATGGCGTATGTCTCAGGTCCAATGTGAAAGATCTACGAGCTTGGAGCATGCAACGGGGAGGTGTAAGCTGCCCAATTTCACGATGAGTTGAACTCTTGCTTTCTTGCTAACCTCTCATCTACTTAATCCTGAAGCCTTTGCGCAAATCAGGGTCCCTGCATATTGATACGATCGCGGCGGCGAGGCGATGTTGTTAAAGACCCAGAATGAATTGTACAATTCCAAGAAATGCCACCACCAGGCCACTGTCGAGCATTGTCAGAACCACAAGATAACTGCCTCATCATGTTTGTATCAAACAGCGTCGGTCGGTCGACGCATCCTTATGCCATGATAGTTTGCTTCATATTGGGCAGCATTTCCTGTAGTAGATGGTCCGCTTTAGCTGGGTTCTTCTGCAGCACGAGGTTTTCTATACGATGACGGGATTCTGACTTTGTTCTTGCCCTCAATTTCGTTGATCACGACGATCTCCCCATTTGCAATAAAAATCTTCTCTCGCTTCCTTCATGAGCCAACTGGGGTGGAAATCGGCGCTATTTGTATACGATCGTCTCCCGCGAAGTACCCCACTGCTTTCAATCCCGTAAGTGTTGGAAATGTTGATGACGACTCCTTCTCTGACCCCTATTTATACTACTAACGAGTCCTCCACCTTGGCTCTATTGGATCTTTGGAAACTCGTTGTATTGCTCTCTGAGCAGTCAAGGATAAACTTTTTGCTCCTGTGGACCTAGTACCTGCTGATGACACCACTATTAAGAATCAAATGGTAATTTTATCTCAACCTAAGGTTTTAAAAAAACCTTTTCCCGACACTGGCACAGATAGCAGAGGCCCAGCTCCGCCCTTGCAGGACAGGACACAGCGCAAAAGCATTCAGTGGTCTGTAAAGTACATAAATTACACAAAAATAACGAATTCTATTGAGGCTTGCGCATTGAACAGCAGGAAAAGACCAAAGAAATATACGGACGAACGGTAAACCTTCAATACCCACAAGTGGAGGATGAAAAAGAGAATTTCTAAACAATGTGGATGAGCATTGTGGTACATATGAAGAGGCAGCAATCTTTCGCTGAGGAAAGAAGAAAGGGAATGGGCCCATTTAATCTGGATACATGAGTAGTGCTCTTTGAAGATAGGTGGAATCGAGGCCTCGGAGACGCAGGCATCTCTGGAAAAGCTTCTTATCGACTTCGAAATGGACGCGGCTGGCGAGGTGTTGGCCCGCCACAAGGGACTTGATGACGTCTGCAATCCGGCGTTGCTTGTGCACATTAATCAACGGTTCAAGATGCATGGATGGTGGCAACGGTGCAAGGGTGGCGAAAACTTCTGGGTGCGCTAGAGTGTCAAATATGGCGGTCTCTGGATCAATCCCGACAGCGCTGTGTGGCGCAGTTGGGTCGATGACAGCCGGCAATTTGTTGAGTCGCTGGAGTTGGGAGAGATATATACCTGCAAAACATTTGAATACTCTGCGAACATGACCACAAATGATGACTTACCAATGAAAGGGATGCAAGCAGATGGCACCGCGGGTCGCAAATCCGAACCCGCTCTGGCCCTGCCTGACTGTGAATCCGCACCGCCGCTGACGACGGACGCAGCGTGACTGCTGGATTCCAATGGCTTCGCATCGACGATGGAGTCGACGACTTGGCGCATGAACTTGAAATGGTCGATGTTGGTTGTGAATTGTTTCAGATCTCTGTACATCCGGCTCTCGAACGTTCCAATCCGACTCCAGCCTGGTTTGCGCATCGCTTTGAAAACCCAATGAGTTTGCAAGGCTGTGATGATAGCAGTGAGGGTATTGAAGTTGCTGAGAGAATAGGATTTCTGAAGACGAACGTCAGTGATCCATTATGTTACAAATACAGAAAGGCTTTCATACCCAAGCAATGCGGATGAATTTGCCGACAACGAGAGGCCGCTCTCCGGGAGGCGTCAGGACGATTTCGGCAATGACAAACGAAACCATGAGATTGAACCTGGCTCGAACAGCAGCAAGGGCTGTGGTCTTGTCGGCAAAGCGACCCTCGACCTTCCACCGCGCGCGGTCTTTGAGATATTGACCCCAATCCAAAACATCAATCTCTTCACATTCCATCCACTCCTCTGTAACAAGTTCTTCGAACTTGACACTCATGAACAACTCTCGGTCGATCATCGAGAAATGCTTTGCGAGAAGCTCGGCCGGGTGGTGGAGGATGAAGGATCGATGTATCCGCGGCGCTTCGGTGCTGGCAAACTTAGACGAGAGGTGAGTTTCTACAGAAGGATCAACAAGTGGAGCGTCAGGAGCTTCCGTTGAATGAACTCTGCTTTGCAAAATTTCAAGAGGAACGGCGTCTTCAAGGGCAGGCTTGGCGTCCTTCGACCTGTCCAGATCGGGGACGTTAGGCAGCTGATGCGTCGTTTGGGTGGGCATAGGAGTGTCGACAGCATCGTCGATTTCATCGCGTCCAGCATACCCTTCATCCTCTGCGATAGATACCACAAGATTATGCTGAGTTTCGAAGTCAGGTTTGAGTGGCTGATCCACTTCATCAATGAAGCCCTCGAACTCAGGTTCATCATCCGAGAAAATGGAGCTGGCACGGTCATAGTCACCATTCGCCATTCTTTCTCGAAGACTACGGACCCAACCATCAACCTTTTCAGCCTTCTCTTGCAAGACCTTCGGGTTAATTTGACCTTCTAGTCGGAGCAGGGCGGCTTCGACATCACCTTTATCGTCGCCGTCGTTGCTCATTGACTCGAATGTCTGCTGCAAGGACTTCATCTGCCATTTCTGGATAGGCTGAGGGCCGCCTGCAGAAGATGTAGGCGATGTGGAGTGATTAGAGCTGTTGATTGAATCGCGCATAGATTCATGCGACACAATACCCATCGAAGATACCTCCGACCGGCGAACGAACTCGAAATCGCGACGCATCGGGAGTTTACGTACAGGTTTCCGCAACCCAGGCGGATGTTGAGGTTCGCCCGCCTCCAAGAATGAAGAAGTATCAGAGAAGTCCAGGTCGTCGATAGAGACCACGTCAAATTGCCATTGTGAATGCGTGCCGGGGAATGTTGGGGGAAGAGGCCCGTCTAAGGTTAATGGCTGTCCAAAAGAATCTGTGGATGAAGAACGGAAGGACTCTGCCCTCTCAGGCTGTCTCAGACGATCAACCTCGTTGTTGAAGGCCTCTATCTCATAATCAGAGACTGCTGTCGAACTATCTGCAGAATCATCAGATGCACAGGCTGTTGCATCCGAGGGCTCTGCAGTGTCAGCCGTGTCAGCGATTTGTGTGGCCAGCTCCGAATATTGTGGAATGGACGCCGACATTTCTTCGGCCACAACGGGTGGTGGAATCGATTCGACTGGAAGCTTGGAATGAGAGGCAAGAGGAGATGCAGGCGACTGAGGCGTTTGCGGAGAGTGACTCTCTCCATTGGCAGGAACAGTTAGGGGGGAAGTCTGTGACAGAGGCGGCGCAGGAAGTTCTTGCGGGGGTGAAGAAGGAAGGGGCGCATGCATGGCAACTTGCGTGAGGCTTGCATTTGTGGGTGCAGTCAACTTGGCCGCAGCCGAAGGCGGGTCAAGCATCTTCAGATATTGCTCAACACCGCCGTTCATGGTCAGCAGATCCCGTGATGCGTTAATTTCAAGGTCAAAGGCGGAGACGCCTGCGCAGGCTCCCAGAGGTGCTGCCGGACGGCTGACCGACGTCTTGGGAGCCAACACCCGCTTCCAACGTCCAAGCCGACCAATGGTTCGAACGAACGCCCTTGAGAGAGCGCTGTGGCGATTTGGTAGCGGTACCTGGACAAGGTTCTGCACAAACGGACGGTCCGTGTCGGCGTTGGGGCCAGGTGCATGGTCCGTGCGCTGTAGGATGTTGAAAGAGGAAAGAGGGAGGGAAGAAGGGCGCGAAGAAGGCGTCAGAGCAACTCCACCAGCGGAGCGTCCAACCGTGAGATGCGCGTTTGCTGGATCGCTTGGGAAACCTGTCGAAGGTTCTTCGGGTTTCGCATCGTCGGGGAGGAAGTCGAGGTCAAGATCGGATTCTGTGTCTTCCACGGCAGGCTTCCTGATCGCCTCTGCGAAGCTCTTTCCTAGGAGATGATCGGCAGGGCTCTCTGGTGTAGATCTCGGAAGCGATGTCGGTTTAGGCTTTTCCGTTGTGTGGGCTTCTGTACGAGTATGGGCCCGTTTACATTCCTTGGCAACCTTCACAAGACGACGGACAATATCCTATTCAAGGCAAATTAAAAGCACGAAAACCAAAAAAATGGGTCAGACTTACCATCCCATCTGGATGCTTCTTCAGCACAGGGTCATGCATTAAAGTATTTAGCCAATCAGCAATCAACAACCTCAGTTCACGGTTCGGAATGAAGTCAACCGTAAAGAACGTCAGCAGCCAATACCGAATGGCGACGAATGTTCGAACGCGGACGATGCGACGAACCTTCTCGTCCTGCAAAGACGACGGCTTTTGGCATGCCCAATGGAATCGACAGATGAGGAGATGGCATAAATCGACTGCACTGACGTAGGTCCTAAACGTCAAGAAGAAATTTAGGAGTTCGTCGTAGTTCAAATCACTGGTTAACTGGGCAATCCAGCGTTCGATGGTAGCTGCCAGCAGCACCCTCTGGCCTGGTTCGGCAGGTGGAAGTCGCGAGGTTGATGCTTCAGGGGACTTTATCTTCGGCACTTTGCTATTCCTCCTCCTTGAGAAGCTCGACGAGGGGTTCGATGACGAGACGTCGGTAAGACTATCTCGAGAAGACGAGCGGTAATCGTCGACATCTTGCTCTGGATAAACCTCGCCCCATATGACGAATCTTGGGTCATCTCGCGGTGCAGCGCTCGAGTCTGACGCTAAGGACAATTTGATCACGGTCGTATCTTCGTCCGCCAGGGTTTCGAATAGTGGCAACCCACGGTATGTTTGCAGCACGTTGAATACCTCCGTAGAATAATGGGAGGATAGATTCAATGACTCGGCCGATATAGTGTTATCAGGTTCTGGGGCGGGGGTGCCCGGCTGTTCGATTGGTTCTAGCTGGATCTCGCTCAAGCGGATTGCAGAAGGAGGCCGGCTGGATTCTTCATCCTCTTCAGGTACAGGCGAGCCGCTTGCTGGCAGGTCGTCTTGTCTTGCTGTTAGTCCAGACTCGAAAGACTGCATAACACGGAGGTAGCGAGGTGGCTGTCGTTCTGCTGGGGGTTTCTGCGAAGGTGAGTTGAATGAGACCGAGCTGCCGAATGGTTGAGTTATCGTTGCGCGCGAACGGGCGGGGTCCGAAGACGATCTTCGAGCGTCGAACATGCTGGAGTTGCTGGACGCACCCGATGACGGCGTAAACCAGTCCAGCAACTGTGCGAAGGCATCGAATTTACGCTCAGGTGAGGGCTGGTTGAATGCTAAACTTGGACGAGGCAGGTCCGCGGCTGTTACACTTTGCGAATGCGCACGCCCAGTCGCTGAAAACGTAGGCCCATTCGTGGACCCGTTGGAATTTGCAGCACTGTATAGATCCGGTATGGAGCGCGTTCTCCGCTGAAGTTTCCTGGATGTGGTGGTATTCGACGAGGCAGCGGTGGGTGGGCGGCTCGGAGGCGCAGGAGGTGGCGGTGGTGGTGCGGAGCTCTTTGAGAACATGGTGGGCGGGAGGAAATGCATACTAAGTCGTGAACGCCGTTTGGTCCGAGGAGATTGGGATGCGGTGCTCGACTTGGATTGATTGATCTGGTCTTCGACATCTGCGGCGTTCTTGCCCGGTGCAGAGTGTTCAGCACGATGCCTGTAATATGTACGTCAGTGGCTTTGGAGAAACATGAAGGATAAGAGTGGCGCACCCGACACGGTACATAGGCTTTCCGTGTTGATTAACAAAAGCTGTAATAGCGTAGGGAGATCGAACGGACGGTCCAACTCCAGCCAGCTGATCATATCTTCTCTTCAACTCTCGTGCAGCAGGCCCGGAAGAAGTCTCGAGATAAGTACCGTCCGCTTTACGCAACGTCAGCCCAATCCTGGAGCAAATACAACAACATACCTGCTACCGTGATGTCTGACGATGCAATATCCGGGCCCAGTGCCTCCAAGCCTTCCGGGGTTCCGTCATACAAGTCAGACAGCGCGAACGTCGGCGGGGGACTGCTTTGCGGTGTCGAGGCGGGTATCGGAGACAGAAATTGCGAGGCACCATCCGGTAGCTTTAGCGTCGATGCAAGCGAAGGTCCATCAAGCTGGTCGACAGCTAGGAGAGATTCCGGAGCCTCAATAGTGGGTATGGATCGTAAAGAGTCGTCAAAGTCGGAAGAAATCGTGGTTGTAGAGGAAGCCATAGTTAAGGTAGCAGTATAAAACGGCGAGTGAGGCGTCGAAAATCAATGGAACATGCTCGAAATTTCGGAAAGTTGAGTGCAGTGTCAACTTGGCCAGGAGCGAAAGACTAGATGGTCGGGATTACTGGAAAAGATATCAGGACATAGACACAACAATAAAGTGGAAGAAATACCTTTACACGGGCGTTATGTTCGTCGTTTGTCGTCAATAAAGGGTTTGAAGTCGGTGGCCGATAAATACCAAGGAAAGAGACTAAATAATCGAACCACGTGGCTGCAAGAACAAAAAAGGAACACCCCTTGATGCTTGAATCTCCGCTCTTGTTTCTCTTTCGTCTTCCAGGTCTTTTTCGTCTGTGATAAAACTTGGAAGCGAGGAAGAAGAAATTAGCATGAAGTTCAAGTTCAATCAGAGCTTTAGTCGATCTAATCGGAGGAGTTCAATTGTGCTGACTTACATAACGCATCTACCACGTGATTAGTCACGTTCAGGCCGTCACTGTAACGAACGCGTCTAGCACAGAAACCTTTCCTAGAACCTGATAGTTCTTGTTTTTTGCCTGCCATTCTCCAATATAGCATCCCCTTTATTCTCGCATACTGCGCACAGCTATGGCCGTCACTATTAGGGTATGTGAATGCATCAAGTAAACTGGGAACAAGGCTCACATTTGACCCACAGAATGTTGAATTTATGAACAATCCAGCGCGTTTTTCTGATGTGTATCGATTCCGAGTCACCTTTGAGTGCATTGCGCCTCTCGACGATGGTGAGGACAGAAATCTTCGGAAAATAACCTCCTAAATAAAGAATACACAATAGATCTCGAGTGGAAACTCATCTTTGTATCATGTCCCGGAGACGAAGCCCTCGACCAGGAGCTCGACGACTGCCTAGTCGGACCCGTACCACAGGGCGTCAACTCGTTCGAATTTGAAGGACAAGCACCCGACCCGTCACGGATACCCGAAGAAGACGTGCTCGGAGTGGCAGCTCTTATACTCACGGGCTCCTATCGCGACCAGGAATTCGTTCGGGTCGGCTACTATCAAAACACGGAGTACGATAATGAGGAGATGAAGGAGACGCCGCCGCCGAAGATTCACTTCAACCGGCTTGTTCGGGATATCAGTACAAAGCCTCGCGTGACGCGGTTCCATATCAAGTGGTGAGCATGACCCTCTTTTCGTTGTTTGCAGAATGCTCACCGCCAGCAGGGATGTATCACCCCCACAACCCGCACAAGCTGCGCTTGGTGCAGCCAACTCGGCTCCGGTGCCCTCCGCAGACGACATCACGAAGGCCGACGACCAAATGGCCATTGATAAACCTAATGGAAGATAGTGCCACCTCCACCCAGCTCATTATTCTTGTTCGCCCCGTTGTTGTATTTTTTGTTTGTATTTAATATTATTTTCTACTGTGCCAGTGTACACGTTGACGCAAATGGGTGGCTGAGATGCCTATAGGTGCAGCCCTGCGTTCCAACCACTCGGAAGCCCTTCAGACTTACCATCTTCTCGTGTACTACGATGTTATCTACCTCAGTCTAAGGCAACCTGAAGGCCGACCTCTTGTGGCCCAACCGCATTCACTGAACGACGCCTGAGCGTATTTCCGGACGTAGACGAGGTCCCAAGAGTGTCTTTTCATGTCGTTCTCCTTTTACTTCAAGAGCCACAAGCTGGAAGCACCGAAGCATCCGCATCTTGCTGGCATATAGTAGAGCGGCTCAACTCAGAGTAGCCACCAAGCACTCAAGAGGGTACCAACGACTCAACGTGTCCTGGCTTTATGGACACTAATTGGAGCCCCTTCTCCCATCTCACTAGTACTGACCAGGAACTGACTCGTTGAAATCAAACATCATGAACAGGGGATTGGAATACCAAATGGTAGAAGACAAAAAGTTACGATTGTGTGCCTATAGGCTAATAGTACACGAGGATACGGATACAGATACGCGGACTTTGAGTGCGAAAAGGCTTGGGTCGTACATACTGCGAAGCGGCGTTACTGGCAGATACAAGTCACGGGCACGGGAGAGCCAAAGCAGGCCAAAGGGGAAAACATGATAAAGAATGGCTTGATACCATATAACACGAAATGCGCGCTGAGAAACAGGTTAATTGAGAAAAGGAGACAAATGGGGGCTGTGCCACGCACGGGGATTGGCATGAGCAAACAGTAGACGTCGCCTCGATGATCGTTCCAATAGGTATTTTTGTTCCAGCCAGCAGGGAGACGCCACTGCCAGGTAAGTCGATCCTCATGGGGGACAACATAAACATAATTGTCCTTGACGTTGACCGATGGCTGTTTATGTAAATGAACGAATCGAGTAGTCAGGTAGGTTTCTTATTAACGTCTGTCCTTACCTAGTCGTTTGTCGCAACCCCTCTCTTCAGCGAGCCCAGGATGTTTCTCAGACGCATACCCTTCACGAGATCCGTTGTGGCTACTCGCAGTGTAGATTTGGAATACCCAAAGAACGGGGACCTGGCCTTGTGCCACAGAAGGTTGAAGATCAACCAAAAAGGAGTTTAACAAAGTGCGCTTGTCGGAGTCCGACACGTAGTAGTGCTCGACACCCAGACACGCCAATGCTTCATTGCTGAACTGCATAGCCTCTCTCTCGCTGCCGGTAAGACAGGTGTGCGTCGTTATATTGGCGGCCGAGAACTCGATATCGAGAACAGGGGCGTCGGTCTCCAAATTGCCTTGCATGTTGTACAACGGAAGCTTCTGTCGTTCACTTGTCCGCAACAGTCTGTGAGAAATAGGCAGCAGGATCCAGGACGCAAGTATGCTGGATTGCTGATACCTTACGAAGAGGGAATAGATATCACCGAGACCGAGGTGAGAAGCGTCTTCCTTTTCTAACATCTGAAGAACCGCATTGGCGGCATGTGCAGTTTTAAAGTCCAGAGCACAACTGAATCGGAAGTTAATATTGTCAGTGTTGCCAGTCGGAAAGACCCGGTCTTGTCCGGTCGGGCAAGACACTACCTTCTATACAGTGTTTGACGAGATCGCAAAGAATTGGATATGTGACTTGTTGAAGAGCAGCATCGCGGTAGAAGTGAATGGTCTCTGGCTGAAAGATGCCCGTGAAACGTCGCGCGGCGCAAGCCCATATTCCTGAACGACATGATGAACGAGATCACGGAAAGCACCATCGACTGTCGACATTGTAGATATTTCCTTCGATCTCCGTGCTTTGTTCTTGGTTGACCTCTCTGTCGATACACCACTGCCGCAGGACCGCGCTTGCTTCTGCAAACTCTGGTCCTCCATCTGTTACATCCGAAGAGCCTAGTCATGACACATCAGTAACGAGAATAAGGGTGAAGACAACAATTTATACGCTTTGTACAGCTATTCCTCGTCCCAGAGTTCCAGGCCCCACATAGGAGCAAGGCGCCGCCTCTTTGCCCAAAGTCCATAGCGGACAGGATTGGGAGAGGCAGCTTGGACAGGAAAGACAGTCGGCAGTGAACGAAGTTCCAGTGTTGGCAGTGAGATCGCTATCATGGTCAATGAGAGACCAGACGAACGGTAGCTTCCTATCGTTCAAATTATAGGAGAAGGGAAATCGAAAGAATCCTTCATCTTTGCAGCGTACGCTTCTCCACCATAGAACAGATAAACGACTACCGCGGTGGAGATTGCCACCGGATGTTGTCTCATCAGTAGACAAACCAAAGCATACCGCAGGAAGATGGTCTTGCCTAGAGGTAAGTGTAAACATGCACTCGCTTTCTGAAAGAAGCTCTATTGCGCACCCGCACCAGGTGCGCCTGTAATTACTGCCCCTGAATTCCGAAATCTCGCCTCCGAACGCTCAAAGAGGGAGATGTAGGCTGAACGAACGAATAAACGAGATGGGACATTTGCCTCGTTTCGGAAGGCGTTTACGTCGATCTCGCTCTGCAAGTCTGTCTCTTCGGCGTCTCGCCAGTGTTGATAGAATTCTTGAATTGCGTGCTGAGCCTTAAGTTTTAACCCACTTCCTTTTCTCCGCGTCAGTCCAGTTCTACCTGGCCAGCACATTAACAATCAGAACGATGGAAGGAAAGAGCAGTATATCTCACCTGCATTTGCTTCGCCGAGTTTGTCGACATGGTGGGGCAAGAGAGAGGGCCCTTTATTTGGTCGGTGCGGCCGCTTACAAAGTGGTCCACACAAAGTTTGTGTCACTTAACCACCACCACAATCCACGATGGACTCTTCGTCAAGCCGACAGACTGCCACAAAGCTCAAGCAAGAAGAGATAAAGAGGCAGATAGCCCTACTTCAATCTCAATTGGAGCCAGAATCTCCTGCGAAGGCCCCAACGCCCAAGTCCCCAAAACGAAAGACCTCTCAACCCAAAACGTTGGCACCTGCAACACCGTCACCACGTACGTTTACGCGTCTATATTTGAGATTTTACTCTTATGGCTTTTGTTTAGGGAAGAAGAGAAAGCTTGACCTCCAACCACCCAACAAAACCGTTCATCGGCCCGTCTTACAGCCTTCTAATCCAACACACAAGTCTATCTCAGGGCAAGGAAAGGCACCCCGTGAATTTTTTACAAAGCCGCGACCTTCAAATCTCCTGTCGAACCTTGCTGCAATAAGCCAGAAGAGCGAAGTGGTTGACGAAAGCGAGGCTGTTCAACGTTCGACCGCGTTCACAGACAAGCCGCAGGAGGTTCCGGGACCCGCCCAAAGCAAGCGCGACGAACGTCTCGCAATAGTCGAAACCCTGGAAATGGGACCCTATGACCACACACCGCCTTCTGACGATCCCAATTTCGAGAAACTGGAGCCACACTCAGGGATCCACTTGACGTGAGTGCCCATCGAACTCGATTGGTCTAACCGTGCTCATAATCCCGAGCAGCTCGCGAAACATATCTCACGAAGATTTCAAAGACTATCTGAGGGGCCGATACTATCTCTCCCCATCCCGCCTCTACTCGAGTGTCCAACTCCTCCCGGACAAGAAAGGGTACGACGTGCCTGTTGAGGGCGACTGGGTCACCGTTGCTGTCATCGCCGAACGCGGCCCCATCAAGTTCACCCGTGCACCCGTTACACTTGATCCTGACGAGAGCAGCAGGAAGCAATGGAAAGGCAAGGCCAAGGCGCCAGCTGAGCCCGAGAAACCTTCCGGCGGCAAGAAGTTCGTCAACCTGAAGCTAATCGACTTCGGTGCGCGCTCTGCGTCGTCCAGCTCAACGGGTGGCAAGTCTGTGATACGGGGCGACGCGTTTTTGACGCTTTTGCTCTTTGAATCCGATGGATTCGACCTTCTGCCACGAGAGGACGGTCGGAAACCGGAGAAGCTGTACAAGGGTGGCAGCCGGGGTGCGTTTGAGCACCTTATGGATGTGAGAGAAGGAGACGTGGTTGCTTTGCTCAACCCGAAGATTCTGAAACCGTTCCAGGTAACTTCCTATGTTAGATCCCTTTGTCTCATCTTACTCTTGGGTAGCGGTCGAGCGACACACCCCATCCGGTGGACAACGTTCTCGCTATCACACCCGAGTCGGCGTCATCGATAATGGTCATTGGACGCGCGCGCGACCTTGGCATGTGCAGTGTCCGCAGGCAAGATGGCAAGATCTGCGGTAGCTGGTGCGATAACCGCGTCAGCGATGTTTGCGACTACCACGTACAAAACGCCGTCCAGCGTAGGCGGGCTGCTCGTCCGGAGTTCTCTGCTGGGTACATTAACCGTGTATACCGCACCGCTAACGCTAACGCTAACCCTATGATAGAACATCAGGATTGACAACAACCTCCACGCACAAACGGAAGAATGATTACGACCCAGCACGTCAATGGGGTCTAAAGCCTGACGAAAGCAGGGCCGAGGGTGCGACCTATGTTGTGTCCGGACACGTCGTCACTGGGACGTCGTCCGACCCGCGGACGATGTACATGACCGAGAACATCGGTCGAGAGGGCCAGGCGAAGGCAAAGAGGAAGCTCGAGTCTCGAGACGCTGACCGGGCATTGAAGGCCCTTTTGCAAAGGGACAAGGAGGGCATGCAGGCTGTGATGGCGGCACGAGAGGTGGGAGGTTGTATGAAGAGGTCCAAGAACGAGAAAAAGGGAAAGAAGAAGCAGGTTGAGGATGGTGAGGATACGAAGCTACGTCAGACGGCCTACTCTGCGGAGATAATCAAGTTGTTGGGCTTCGACCCGTCACTGAAACCGGGGCAGCGGAGGGTTGAGAATAAGATCACACAGGACAAGGTGGGTTGTATGCCACGAAAGCTTTATACGCTTGCTGAAGTTTTCTTGTCCAGCTTGTGGCCCTTGAAGCAGTGAGAACGGCACGGAAAGATATCATCTTGGGGCCTCGTCCGGGTCCAAGGATACGTTCAGGCGTCGTTGCTCCAATGAAGACAATCGAGCTACAAGAAGATAACTGTGAAGTTGCCTTGGACTGCGATGATGAATTAGTGGTGGATAATACCGTAGTCTGCGAGGAGAAGATGGTGGATTTGGACGACTTCTGAGACATTGGCATCTCAGCTAATACCCCTCTGCATTAACGTGGACACTGGCACAGAAATAAGATTATGTAAATAGAAAAAGAAGTTAACACGACAACGGTGGTAGACTAAACGATCAAGTCCTCTGACCGTCCTACAATAGGTGCGAAATTAAAACCTTCTGTCCTCCAGTGTTCGTTGTTTCTATTCCTGTTTCACGACGTTTGACTTCTGACAGTCAGTGTCATTTGAACTGCTGGCCAGTGGAAGGGGTGCTTCCCTCCTTACATGGTTTTTATTTCAGTTGAACAACAACAGCGCGGGCTGAATAGTCGCACACAGTGAAATTAACGTTCCTCTTTACGCGGAAAACATATATGTATAAATACAGAAAAATGTTGAGGGATGCACATCTAGGTCCATGAAAAATAACAAAAGATGAAAGCAAGACGAGACAGCGAATTAATACAAGACGATGCTATGCTCCAGGCGCATCGACGTATCGATAGCAGGGGCTATGTAACGAGTAGCAAGATGTAGCTGAAGCAGAAGTGCGGGTGTTGGGCATCGAAAGTGTCGAATATGATAGGCCATAAAAGGTCGTGAAATTATCGCAGATGTTCTGGCCACTCGGAGCGTCTTCGCCAGCGGCCTTCTGAGTCGAACCTGGGATTGACCGGGTAGGACAACCCGTCGCTTAAACTCCTTCCAATAGGAACTGACGAATGTTTAGCGATAACATCAATGAGGAAAGAAGATGTAGGCTCACATATCCAACCTAACCTGTTCTTGCCCATTACATCCACCCACTCTTCCCGACTGCTTCCTCTCCACCAGATGTTGCCCTCCGTATTCAAGGCACCCCATTCGTAATCCCATTCCCGCTGCTTTCTCCGTTTCGCACTAGATACGTCGTCAGAAGAAGCAGAAAAACGACAAAAAAAAAGCTGACCCAAACTCCCAACATGCCAGGGCGTTTGCCAACATATGATCTCCCCTCTCCTTCATTGACCGTATCTGCATGCTCTCTACCGTCGTCTGACCCTTCAAGATCATATGGGTGTGCGATGTTACGAGCGAGCTCGTAAACAAGAAGAATAGCGCAGCGAGCGCGACCAGGACGATCTCCTGCGGATTGAGATTGGCAGAGTTATGGGTCGAGTTCATCTCGATGATGACGTATGCGAGTTGTGTCGCGAAGACATAGCTCGTAAACACCGTCGTGGCTTGACAGAAGTTGACAAAGAACTGGTCTTCGTTCAGTCGAAAGCAGCAACCAGGAAGATGTAAATCGAACCTTATGGTTTCGTGCTCCTACGCATTGCCCGATCCCTGAAGGACATGTGAATATGACAGTCTGATCACAGATAGACTTGACTGACACGGGCAATGGTGGTCATACTTCAGAACACACTTCAACAGGGTCAGAAAAGTTAACGCAATATAATGTGTAATGGAGGGCTCACAGTTCCACAAACTCGACAGTGGTGGGACCTGTATGGCTTCACGAATTGCTCTGTTGTGCAATACCGATGGGCTGGTAGCAAGACAGCCGTCGTTGGAGGTCGCCGCTGCAAGGCGTCATGCTTGCGCTGTTTCTTCTCCTGCCGTGTGGTAGATAGCCTGCGATCGTCAGGTCTCGGCTTCATCAACTTGATGTTCGAGCTAATCGAAGACGACTGCTTGTGATGCTGCTGCTGCGGAGAAGCCATCGTCTCGGAGGACGTAGGAGACCGTGGAGGTTCCACTGCAGGCCGTTCATCGATTCGCACCGCAGGACGAGGGATGACGCCGAGGACACTCGCGTTGGGATCCGTGTCGTGCTCTTCGTTGTCGTTTCGGACAGTGACACCATCCTTCCTCAACAGATCTTCGTAAGAAGGTCCAGCGAGGCCTGGTTCGTGTCTTGGCTGCGACAGATGCGCAGTTGCATGATTTAGCGACGTGGAGAAGGAGGTATTCCTCGTGTGCTGCGAGGTTCGAGGGTTCATCTCAACATCCGCAGGCATGGCACTGTGAGAGATGGTGGTGGAGTGCCAGGAGTCGTGAAGAGGCACTGAGGCGGGAATAAGGGGCCGTTCGGACTGTGGGACATGCTGTGCAGAGTAAGATGGTCTGCTGACGCGCTGGAAGGAAAGAACTCACATCCTTCGCATATCCTGGAGGCGTCAGAATGGCCTGCAATTGCACATATGGTGTGAGAGCTGTTTCTTTTGCAGAAAAAATGTACTCACCTTGACGTACGCCCATACCATCCATAGATATAGCACCGAGAACACGGTCAAGAGTGCAACTAACGCATCGTCAACTCCGGACCCGTTCCACACATATTGACCAACTCACTTCCCGTCCCTCGTCCAGCTGGAGCTCCTGCCCGTCTCTTGATCATAGGCAAACACAGGTGCTGAATGTATACATATGCCCCATATCCAATAATCCCTAGCGTTATCCCAACCATGAGCTTCCGGGCAATCCATGGCTGAGGTTTCGTTCTTCTGTGCCGTTTCTCTAGAGCAGCAGTGGTTGCTTCTTCAATCACACCACAGCAGGCGGGTGTTTGTGGTTGTCTGGGCTGAGTGGCGATCTTCGTCGCTGGCATGCTGGGTCAAGAGAGCATGGAGTTCAAATGTGGAGTACAAGCACAGGCACAAGAACGGACACAGTCAATTATCCGATCGTAATTTACTAAGTGTCAGCCACGTGCTATGTACGGCCCGGTTGTCCGGGGTGCATTTACGAGGGCAAGGAGCCAAAATGGGACACGATTCGTAGACTTATTTTTATTTTATTTTCCTCGAGTCATTTTGAACAGCTACATCTAGTTTAAATTGGACCAGGGTGTTCGAATCGAAGGGAAATAATATACTTGTCCCTCCGCGCCAGCCCTCGCCTGATCACTGCATCCCCGGGGAGCAACTCAGCTTTATAGGACAGAATTTTTCAACCAAAAATGGTCGACCTCAATACATGTTACTTACATGCGGAGAGACAAAAAAACATCCTGCGCAGACCTTATCTCCAATGATGTTCGAAAAGCCGAAAGTAAGGGCTCTTGAGGTCGAATTTAAAGCCGCTTCGTAGAAAACGAGTCTGGGAATAGAAATCATGTTATCATCGAGCACGAAAGCGAAGGAAATGCTCTTCGGCAAAACCCTCTGGTAGTCAAAAGCAAGTGCGTGAATTCTCGATGTGGCCGTTTTATGAACCTAGGAAATGTGTGAATACGATGCAAGATCAGGTTGTAGAACTTAAAACGATTTAGAATTCGATCCGACGACAGGAAACATATTTGAGAAAGGCTTACGCGTGGACCGGTAAGTAGGATGGTTCCGGTCGAGGTTGCAGTTAAGAGCACGTCGCCGACGTTGATAGGGATGGGCTGAACGGGTTCGGAAAGCTTGACACCCTCCGGAACGGTATACGGGCGAGCAGATCACGACGACTGTCCCGGCATTGAACAGGGTTCGCGTGTCTGAGACAAAAAAGAGGAGTCATTAAAAGTGAAAACACTGTCGCGATCAAGGAAGGTTATACCTGGTCATGGTCACGTTTGAATCACTGTTGGACGTTGAATGTTGCAGGTTGGATGACGTTCGGATGGGTGAGCGGTGATCCCGTTCAAATATTTAATTGCTCCGTTTATGAGCGATAGTTCTCTCCAAATACTCGTCTATTCCTTAAGAGACTTGCACGCGGGATCGAGCGTCTGGACATTCGCCTGCGCATTCTCCGCGGGAGGATGTGTCCAAGGAAGTTGAAATCGTAGACATCGCCGGTAACGTGCCTACATTGCAACACTAATCATCTCGAACTAGCTGAAGCCCTGGCGCCGGAAAGACTCGATACATTCGTCGAGCGGTTGGAAAGGCTCTAGGACGTCTGCAGTACATTGATAGTACGCCCTAAGTCTATGCACAGAACATAAGCATGAGATGCAGCTCGCGGCATAACGAACTCAACAAATGCCCATAATCGTATGCGGATGGAGTTCAGGACGAGTTCTTAGATATCGATGGAATCTGGGTTGTGATCTAGGAATATCTTGCTGGAATTAGCTGGTTTCGTTTGAGCTTGTGGAGGTTCACCTGCTGAGTCTCTCCAGGCATGCTTCGTTGAGCCAAAACGATGAAATACAAATGCATGACGCCCATACACGCAGTCTTCTGTTCGGACATCCGACTACAGTAACTTGCACTGCGAAGATAAGCTGTCGCTCGGCTCTTGTAACGTGACTTTCATGTTGGAACTTGGTAGAAAGCATCAACACTTTCAGGACGCCAAGACCTCAATTCGTTTGACATCCGGGCAAATTTCCACGGTACTAGTACTTATTTACGACCGGTTCCGACACGTTCTGTCTCTCTTAGCACTCTTTCACAACTTCAGCCTTCAGACCAATGCTCCAAGCTTTGTAAACTCACAGTGGAGAAAATGTCAACAGACCATGCCGAAATCGAAATACGTCCAACAGTCTTCAGCTTTCCAAAGATGCCTCTGGGTGGAGAAGGCAGCAGCACATCCCAATTTTCATTTGAGATGGTTGATGAGAAGGGAGATGGCTTAGAGGACCCTAATGTGAGAGCTCATGATGGGTTTCGCAGAGTTCTGATCTTGTGATTCTGGCCGAAATAGAAGCCCAAGATGTGGAAGACCGGACAACAATATCACTATCCTATTCCAAAACCAGCTGGGGATCCCTTCGATAGGTGTCTGGAGCCCCTATTGACCACAGATCAGATCCAATGCGACGTGTGGAAGGGTGAAGTGCAGAACTTGTTGATATTCGTAAGTCTTCGTTCAGCTTTCTGGTTAACATCTGGCGAGCGTGAAATCCCCCAGGCAGGTCTATTCTCGGCAGTTGTCACTGCATTTTTGGTTGAATCCTACAAATTGCTGCAGCCCGACAAAGGCGATTTATCTATCACCTACCTTGCCCATATATCGGCTCGCCTGGACAACCTTGCGAATGCGACGGCTTTCCCTCCAGCTTCTATTACTGAACCCAACTCTAACGCGTTTTCGCCTTCGTCATCATCCACAAGAGTCAACATACTCTGGTTTCTCAGCCTTGTTCTGAGTCTCGCCACTGTACTCATTGGCATTGTATGTCTGCAGTGGTTGAGGGAACATCAGCGCTATCCGCAGACTCTCACCCAGAAGGAGGCCTTTGCCCTCTTCCATATGCGTTCTGAATCTCTCCGCAAGTGGTATGTTCCTCAAATATTCGCAGGCCTCCCCTTGCTGCTCCAACTCGCCTTGATCTTCTTTCTTGCGGGCATCATCGACTTCCTTCAAGCCATTGACAAGACTGTCGCTATCCCAGTCATAGTCTTCGTCTCGTTGACACTATGTTTCTTCCTTGTCACGACGATTCTTCCTGTCTTCCAATCCTATACGCTCGCGCTTCCCCTTAATACAAATGAACCCGAGGTTTCAACACCTTGTGCGTACAAGTCGCCTCAGGCCTGGGCCCTTTTACGTCTTCTGACATTGTCAAGGCCTCTCTTCCTGTTCATCCACTCATTCATCCTCAACTCGTTAATTTCGCCAATCTACATTCGTTATTACCTTTTTAAGCACGGTGGCAACAAGAAAGACTTCACTTCCAGCGCTTCAAGTTGGGCAATCTACAAGCTCTTTGGACATTCAATAGATTGGATCAGATACGAACTTGGATGGCTCGAAGTTCGCACATGTCACATTCATGGCTCTCAAGATTGGCCCCCGTCCCAGAAGTTTGACTGGGCCGAAGACTACGATGCCACTCGAGGCATCGTGGAGGTGATACGACAGTACAGCTTTAACGAGCCGCTCATGTACGCGGCATATCACTGTTTCCAGAAGACGGTGTCTCACAGCTTGGTCACCGACAAATGCCTCCTCCAGTTGTTCAGAGACCAGATCACAACAAGAGCCCTGTACGAAGAAGGAGCACCCGTCGCAAATTCGGAGTTGATACTCCTATCATCATTGATACGACCATCTTTCGAAATCTTGAATGACGAAAAGGCCTACGTGTTCCTCGAAGCTTTGCCGTCTCGCTTCACTGCAGATGCTCGCAACATTTTCGGGCAGCATCGCCTCGAAATATCGACAAGATTGTTGCAATTTCTCTTTGCAGTCGAGCCAGAAGTACAGCTAGAGGCGAATCCACTTCCGCCATCCGATGCATTTGAATTGGCACGAAAGTCGCAAATATTCGCCTCAATACTTCCGGGTCACCACAAACACTTTGGGGATACCTTTGTTCCATACCGAGAATTCCTCTACCAAGATGACTCTGACCTGACGGTCGCTCAAACACGCTTCAGTAAGAGTATCTGGCACGCATGATATTGGACTTTTCGCTCATTCCAGTGTCTTCTTTGTAGCCATCCTTGAGCAGCGATTATTGACTCTCTGTCCTTTTTTCCGACGGGCGGCGTCTCGACGCCAAACGTTGAAGGCTACTCCTACCAACTTCCATATGCGACCCTTCACTGATATCTACATGGAAGAAATCGCAAATACAGTCTGGTTCGTCCTCACCAAATCAGCATCTTCGATCTATAGACGACTTAGCATCCACCTGTTGAGCTGCAACAACTTCTTGGACGAACTATTAAACAAAGGAGAACACAAACACCTCTACTATAGCGCCCAGCTATACATCAAAAGTTTCTACACACCATTAAAAATCCTCATCACTTACTTCAACCCATCCGTCTTCCCAGACGCGACGCTCGTACACTCAGTCGCCAAGCTCGTTCGCACGCTCGACTCATACAGAATCATGATGGACCCGGAAACCTTCCGCTCAATCCACGCGTACGAAAGGGAAGTTGAAGCCCAGGAAAATGGATCTTGGAACGACTTTCTTTCGGTCATTCGCCAAGCTGAGCATATCCTGGACAACCCCGATGGTCCGCGCCCTGGGGAGCCACCGGATACCAACGATCAGTTCCGAAGAGCTCTGGCAAAAGCATTGATGTCGCAGGCGACAACCCCCAAGGCCGTGCCTACAGCCAGTGGTACCTGTGTCACAGAAGAGAAACCATGCTCAGATTCATTTACTTGACCACAAGGTATGCTATTTATGTCGAAAACTTCACAGGAATCATTCTGTTTACTTACTGTTGACGACAGACGGAATACTAAAAAATCATGGCGAAAGCCAAAGGATTGGTACGGGCAGCCGCTTGAACGGAAACGCCAATGCGCTTTTCCTTCATCTCCGTGTCCCTCTCAAGGATTAGAACGGAGGCAATGATTTCGTCTTTGATACCTTCCACCTCCCGCTTCATGACAATAGCCAGCTGAGCACCTTCACTTGCAACTTGAATCCACGCGATAGGACGTCCTGTATCATTTTCAGGACAAAGCTGGTCGTGTAATTGTGAGAAGGGACGTATCGTGTCGACCCTAAGCAAGGCAGACTTACAACCAAACGAGGGTCAGTGTCTGTGCGCCACACAAACATTCCCATGCTTGTAGAGATCGTCCACGTTAGGCTAAGCGAAGACCAGCGAGTCAACTCGAGCGCCCCTTAGACGTCATATAAATGCTAGACTCACCGCCCACTGGTTGGATTTCCTTCTTTCAGCCATTTCTTTATCTTCAATGGCCTAGCATCGTGATGGTAAGCGAACTTGATAGTATCGGACTGGAATCGGTGACGACAAATGGTGATGAGGGGTTCGTTTGTCAGAAAGGAGGTGACTTTAGTAGTTGGGGCGGAAGAATCCGTCGTCGAAACCTCGTAATATGGTTGTCCCTTGAACAGGAGGGTGACGTTGGTTACGCTCGGCTTTGTGAAGATGAGCTGCATGTCAGCAGATTCTGGGCCAGTGAGCATGGCGCAGAATCAAAGCGAACACAAGGGGGAGCCTCAGAGATAACCTATTTGTGACGACTGCGGTTCTGTCAAGCCTCTCATCATCAGCAACGTTCGTAGGACAGCGATATCTGGACGTGAACAGCCTCGAGCGCCAAGGCCGTCCGATTGGTCTTTCGTCAACAGACCCTCTCGTAATGGGCTCTAGGTTCAAGTTCTTGAATGAATTCATGATACTCAAGGATACTCATCGTGGAAGAAACAGCGAATCAGAATGATTACCGGTTTCTTGCAAAGGCGAGTAGGGTTATCGACGGTCGTGCTCTGTGCGCCACACAAACCGGGCCGATTAGTCCGGCAAGGGCAGATGCAAAAAGGAGTGGGAAGGAAGGTAAAGCCGATGTTGGAGGAAATGCAGAGGGGAGTTACTTAGTGAGGTTGGGGTGGCTATCTATCTCGCGTCGTTGTTGCGCAAGCATCCCGGATAAGGAGGGTGATAAAACGCTTCTCGAGACCTTGTGATGACCGAACAAACGTAATAAGTATCCTTCTTCTGACATGACAGGAAGGCACTTCTTCCTTGCCTGGAATTCTTGGGTAAGACGGGGGATGCATCAATGAGGGTTGATTGAATACTGGCAGATTCAGAAGACTCAACAAACGCTGGATTACCCGCGGACTACTAATTAGTACTTGTTCCCTTCAACATCCAAGTAAGTGATCGGCGGGTATCAGAGAGCCAAAGAGAAGTGCATACCTTATCCTTGGGAATAATTCCTTTCCCTCAACTTTATGTCATAGTCAAGACTTGGCTGCCGTGGACGTGGATGTGGATGGAGGAGACAAAGATGGGTGTTGCATTCACTAGCGAGGACAAATGAAGGGGTGTAGACTGCGTATGGGACAAGATCAAGAGCAAGGTGAGACGACGAGGTTATCGAGGAACGTGACCCTCATCATCTCCCCTTTCTGTGAGTAAGTAGCGTAGCGCACACGGAAAGCGAAGTTATAAAAATGAAGGTTTAAAATCAAAAGGTAAAAGGGAAGAATAAGCCAAGGTTCACAGAGGCGGAGGGATCAAAGGATGTAGGGCCATGGTGACGAAGGTGTGCAAGACCAAAGCCTAACACCAAAGGATCAAAGGACGTAAACGCGCGACGAAGGCGCAAAACAAAGAACCATGGTGGTCGAGGGTTCGACAAGATAAAAGCGGCGACAAGACCGAAGCCTATTTCCCGAAGCGGAGTCGAGGAAATCGGGGTGGTGGCGAACCGTGGTGGTGTCGAAAGATAAAGAACAAATATGTATTGAAATGTCGAAGGAAAGTCAAATGTCGAAAGGAATGGGGTCGAAACCCAAAAGGGTCGAAAGGCGAAGAGATCGAAAAGATCAACTTGACGTCGAGGGAAAGAATCCTACGTTAAAAATGTTAGTAAAACACTTTCAAAATCCGAACGAGGAGAGACTGCCCATCTACCATCTGCATCGCCATGAGGATGGCTCGATGGTCTGATAGCTGGTCAGACTCCTTCCGGATATCCTCCATCCATTGTGACATGTTCGCTCATCATCCACTTACTTCGTTGTTCCTTCCTCGCATAACTCATCCATCACACATTCCTGTCTATCCTGTTTTTACGGCCGAGCATTGTTGGGGCAGTGCGTATGTTGGTGCTTGCGAAAAAAATGTTGCGAGGGACAGTGGTGTGTCAATGCGGGGGATGAGGCATGTGAAGTGACCGGAATTTCGCGTGGACTACCGAGGCGAAAGAGATTATACGGGGGTTCCCAATCGTCGAGACGTGCGTCGGAGTACTTAGCATGATAGACCCCGTGTGGCTTGCGGCGAGAGGTTCCCACTTATTTAAGGGGCGAAGACAAAGAAGGTGACCTTGAGCGAAGCAAACAAGCTCAAAGGGTGTGCGCTGTGGAACGAGTGCAAATGTCCAGCGAAGTTGAACACAATTGCGTAAAGCTGGGCAGCATGCCGAAAGGGTGGAAGGCACCGAAGACTAAGGTGGTCGTCGATGTTGGGGGTAGGGCACAACCGAGGGATCTTTGAACGAAAACTTGTCGAAAGGTTGCATGGTTTCGTCAACGAGAATTGAGTTGATGAAGCTGATGATTGACGCAAACTGTCACAGTCAACACTCGGCTGCCGTGGACGTGGACAAAAGAGACAAGGAAGGGGCGTAGAGTCGACTATGTCAAGAACGAGGTCACTGTGCTGGTGAGGTCCGAGTTATCCGGAAGCCGCATCTTGGACCCCGGACACTCCCAACAAATTTCCACGGTATTGCCAAGTGTGACCCCAGGCTAAGCTTCAGCACTTCAGCACCTTCCAGCGCGCTGGCATTATCCATACATTCCTTCAGACCAACGCTTCAACTTTCGCGAAACAACAGGAGAGAAAACGTCAACACCCCACATCCGCCAACCTCAAGTTCTCCCGAGATGCCTCAGGGCGGAGAGGGCAACCGAAAGCCCAAGCTGTGGGTGCCCCAGGAGTCGTTATATCACTATTCTGCTCCCAAGTCTCCAGAGTATCACTATCCTATTCCAAACATTCTGGAAGGCGATCCTTTTGATAAGCGTCTGGAACCCCTATTGGCGACAGACCAGGCACAATGCAACCTGTGGAAGGATGAGGTGCAGAACTTGTTGATCTTCGTAGGTGTTTATTCGACTCTTTAGGCCGACAGTTCGTGAACGCGAATCTTCCAGGCAGGTCTGTTCTCCGCGGTCGTTACCGCATTTCTGATCGAATCCTACAAAACCCTGCAACCCGACAAGAGTGACTTATCTGCCGCTTACCTCGCCTATATTTCTACTCGACTGGATAGTCTCACAAACACAACTCTTCCTCCACCTTCTATTCCTTACCCCAACTCGACCTCGTTTTCACCTACCTCATCATCCACCAGAGTCAACATATTCTGGTTCCTCAGCCTCATTCTCAGTCTCACAACTGTCCTCGTCGGAATTCTCTCCAGTGGTTGCGAGAACATCAACGTTATCCTCAGACTCTCTCCAAGCAGGAGGCCTTTGCCATCTTCCACATGCGTTCTGAGTCTCTTTGCAAGTGGTATGTTCCTCAGATCTTCACGGGTCTTCCATTGCTGCTCCAGCTCGCCTTGATCTTCTTTTTTGCGGGCATTATCGACTTCCTTCAGGCGATTAATAAGACTGTCGCTCTTCCGGTCATAGTTTTCGCCTCATTAACGCTATGTTTCTTCGCTGCTACAACGATCATTCCTGTGTTCCAGTCTTTCATAATAGGACTACCTCTCAACAAAAAAGATCCCTATGTTTTAACTCCTTGTGCGTACAAGTCACCTCAAGCCTGGGCCTTCTTAGGTCTTCTCACCTGGTCAAAATCTCTCTTTTTGTTCATTCACTTCTTCATCCTCCGCTTGTTCCTCTCTCCCATTTCCGTCCTCTTTCTTATTTTCAAGCTCGGCGACAACGCGCAAGACTTCACTGCCAGCGCTCCGAGTCGGGCGATCTACAAGCTCTTTGAATGCTCAACAGATTGGATCAGATATGAAATTGGATGGCTCGCAGCTCACACATGTCAAAGTCTGGGCAAGAAATACCCTGAATTGTACATAGACAGGAGGACTGACCCAGCTGGAGACTATGATGCCACACGAGGTGTCGTGGAGGTCCTGCGGAACTATACCTTCGACGAGTCGCTTATGTGCGCGGCGTATCATCATTTCCAAAAGACCTCGCACTACATCTTAAAATTTAATTGGCGCTTTCTCGAGCTGTTAAAAGAGAAGCTCAGGAAAGAAAAGATAGGCTTCCCGTTGATGCCCCTCTCCGAGTGTATTTCAGCAGACGATATCGATTCATCAAACAACGAAAAAGCCTTCGCATTTCTCCAGCTTCTGCCACCTCAATTTACTGGTGATTGTCTCAATATCTTCAACCATCATTACCTTGAAATATCAACAAGACTGTTTCAGTATATCTTTGCGAGGCAGCGGTTCGCGCGGCCACTGGTGAATCCAGTACCACCCGGGGCTTGGGAGTTGGCACGAAGGTTCGCCATATTCAAACTAGATTTGCCGAGTCGCTTCGAAAGCTTTGAAGGCAACTACAATATATACGGATCTTTCAGCGACCGTGACTTCCACCCGACGGTCATTCAAATACGTCTCAGTAAGAACATTTAGCTTGCATGATATCACGTATGCCATTGATTCTATGATCTTCCTCTACAGCCATTCTCGAGCAGCGATTATTGACTCTAGCACCATTTTTCAAGCATGCGGGATCTCTATGTCACGCATTGGAGCGAAATACTACCAATACCAATCCCTATATGTGCCCATTAACCGATCTCTACATGGACGATATCGCGCACATCGTCCACTATCTCCTCGACAAATCGACCCCCGTAGAACACAGGCAGCTCAGAACCTACCTCTCAGACTGCAACAACTTTCTGGACGATCTTCTGAATGAAAAGGAAAACAAACACCTTTACTACAGCATCCAACTTTACATCAAGAGTTTCTACCGACCTTTTAAGCGTCTTTTCGACCACGGCGACCCAGCGGTCTTGCCTGACGCTTCGCTCATACATTCTGTCGCCAAGCTCGACCGCACCGTCGACTCGTACAGAATCATGATGGTCCCAGCAGTCTTCCGGTCGATCCATGAGTACCACTTTGACGATGAAAAGGTGAACCGAGCCGCATGGGAAAACGAGCGTTGGAATGACTTCCTCGTGGTTATTCGCCGGGCTGAGTATATCGTGGACAATCCAGATGGTCCGCTTGCTACCGAGCCACCTCTGGTGTACTTCGCTGATCAGTTAGGAAGAGGGTCAGGCACGGGCGAAAAGGCGGCAACAGTTATTGGACAGGGAGGCAACAGAGTCTCCAGCTGAGCCCGTAGCCGAGGCCAGTGGTAGCAGGATGGCAGAAGAAACGTTGAGTTCAAATATTAATTCGGCTACATGACTAGGAATACGAAAGACAGGCTACCGACCTGTGCTGCATGTACGAGAATGACTACTTGTATTTCAGGCGAGAGACAGAATATCGTACCATGCTGTAGGTCAAAGGTTGTTAATATGCTTTTTGTTTATCCCCATTTCATTTTTAAGGATTAGAATATAGGCAGTTATTTCGTCCTTGATCCCTTCCGCCTCCAGCTTCATAACAGTAAGACGGCTGAATATTTTCAGTTGCAACTTGGATCCAGGTGATATGGCGGTCCTAAATTATTTTTAGGACGTCGCTGATCGTATTGATACAAGTAACAGCATCGAGTATCTATCCGAAGCAAGGAAGACTTACGACCAAACGAGGGTCGGTGTCTGTGCGCCACACAAATATTCCCATGGTTGTGGACATTGTCCACGTTGGGCTTGGTGAGAACCAGCGACTCCCAGCGTGAATACTCGCAGTAATATAAATATTTGACCCACTGTCTACTGAACTATGGTTTTGTCAAGCCTCTCGTCATCAGCAATGTTTGTAATACAGCGGTATCTGGACGTGAACAGCCCCGAGGGCTGAGGCGATTAGACCTGGTTTTTCATCAACAGCGCTGAACGATCCTAGAGGATCCTCTCGTAACGGGCTCTTTTTTAAAAAATGAACTCGTCGTTGTTAAAACAGTGAATAATTACCGGATTCTTGCCAAGGCGAGTACGGTTGTGTGCGCCACACAAACCGGGCCGATTGGGCCGGGATGGGCCGGGATGCAGAAAACAGTATGGTAGCTTGATTAGAGATAGATAAGATATACAGATGGTAGTTATTTAAATATGTAGGGTTGGAGTGGGCTATATATCTCGGTACTACCACGCAGTCGGATGTACATATCATACTTAGATAAAGAGGGTGATGAAACGCGTCTTGAGGCTTTACTATGATGGCCGAACGTAATAAGTATTCTTCTTCTGACATGACAGGATGGTACTTCCTCCTTGCTCGGAGTTATTGTGTAAGACGGGGATGAGGTCTAATTGAACACTGGCAGGTTCAGAAGACTCGACAAACGTTGGATTGTCCGCGGACTAGTACTAAGTAGCACTCGCGAGTCGCCTCCTTCGACATCCGACAGATAAGTGGCTGGCGGGCATCAGAACGCCTCACTCGCTTCAGCTCGTCCTTGGAGACAATTCCTTTTCCTGGACCCTTCAATTCTTTAATTCTACTTAAGAATCGGAGGTAGATCGGTCTTCGGAGAAGTACTGCAGAAGAAGCCGGAAAAATCACGTGCTTCCTGGCCACTATTAAAGCAATGATGAGGGTATTCGACGTTGTTCTCAACGACGTCCAAGTACCTTCCTCGTCGTCTACCACAATGGCGACCTCCAAACTTCCAATTCTTGCACTCCCTCATCCACTCATTCTTCTCCCAGCTTCTCGCTTTACGATGCCAGTCTCCAAGGAAATAGGGGAAACACTGCTCACCCTCATCGAAGAGTCCGACGCACTACCAATTGTTGCAGCGATTCCGATAACAAACCCGCCATCTGAGCCCGTTCTCCCCGTTCTGTCTGAATGGGGCACAGCTGCTCGAGTTCTGCGCCTCGTCAAGCCGCCGGCTCGGAATCCGCGACAACCTTACCTGGTTTCGCTACATGGGCTCACGCGAGTTCGATTGATAAATCTCTCAACGAAGAAAGTGAACCTCGAAGATCTCCAGCAGGTGCACATGCGCGACGTCGAATATCCGCCCACGGAACAGGTGCCATCTCGTGAAGCCGCGCAGAAGTTCAAGCAGAGTGCCCTGCGCTTACTCGACCGGCTCGCAAAGGACTCGCTGCAGCAATCGCGCAAGGATGGGTACAACAAGATCGCCAACATGCTGGACGACATCACGGATGCGAGGACGCCATGGATGGCTGACGTCCTCATCGGAAGTGTCAACGGTGAATACAACGATAAACTAGGTGGGTACAATCCGTTTGGGCCGATTTCCCTGTACCCCTGCAATTCCCTGTGTTTCTGGATCTACAAGTTCTCTTTCTCGCTTGTTTGTTCAGCCGGAGCGACAGTCTTCTTGCTCACTGCTCTCCCACACAAATTTAGAACATATTCTGACCCCTTCTTTTGCTCAGCCATCCTCGGAACCCCGGACTCAGAAGCACGACTTCAACTCGCCACCGAAATCTTCATCAAGCAGGCGTCGATATCCGAGGTGTCGAAGAAGATTGCCACTGCCGTCGATGAGAGTCTATCGAAGCAGCAGAAGGAGTTCTTCCTCCGACAGCAGCTAGCCGCTATTCAGCGCGAGCTCAACGTGCTGCAGCGATCCAGTGGCAGCCTGTCCTCTAACGGGACGCCAAACGACGCTAGCTCAGGCGGTTCCAGCGAGCTAGACGACGATGAGCAGGCGGAAGCAGATGATATGGCTGAATTGCGGCGGAAGATCGAGGCCATGGAGGCAGGCTCTGAGGAACGGAAGATGGGTGTCAGAGAGTGGAGGAGATTGAAGCGGATACCTGCTGGCAGCGTGGAGAATGGGGTTATTCGGTCTTATGTGCGTATACGTGCGGGTTTGCGTCGTCTGTCGAGTCTGACATTTATTTAGCTTGAATGGCTCACTTCAGTGCCGTGGCCCAACTCGACACCTCTTCCTCTTCCTTCGACAGCTGACAGCAGCGGATCGCCACAGTTAACACAACTACCCGATCTCAAGGACAGGTCCTTCCTCACCACTGCTCGTGCCCAACTCGACGCGGACCACTTTGGTCTTGAGAAGATCAAGAAACGTCTCATTGAGTACCTGGCTGTGGTCAGACTGAAAGAGCTGAATGCAGAGAAGGAAGCCGCTGAGGAGCGTCAACGCATCGAGGCGGAGGCTAAGGCAAAAGTTGATACAGCGGCCAAACCCGGCCTAGTAGAGCAGCCTGCCAAGCCGAGCAAGGAGGTCGTTCTGTACGACAAGAGTCAAGCTCCACTACCAGCGAAGTCCATCCATGTTCGCAAGAAGGGTGTGAAAGGCCCCATCCTACTGTTTGTTGGGCCCCCGGGGACAGGAAAGACCTCGCTCGGGCAGTCGATCGCGAAAGCCCTCGGTCGGCCTTTCCAACGGATATCACTAGGTGGTGTCCGCGATGAGGCGGAGATTAGAGGCCACAGGCGGACGTACGTTGCCAGCGGGCCCGGCTTGATCGTGCAGGCGCTGAGGAAGGCGGGCAGGAGCGATCCTGTCTTACTTTTGGACGAGATCGACAAGATTGGTCAGAGCAACTTCCACGGTGATCCTGGTGCTGCGTTGCTGGAGGTTTTGGACCCGGAGCAGAACCACGCATTCAATGTAAGGTCTCTCCTCATTTCTTCCTTTGCAAACGTGCTAACAGTCTGCAGGACCACTACATCAACGTGCCTATCGACCTGAGTCAGGTCCTCTTTATATGTACTGCCAACTCTCTCGAGACCATCTCTGCGCCACTGCTGGACCGCTGCGAGATTATCCAGCTCAGCGGGTACACGTATGATGAAAAGATGCACATTGCCCGCCGTTTCCTCCTTCCGAAGCAGCTCACGGCCAACGGACTTGAGCCATCCCATGTCACAATCACTGAACCCGCTCTTCTTCGCGTGGCGACACGTTACACCCAAGAGGCTGGTGTGCGCAGCCTCGAACGGTCCATTGGGGCGGTGGTGCGGTATAAGGCGGTCGAGTGGGCTGAGCACCTGGATTTGGTTAAGCAAGGTGACCCAGCGGCGCGTAAGGAATGCCTGAGTGTCGTTGAGGAGCACGAGCTTGAGAAGATTCTGGGCATCGCGAGGTGGGATGGCGAGGAGCGGGAGAGGGAGGAGAGAAGGGGTGTGGTCTACGGTCTTGTCGTTATGGGACAAGGCGAGGGCGGCATCCTGCCTGTCGAGACGATCGCGCTGCCCGGGACGGGCAAGCTAAAGCTGACGGGAAGTCTGGGCGACGTCATCAAAGAGAGCGGAGAGCTAGCTTTGAGCTGGGTGAAGATGTATGCGTATGATCTGTGCATCACCAATTCCCGCTCGGACGACGCGCTGAAGGTCCCTGAACCGATCGACATCCACCTCCATCTTCCTGCAGGCGCCCAGAAGAAGGATGGCCCTAGTGCTGGCGTTACAATGGTAAGCTATATTAAATTTACTTGCGTCGTTGCGCATTAAAGTTGACATGGGCATCTAGGTCTGTGCCTTTGTCTCGCTGTTGACAGGCGCCTGCGTCCCAACCAACGTTGCGATGACCGGAGAGGTGAAGTGGTTTACTTGTTCAAGATGTATGCATCCACTGATGTTCGTCAATCATTCTTAGATCACTTTGCGGGGTCGGGTCACTCCTGTTGGTGGGATCAAGGAGAAGGTTCTTGGTGCCCATCGAGCGCAGGTGACGAAGGTCATCCTGCCCTGGGCGAACCGGAAGGATGTGGAACACGATGTTGCTCCTGAGATCCGGAACGAGATGGAGTTCGTGTTCGTGCGGACAGTGCGGGAAGCTCTCGAGGCAGCCTTCGGTAAGGGTGTACTTGGGTGGCGGAGGGATGCATTGCTACTTGAGAGCCGACTGTAGGCTCGGCCAGCGTCGATTTGACGAACTGAACTGGCCCGAGCGCGTTTTATGGACAGCCTCCGCCCACAACATACGGGTGCATAAGACCCGAAGTTACACTAATTGGGAGTTTTTGCTTCAAGCTTTGTAGTGCTTTCTCGTTTTTAATAACGCAATTTGTTGTACACTTACTAATTTGTTGTATTTCCTATTCTCTATTGGAACATCTGCCCAGTTGGCAGGTTTGCAGCATATGTAACATCACAGGAGGTGATCCGCTCGTCGGCCTGGTGACTACCTCAGGGGATTTTACGACATTGAAGTATCAGGGTGCGTCCCGCTGTGGAGAGATCACTTGGTCCTCGCCCGCAAAATGAATTTCACAATTCGGTTGAGCCCTCACAAGGCACTATGGACACACCTCGGATAAATGTGCACCGCCTCGAGCAGGAGCAGGCAAGCGTCGAGAGGCTTAAAAACTAGATACCATTCTATGTCTGATTCATTCAATTGATCCCCATGCTCGAATCGTCTTCCTCCCAAATCACGCTTGTCAACCCAGAGGAAACGACGCAATTCCTTTTCACCAAACCGAGCGTCACCAACACCACCTTTCTTTTCAAGGGACGGCCGTACTATAAGGTCTCGACCACCGATCCTGCTGGATTGATCACGAAGGTGACAGACCTTACCGCCAATGAAGTTGTCATCACTATCAAGCACCGCCGGTTCCATGCTGATACCGTCAAGTTCGCCCATCGCTTTGATAGCAAATACGTAAAAATCAAGGAATGGCTAGTCGAAGGGAAGATGACCGACGGATTGTGCGCTTCCTTCTACTAGTTATTTTGCATGTCGGTTTATCACCTTTTATAGCACTAAATGGACGGTCGATACACCCGTGGGGACTTTTGTGTGGCGCACAGACGCCGAGCTACGATTGGCTGTGAGTCACCCCGCTGCTTCCTCCTACACTTCAGCCGCGGCTCACTCGAGTCATAATACTCCGGCTAGCTATGTCCTGAAAATGAATTAGATCGCCCGATAGCATGGATACAAGTGCCAAGGGACAAAGATAGCGTCCTGGCGCTCGTGCTAAAGCGCGGAACGGAGAGTTTCAAGGAGGAGATCATCGCGTCCGTCATAATTCTCGAACAGATGATAAGGATGAACGAGAAGGAAATGAGTATTCCGTTGGGCGGGGCGATACACAATAACCCTATGACTTTCGGGGCTATTTTCTGATCTTTCTTGAAGTTCAATTTTGGTTCAATTCCTGGTTTATTCTTTTTTTAAAATTCTTTGGGACCGCTCATGGTCGCTATCAGCACCCATTTCCCCACTTTTGAATATCCATTGTTTGATATTTTGCCTTCATGATATCAAATCATCCATTACTTCTACTTTCTGGTTCAGGCTGCAACAAGAAAGGGTGTTGGAAAAGCGGTCCGGCGCAAGTCCGGATCCAGCGTTTCCGCCAAGGCCGTCACTCATCACGTGTCGTCACTCATTGACGTGTCACCTCAAGTGCTCGCCACGCCCATCGACACGAAACCACCACAAGCCTTCCGGTTTTTTTCCCTTTTATTACGGCCTGCTTCTAGCTACTACGGCCATTTCTCGATGCTTGGTTAGACTTACTACATCCTCGAAATTCTCTAATATGCGGCTGCTAGCTTTCTGGAGTCTTCTATCTCTTGCTCTCCCCTACGCGGCGTCCGCTTCGGTGCTGGCTATCGACTATGGCAGCGACTTTATCAAGGCCTCGTTGATGAAGCCGGGCGTCCCGTTCGACGTACTACTTAACAAGGACTCAAAGCGCAAGATTAGTTCCACAGTTGCGTGGAAGAATGGGGACAGATTGTTCGGACAGGATGCCTTCAACCTGGTGCGTCGCTTTCTTGTCCAGGGCGTTCGTACGTTCTAATGTTCCTTTTTTCAGGGCTCTAGATTCCCGAGCGACACCTTCACCTCTTTAAAACTCCTCCAGGCTGCACCATTCGATGCCGACGTTGTCTCCTACTTCAAAGAACTTTACCCTACGGAGCTAATAGAAACCGACCGCAGGACTGTCAGCGTCCGCCAAACCGACGGGAAAACATGGGCAGTCGAGGAGCTCGTCGCAATGCAATTTGCCTATATCAAACACCTCGCCGAGCTCACCGCCAACGAAAAGGTCACCGATACCATTGTCACCGTCCCAGCCTACTTCACCCAGTTCGAGCGAGACGCCATCGCTGATGCCATCGAAATTTCTGGTCTGAGGACACTCGCTCTCATCAACGACGGTACAGCTGTAGCTGTCAACTACGCCATGACGAGGTCGTTCCCGACGCCCGAGTACCATGTCATCTACGATGTCGGTGCCTCGGGAATCAGGGCAACCGTCGCATCATTCACCACGGGCTCCGCTGGTACGCACATCGCAGTTACTGGTTTTGGGTATGACCGTAGCATTGGCGGTACCGAAATGGACCGACGGCTGCGTGACATCCTCGTTGATGCCTTCAACGTCAAGCACAAGAAGAATGTCAGGGAGGACAAACGAGGCATAGCGAAATTGTGGAAGGAGGCGCAGAGGGTTAAGGCCATTTTGAGCGCAAACACCGAGGCGATCGCGAATATCGAAAGCCTCACCTGGGATATCGACTTCAAACATAAAGTTACCCGCGAAGAATATGAAGCTCGATGCTCAGATTTGAGGCCTACATTTGCAAAACCCGTTGAAGACGCATTGAAACATGCCGGATTGACTTTGGTACGTGTTTTCGCTTCTTTATGTGTTCATATTCTCTGATCTGTATGTAGGACAACATCACCTCTGTTATCCTTATGGGCGGTGCCACGAGAACACCAATGGTGCAGGCTGCTCTAAAAGCTGCGGTTGGAGAGTAAGTGCGTCTCACTTTATAATATTTTCATACCGATCATGTTCTGCAGAGACAAAATCGCGATGAACGTTAATACTGATGAAGCTGCCGTCCTTGGTACGTCACTCCATTGGCTATCATCCTATTTTGACTCATCAGCTATCAGGGGCCGCGCTCCACGGTGCCAGCCTCTCCAGACAGTTCAAGACCAAGCCCATCAAGGTCTCTGACATCAGTGTGCACGATGTGCAAGCATCCTACTTCGCGGCTTCCTCTGTTACAAGTGCCCGCCCTAGGAGCATCACTACCCTCATCTTCCCTGCCGGGTCGAAAGTTGGCACGAAGAAAGTCCTGACGTTCAAGCGCAAGGAAGACTTCACAATCTATTTCGATTACAAGACCTCTGCTGCTCCGTATGTCCTTCTGCTGCCTCACTTTCTTTGTATTATGGCTCTGACTTCTTTTATGCAGAGGCTTCCCCACGCGCATGCTTGAAGTCGACCTTGGAAACGTCACTGAAGCTGTTGGGAACTTAACCGAGCGAGGAGCGGTCGACCCTGTCGTCAAAGCCACGATCTCGCTTTCCGAGTCGGGTTTCGTTTCAGTAACAGACGCCATCGCGTTTGGCGAGATCAAAGATGATAGCCTAACTGGTGGGTTTTCTTCCTACAGATTTTCTTTCAGTTTTCTAACATTGTCCCCTTAGGCAAAATCAAGGGCCTTTTCGGTGCAGGCAGCTCTTCGTCTGAGGAAATTACCACCGAATCTGCAGAAAATGTGCCACCTCGCGATACCGATACCACCTCGGCTTCATCGTCGTCATCTTCCGCGGCCCCTTCCGAGTCCTCCACTAATGACAAGGAGAAGGAAAAACCGAAGAAAGCGGCACCCGTAGAGAACACTATACCCCTTAACATCGAAGTTAAATTCACGACAATACCCCCAATGACCGTAGAAGAGAAGAAAGCGTCAAGGGCCAGGTTCGTTGTTTATTTACCATCAAGTTCGTTGGCTAACAATGACGACATCAGATTGCGTGCGATTGACGCTGAGGAGGCTGCGAAGAGCCGTCGGGAAGAGGTCCGAAACACCTTCGAGAGTTATCTTTATAGACTACGCGACCTGTTGGAAGACGAGAACGACGGGGCTCCTTTCAAGAAGTGCTCACAAGAAGAGGAGAGGAAGGCGATTGCAGAGAAGCTGGAAAACAGCTTCTCATGGCTCCACGATCGAGGCGACCTTGCCGAGACGTCTCAATTCTTGGATAAGAGGAACGCGTTAGAGTGAGTATTCATGCTCTGAGACCTTTTCTGTTTTTTTTATGTGCCCCATAGAACTCTCGAGAGACCCATTATCCACCGATACCAGGAGATTGAAGCCTTCCCACAAGCACTCAACAACTCACAGATGTGGAACTGGAGCACGCGGTTATTCCTGCATGAGGCCCGCCAGAACCTGACGGCCGAAGCGGCCGCCGACCTCCCGTCCAAATGGATCAAGGAGGAGCTCGACGGGTTGGAGAAGGCGCTGAAGGAGCATGAGAAGTGGCTTGGCGAGTGGGTCGAGAAGCAGAAGTCCGTGAAGCCGAACGAGGACCCAGTCATTGACACGAAGGAGATGAAGGCGCGAGCCAAGGTCCTTGAGACGCATTTGCAGAAGTTGTGGAAGCGGAAAGTGCCCAAGGCGAAGAAACCAAAGCCGACACCCCAGACGACTGCTGCAGAGGAGGCGAAAGAGACGGCGGCTGCTGAGCCACAGAACGAACCACCAGTGGATGGAGAGCAGAAGGCTCAGGAGCCTCCTGTGCAGGGCCAGGAGGACGGGCAGCAGGTGCCACTTCAGGACATGCCGCTTCATGATGAGCTGTGATGATACGACAAGATACTATTACTTATAGCCAAATTATTGAGGCCATTCAATAATTTATCATTCTCAAACCAGAACGGATATGCCTACGGTCAAATCTTTTCCAACCACTTGCGAACCTCTTCAGCCGTCGGTTTTTTGTTCCCATTCTTTGTGCTGGTTCTGGCGAGTTTTCCTCGAAAGAGGCTTGGATCCAGAAGGTCCTTGTTTACGAGACCGGTCAGTGGGGCACTGTTCATCTGAATACTGCCTGCCTCATCCACATTTCTTGTCACTGGTGGCATTACTTTCCTAACAGTTGAGAGTGTTCAAATGTTCAATGGAGCATCAGATCTTCAGAAGAGAGGCTGAAAGGGGTGCTTCCCTGAGTCGCCTCGAAGCGGCACTCGTTGTTACGTAAGCCAATACTCCAAACCGTCAAATCCTCGACCTAACCACCACCAACCCTCTAGTCTCGACTCTTTGCCTCCGATTTCCGCTATTTTGACTCAGAACACATTATAAGGCTTGCAACCGACGGACGATAACGACATATTCTCCTCATTGACTGACCTCCCTAATGTCACGGCGAAGCTATGATAGTTTCGCTCACGAGAAACGCCTATCCAAGTACCGGGTGTCGGACGATGTCTTATTTGAGTGTGTGGCCTTATTAAAAGAGAAATGAGGATACTTACTGATGCATATGCTTTCAGCTATGTTCTACGCGTCGCGTAAGCCCTGACAGTACCGCCAATTAAGGGACCTAAATGATGATCCATTCGACAGTGTACTGAGCTATCTCATGCTCCCAAAGGTCACGGAATCTCCGAAAGTGCCATCTTCTATTGAGCGGGAACATTCATCTCGTCTGTCGGCCTTGTCCAATTTCTCAATCGGTGACATGTTCCGGGACGTGAGAGATGGGTCGAAAAGCGTCAAGTTCCCGGAGAAGATGCTGAAAGTGCTGGAGCAGAAGTTGCAGGATATTGCTATGGGAAAGAACCCTGCGTTGGTGCGAGTTATCCCTCAAGCTGTGCTTTTTACTCAATCTCCGGCCCAGATATGCCGACCAACTCGTTCGACGAACGATGGCCAAATTCTATGGGCAATTCATGGTCGAGAGCTTCAAACGGCAAATGAAGGAGAACCGGAAAATCGAGGAGCTCATTCTCATGTTCGCAACACACGCTACTTCTGTCCTTAAGAAGGAACCGACCCTTGCCGGCGATGGATGGAAACTCGAGCTCAACAATCAGATTGCGCAGTTCATTAAACTCCTTCGTGAATGTTTGAGGAATGTTAACCACGTCTCACCGGAGCTGGTCTCGAGGTTGGATACGTATACTGCCAAATTGGCACCGACACTAGCATTAGCTCAGGGGAGAGGAGGGTCGGGGTACAGCCATAGCGATTCTGGATACGACTCCGCGTCGACAAGAGATTCCGTATCTGTGCCGACACCTCAAATCAGCGCGAATATAGCAGACATGCACCTGGTTAAGGTGGTTGGAATGCTATTCAAGATCCCAGATCACGCTATACAGAACGAGGTGGACCAAATACGAGGAGGTGTAGTATCAGAAAAGGCAGCTATGGCAGACCTTAAAGTATGTTTTTTGTCCCTTGGTGACAGGCATCTTTAAACCCTTCCTAGACATGTCTCAAGAATATCAACGCCGGGGCACATTTCCCAGGTAGACGCGAGGATTTCGAGACTGAAGCAGCATGGCAGCACTGGCGAACGCTGGAAACGACACACGTCCAGCAACTCATGATGGCCATGGCTCAGCTCAACCCTGAGCTTGCGAAGTCGACTCCATCAGACATCCTTCCATCCCTCCAAACTTCAAATCTAGGCCGTCCAGGTTCTTTATACTCACAACTCGATTCTCCGTCAGGGACTGCCCGACATGGCTCAATTAGTTCTCGCAGGTCCTTCTTCGGCGTCAACGGTGATCCTAGTGCGTACGAAGAGCCTCCGGAGGGCGACGACAACCTTCCAGTTGGTCATCACTTCACCTTCATCCCTCCCAATCCGAAGAAATTTTACAAACGCCTCGTCGAGCACTGTCTCAGGGCCGATCTGGAAGTCATGCTTTCGCCAGAAGTCGATGACAACGATGAAGTGTCGCTCGGTATTCTATCGCCTAACCACATCGAGCTCATCAACGAATGCGCGCTGCGGTGGCGTATAGGGCATCCATATCGTGCTGCATGTTTCCTGGATTTGGTCAAGCAGTTCTATGAGCGAAATGACGTCCCCATGGAGTGCGTACCAGAGGCCCTCGCAAGTGTCACCAAGGTCATCCACGACACCGAGCTGGAATTGTGGGCGGTACAAGACGTTCGTTGTTGGACCTTTCTCGTCTGGTTTGGCTTCTAACCATTCCTCCAGGTGGACTACCTTGCCAACGTCTACGCGGGGCTGTTCAATATATTCCTCTCGTCACTATATCACTCGATGGATGCTCTACCGAACCTCAAGCCGTCCGATATCCAGCAGTACCTATCAATTCTCGACCACGTCCGGGACTCGGGCTTACTAGTTCGTTTTGACATCGACGTCGATGCCCGAATGCACGATGTTCAAGACAGGATACGCCAAGTGGCTGCACATTGGTTTGAAGCAACACTGCAGGAGAAACAAAGCGCTCCTGGAGTCAACAGGGCTTTACCACTCCTACTTATGACTGACGAGATTGAGAAGTCTGCCAAGGCCCTCGATAAACGGTTCCCTCAACCTCTGCTTGGGTATGTGTCCTATATGTGCAATCTCTGCCTCCGCTTATCATGGTTGTATGCAGGAGGTTGGATATTGTATCTCTGTTCCTTGAGGTGGCCATACCTCGCTTGATTGGCGAATTACAAAACTCGCAAAAGCGTTTATTCGAGTCTTCAATGAATGGTCCAACACCAGACGTGCCTATTCAAGACATCTTCGCTCTGTACAGGCGGTCAAGGATGTTGCTCGGAATGTATCGTGCCTTCGTGCCAGAGTAAGTGGGACCGTTGGGTCTCGGGGAAGGTTGCTGACATATCACCCTTTTCATCAGCGGAACTTTCGACTTCCAGATCACCATCTTTTTTGAGCCCTATGTCCGACAATGGCTACTCAATACGGATAATAAAACCCAACAATGGGTTGAAGCTGTACGTTCCTTAATTGTCCAGATCATTCCTTCACTGACGCGAAACCTTAGGCCATCGCTGCAGACAAGGTATTTCATGACAGATTGCGCTTTTTCGTCGTATTTGACCGCATCTCTGTTTCCTAGTTTGAATCAGAAGGAGCAGAGGGACACAGCACCTCTATCGTGGACCTTTTCGACTCCTTGCGAAGCCCCATTAACTTCTTGGAAGAACTGGAATGGGAAGACGAGTATCAAGAAGGCAGATTCGCCACGAGCCTTTCCAAGGTCTGTTCTTTACCTCAGCTTTCTCTACCTCCCATTAATTTTCCTGATCGCAGACGATATCTAAAGCTGTCGATCAATATTGCCGCAACATTGAGGCTCTCTTCCTGACCGAAATGTTCCCTCGCCCAACCGATTACCTCCAGCCACAGAAGTCTTCTGCCTGGCTAGAGAAAGCTCGTCAACTCACCATCACAGGCGAGAAACGCGTCGAACCATTTAATTTCCGCTCTGAGTCCTGCGTCAAGCTCAACAACGTCGAGGCCGCGCGCAAACTGCTCGATAATATGTATAATCAGATGCAAGTTGATAAGGTCGCCGACACCTTGAGCAGACTGGCTCCGCCAGTACCGGAAAAGCAGGAACGCGACAGGTTCTTGTTTTCTGTAAAGATCCTCACTGCTGAGAGCCTCGTGCCTCTGGACAGCTCGCCAAACTCGAAGCTAGATACTTTCGTGACGCTTAGTGATGAGGCTGGTACGAGGTTAGCGAAAACGAGGACAATTTATGAAACTCTGAATCCTCGGTGTACGTGTTCGCCTCTTGTTCTTGTCTGTTCTTTACTTGTTCTTTACTTATCGACCTCTCCTTATCATAGGGGATGAGACCTTCGACCTGTCGGTGGAGAAGCCGCTATGGTTGATGGTCTCTGTACGGGATCGGGCGCTAGTAGGAAAGCATGATATCGTCGGACGGGCCTATCTGTGTTTAGATCCAAGACGATTCAGCGATTGTCTAGCGCATGAGCTGGCGATGGATCTTGACACACAAGGCCGGATAATCGTGCGAGTGAGCATGGAGGGTGAGAAGGATGATATCCGATTCCACTTTGGAAGAGCGTTCAGGAGCTTGAAGAGGGCGGAGGGTGACATGTTAAGAATCTTCATCGACAAGGTATGCACCCCCTGATCTATGTTGCCCGAGTTGTTTCGAGATCTCCATTGTAGATGTCTCCTTTCATCCAACAATGCCTCTCAAGAAATGTCGTGAAAACCCTCATGAAGTCGCGAGATCAAGGGCTGGACTACAACAAGGCACTCGGCAACGTCACCGCTTTGTATCGGTCAGCTCTGGGATCATCATCCTCAGAACCTCAAATTCCTTTGCCAGCGACCGAGAAACCGCGGGTGCGTCCTGAAGAGCTGACGGATGTGGAGATCGAGCAAGCCATTGTACCGCTATTCGACTACTTCGACGCGAATCTGCAGACGCTGAATACCTACCTGAGCGACACGGCGAAGGAGATGGTGATGACGCGGTTGTGGAAGGAAATCCTGTCTGTGCTTGAGGGCCTGTTGATCCCCCCACTGAGTGACATCTCGAGCGATATGAAGCCTTTGAGCGATAAGGAGGTTGACATCGTCTTTAAGTGGTTGAAGGTTCGTGGATTCCTTGTCTGTATCTTGTCCTGTATAACTAAGCCCTCCTTTAGTTCCTCAAAGATTACTTCTACGCTAGTGGGGAAGGCCCGGTACCACTGGAGGTGCTGCAGAACCAGAAGTATAGAGATGTGCTTTCTATACGTCTTTATTACGACTGGCATACGTGGGTTTTTTCCGCTTGACATTGCCCTGGTTCTAACCATTTCCACCAGCGACGCTCTTATGGAGGAGTGTGTTCGGATGATGCAACAAAGTCTCCAATCCGCCCCATCAATAAAGAAACGTACGAAGAGTGTTTACCAACAACGCAACCTCGGTACGATCAAGGAGCGCAAAAAGGAGAAGCGGCAGGAGACAGAGTCGACGAGCGAGCAGACCATCATGCGGATACTGAGGATGAGGTATTTTTCTTTTTGTCTCTGACTTAGGAGAACGTATTGATCTGTGTCACTTTAGGCCAAGAACGCAGGAATTCATTGCCCAACAACTACAGATCATGCAGGCTATGCAGGCTGAGCAGGAGAAACGAGCGAAGGAGGCAGAGGAGAGGAAGATGAAGCGACAACAGCACGCACGAGAGCAGATCCCTTCTGTGCCGCCCCTGCCACCACTGCCCGGTCAGTGAGCCAACATGCAAAGTTCTTCTCATTCGATACCCTCGACTCGCCTCTTTCTTTATTTCTTTCATCTGGAGTCCTGTTAGACATTATCTCGATACCACCGTCGCTCATAAGTAAATTTTCTTTCTTCTACTACTCACTCCATTGCTTATCCTTTTGTTTTTTCCGCCTCCATTTTTTGTCATGATCGTACTTACAATGGATATGCATATTTTCCCGTCCTCGTACATTTATGACACGCTTTCCTGGGACTTTCAATACAAGCTAATAGGATTACCCTTTCTATGACTCTGAATGGCGCAGCTTATATCTTCCGGTGCCAGTCGCGGTCGCTTCGCACTGAGGTCGGAGGGATCAGCCTGAGGACAGCCCAGGATACTCGTTCGAGATTGAAGCTTCTCGATGCGACCTCCGCGACGTCGTGTTAGCCACTTCGGGCAACTTTCTGACTATTTCCACATTGGCAGTCGCTGCCAGAAATTGTCGCTGATGGAAGGCTGCGTTCCTTTCAGAGACAATGATGTGGCGGTGTTGATTACTCCGAGCATCAGCAAATCGTGATTTTGAGGGTCAAAACGGCCTCAATTTCGGCGGTATAGCGTGTTATGGCGCGTTACGTAGTGCTACGTAACACACCATAGCACTGTAATGCATGTCCTTAACTATTGGGATACCCCCCCCAATTATGGAGTGCTATGTACCCTCGTATAGCACGCATAACAAAATCAGGAATTGCTGATGAGGATACAGCGAACGCGAGTTGTTGCGCTCTAATGAAAGATTATCTATGAAGACGAAGACAAGGGCTACCGACGATATGATACAACGGTGACAATAACTTTACTATGATACACTATTAATAAAGTACTCTTGGACTACGAATTGAGTTAACATGAATACTATAGGATAGGGATGTGTGCATGGACGTGTGCATGTCTCAAGGAGCGGATGGGCGAGGGAGATGGGGTTCGTGGATAAAGCAGAGTCCCGAGTCATAGTCCTGGTCATGAATATCGTGTGTGGAGGAAGGGGGCGGTAATACCTACACGCTCCCAGCCTTGGGTGAGGGAGCGTACCGAGGCAACGACTCGACCGGCTTCGAGATTAAGAATCCCTTCAATGCCGCAGCCTTTTCGCCCTGCCTGCCAAACCCAAACCCAGCAAACTTGTCCTTCTCATCGCCGGCGTAGCTGCCCTTGCTGTCGCTCACGTGGCTGGCCGCGCTGCCACCGGTGTACAAGTTTGACACGAACGAGGGTGGGCTCGACACGACGGAGGCGACGTTGATGGGCCCGATGTGCGTCGGGAGGGCGCTCTTCGCGTGTTCCCGCCATGAGGTGATGGAGCGCTTCGACTTGGCGCCTTGTCGGAAGATGAGCCCGACGAAGACGTTCACGCATCCGAGGGAGAAGAGGAAGAAGGCGGAGACAAGGGTGAAGGTGTCGACGCGGTGAGAGAGAATGGCAGCTCCGATTCTACAGACGCTCAGCGATTTAATTCAATGAACAGGGTAACTGGCGGTACTTACAGCATCTGGATGAGACCGAGAGCACCCAATCCAAACTCCTTCCCGAGGACAGGGAAATACCGGTCGAAGAACCTCGCTGGCCAGCCGAGTTCAGAGAGGATGAGCACGATGGTTTGGAAGATAATAAACAGCCTGTTGAGCACGGCCCAGAAGGCGCCTGCTGGCTGGTTCGGCACGGTGCTTCCCATGATATAATCTGCGTCTCGCATCGCGTCTATCGTCGAGTTCGAGGAGCCAGTGGCATCGGTGGTGGCATCTGCCTGCTTGCTCGCGTCCATAAAGTGGTTGACTGCCTTGATATCATTTGCGAGGGTGACAACATTGCTTGCGAAGACCAGCAGGAGAGCGATGATACTCAGAACGCGGATTGCGTTCAATCCAATGAAGGTGTCTAGTAAGGTTTCAGTTAGTGGCAGTGCTTGTGCGGGGAAGACAGTCAATGAAACGTACAAGCACGAGGAGGAAGCATTGTGGATGCACTTCTTGTGTGGTTGTGCTATAGAGCGTGTAGAGTATTAAGTTTCAACACAAGTTCGTGGTCGTGGAGAAGTGTGCTGAGGGTCGTAATCGGTCAACCGGGTTCAAAAGAGGGTTGGCTATCAAAGCAACGGTAAAGAGGACCTCTCGAATTTCTTGAGAAGGTGAGAAGAGGCGGCACCAGGCGCTAGGTAGAGAAAAGGAGGGGAAAGGGAAGACGACGTGTGTCGTGGCTCCTTGTCGTTCGAGTTCGTGTGAAACTGGGAGGGTGGGTAAAGTGGTCGGGCCACACACGACCTTTTGTACCCTTTTGAACACGTTGTAAACCATTTGGACGGTCATTTGAAGTACAAAGGATTCATTGTTCTGCCTCATTGTCTGTGTCACAGTAACGCGTCACGTCATCACCTAGAACAAAAGCCAAGAGAACGCTACCCGGTGCCGCCATGGCGACGATGCAGGGGCTCGAGAACGTAGCCACCGTCGTCCTGGATGCCGGGGTACTTTGTTGTTGTCGCTGACAGCTCAAGCTTTAAAATTGGAGTCGGTGGGAAGGGTGCGGCGGAGTGTGGCGCACGAGGCATTTCCTTATTTGGACACGCGATCATCCTACTTGTCAGCACCTGTCAGCAACTGTCAGCAACTGTCAGCAACTGTCAGCAAAACTTAAACATACAGATTTGAGAAATTGCGTGTAGGTTACTCTCCTCGTCTGCGCTCTTCATGTTTTTAGCTGTATTTTACTAGCTTGAAGTATTGTGTATTCAGGGAATTTATGGGAAATGGTGGCTGGTGTAGTAGTAGCAGCTTAGTACACGGTGCCGTTTCTTTTAGCACTTCCGCCAGAACGGACTGTTTCTGAGATTCTACAGTCGTATTCTTGGAACTGATTGCCACAATAAGAGTTAGGCAGCGGACTCGGATACGAAATGAACGATAACTAAGTTTTCAGC